ATAGAAAGAGGGAGGGAGGGAGGGAAGGAGGGAAGGAAGGAAGGAACCAAAGAGCAAAGGAAGGGAGGAAAGAAACAGGTGGAGATGGAAGAAAGAAAAAGGGAAAGAAAAAGAGGGAAGGAAGGAAGGAAGGAAGGAAGGAAAGAGGGAGGGAGGGAGGGAGGGAGGGAGGGAAGGAAGGAAGGAAGGAAGGAAGGAAGGAAGGAAGGAAGGAAGGAAGGAAGGAAGGAAGGAAGGAAGGAAGGAGAGAAAGAGGGAGGGAAGGTTGGCCCCAGCAACGAGTGGCGGGTACAGCTAGTCCTTTATAAAATTCCCGCGGGATGAAATGTTGAAAGCCCTGCCATATGTAAGAAAAGAAAATCAACATGGCAGCAAGTTGGACTATGATAGTGCAACTATTATTTCTCCTTTACAGAATGTTGTTGTTCATTTGTTCAGTCGTTTCCGACTCTTCGTGACCTCATGGACCAGCCCACGCCAGAGCTCCCTGTTGGCCGTCACCACCCCAGGCTCCTTCAAGGTCAATCCAGTCACTTCAAGGATGCCATCCATCCATCTTTATACAAAGGCTAGACATCCAAACACTGGAGATGCTGTAGATTCCTGCATTGGGCAAGTGGATAGATGAGGAAATTTAAGGCAAGCTCTTGCCTCAAATAGCGACGGCCTCAAAATATCAGAGTCAAGACAAAGCAGCATGTATTCTCATGATATGGAGAGCAATATTTCATTCCTTTGCCTCAAATATTACAATGCATTTGGATTATTTTATTGATCAGGCATCCTTTATCCTGAATTCCAAAATGGCCGAGAGAGTGGCACCTTTACTTTCTGATGCTTCGATATCACAAACATTTCTAAAATACAGTCAGCTCTCTGACATTCACTGCGGGTAGGAGTAGAATTCTCCCGTGAAAACAAAAACTCCCAAAGAAAGAGGATTTTGGGGTTTTTTTTATCTGACCAAATCCAACCAGAATTGCATTGCAGGATGCAGAGATTCCTATAGAGGTGTTCTCTCTCGAAATCACTGGGTCCTCCAGCATAGAGGAAATTGGAGGTCCTAGAGATGGCTAGAGAGAATATTTTAAATTAAATCAGTGAATAACCAAATGCACAAAAGTCCAAACCACAAATGTGAAAGGGATGACTATATCGTACATAAACTCACCTTTAGGAAATGTGCGTGGCATGTATATGACACATCAATTAATTCCGTAGTTAGACTTGGGTCTCATCTCCAAGATGTGTCATTTTGTATGTGTATGCAGATGCAGGTATTCCAAAATTGGGGGGGGGGGGGTCCAAAATCTTGAACAGTTCTGTTCTCAAGCATTTGGATAAAGGATATTGCTATTATACTCTAATCTTAGTTGATCTTGGCTCACTTGTTATGGTTGGCTTTCTGGCTTTATTGGCCATTTAATATTTTAATGGATCGTTATGTGTGCCTTGTATAATTTATGCTTAATGCTTTTTACAGGGCCCCCTGATGGTGCAGCAGGTTAAACAACTGAGCTGCTGAACTTGCTGACCAAAAATCAGCAGTTCGAATCCGGGGAACAGGGTGAGCTCCCATTGTTAGCCCCAGCTTCTGCCAACCTAGCAGCTCGAAAACATGCACATGCGCTCCATACAGTCATGCTGGCCATATGACCTTCAAGGCATCAATGGACAATGGCGGCTCTTCAGCTTAGAAATGGAGATGATCACCAACCTCCAGGGTCGGACAGGACTAGACTTAATGTCAGGAGAAACCTTTACCTTTACTGTTAATGCTTTTTATACAAGATGTAAAGTAATTAGTAGGTTATGTTATCATTTAAATTTTGTTTAATTTTGTCATAGCTATTGTTTCCTTTTGATATTTGATCAGTCTGTTTTTGGATCTTTCATTTATGAATGTGTTTGGCATTGAATGTTTGCTGTATTTTTGTTGTAATCTGCCCTGAGTCCCTTTGGGGAGAGAGGACAGAATATAAATAAACTATTATTATTATTATTATTATTATTATTATTATTATTATTATTTGATACACAACAAGTTGAAGTGACTGTATTGACCTTGAAGAAGCTGGGGGTGGTGATGGCCGACAGGGAATTCTGGCGTGGGGTGGTCCATGAAGTCACAAAGAGTCGGAAACGACTAAATGAATGAACAACAAAAACAAAAACAAGATTAGTACACAGCAAACAAGATCACTATGCTGGCTTTTGTATTTGATCACACGTTGAACACTTCCCAAGTGTCTAGGGCTGTGTGATTTATCGGCAAATAATGCGTGCAGATCCCAGTAAGGTGACCTTTTGCAGTTGGCAGATGGTAATTTTGTCAGTGTTGATTGTTTTTAAGTGCAGGCCAAGGTCTTTATGCACTGCACCCAGTGTGCTGATCACCACTGGGTCCACCTTTACTGGCTTGTGCCAGAATCTTTGCAATTCTACCTTTAAATCCTCATTGGAAGAGAGCTCATGGGTCATCCAATCCAACCCCCTGCCAAGAAGCAGGAAAATTGCATTCAAAGCACCCCCGACAGATGGTCATCCAGCTTCTCTTTAAAAGCTTCCTTTTCCAGTTGCTTCTCATCAGGCCAGCTGTCGCCTGGGATATTATTATTATTGTTGCTGTTATTATTATTATTATGATTACTCAAGTTGGCTATTCTTGCTTTTCAAAGAACTCAACAGAGACTATGGAGGGGGAAAGAGAGATGAAAATAGATTATATCACAATGGAAATGCTCGGTTTTTGGAAAAGCCCAGACAGAGAGAATGAGAGCGGTGGGGGGGGCACCCCATCTCATGTGACCAGTCCAGGGGAAGCCTATTTACCAATATTGAAGTAATGGTTTCCTTTTTTTTCTCAGTAAAAAAGGGGAAGATGTGCGGGCCAATCTAATGCTTTGCTTCTGCCCTGAAACTGAGCAGTGAATATCGCCGGGGAGGGAGAGTTTCGCCCCAGAAACCAGTTGATAAATGAAGTTAGAATTGCATTAATGTGGAAGATTTTGGGTTTTCTGAAAATGAAACCCGCTCCACATAAAAGGACCATCAAAATGGACCATGAAGCCAGAGACAGTCTTTTTGGGCAGGCAGACAGAAACCTCACTAACCGGAGATCCTCCAGAACATGCGTCTGTGTGGTAAGAAAAGAGCTAATATTTACCATCTTTATCGTTCTAGAGTTCCTCATTTTTTGGAGTGTTTGGTCAGACACTATGGATTCAACAATGAAAAGATGATGCCAAATGTTGGCATTGTATCTGAAGGGCTGAATTTTATGGGATCGTTGAAGGACATCATGGTGTTGTGATTTGCCCATTAGACACAACTTTGGAGATGAGGGTTAGAATCCTCTGCTCTGCCATGGACCTCACTGGTGATTTCGGGCAGGTCACACTCTCTCAGCCTCAGAGGAAGACAATAGCAAACCTCTCCTGAATGAATCTTGCCAGGAAAATTCTGTGATAGGGTTGCTATAGGTCAGAAAGGACTTGAAGGCATGCAATAACGACCAAAGGACAGCCATAATATTATGCCTTGTAATGGACTGCATAGGAGTCCCTGGTGGTGCAGTGGGTTGAACTGCTGAGCTGCTGAACTTGCTGACCAAAAGGTCACTGGTTTGAATCCAGGGAGTGAGGCAAGCTCCTGCTGCTAGCCCCAACTTCTGCCAACCTAGCAGTTCAAAAACAAGCAAATGTGAGTAGATTATTAGGTGCCGCTTCGGTAGGAAGGTAATGGCTCTCCATGCAGTTATGCTAGCCACATGACTACGGACAACTCTGACTCTTTGGCTTAGGAATGGAGATGAGCAACAACATCCAGAGTCAGGCATAACTGGACTTAAAGTCAGGGGGAAAATTTTACCCAAATGTACTGTATCACCTTGAGAAAGCTAAACACGCTTAGTCTGCTGATTTCATTGAGGTAGCTAAAGAATGGTCTTATGAGGAAGGCAAACTATACCCTTCCGCTGTCTAACTTGGCAGGGTCAATGTGGATTCATCATCTGGATTCCTTCTCTGGTATGGTTTTTCGCACGTTTTCTGTTGTTTTTAAAATGTCCCAGCTTCTGGACTTGCTGACCGAAAGTCGCCAGTTCGAATCCAGGAAGCAGATGAGCTCTCGCTGTTCAGCCCAGCTTCTGCCAACCTAGCAGTTAGAAAACATGCAAATGTACGTAGATCAATAGGTACCGCTTTTGCAGGAAGGTAACGAAGCTCCATGCAGTCATGCTGGCTACATGACCTTGGAGGTGTCTATGGTCAACGCCAACGCTTCGGCTTAGAAATGGAGATGAGCACCAACCTCCAGGGTTGGACATGGCTAGTCTTTATGTCAAGGGAAACTTTTATGTTTACCTTTTATTGCCAAGCAACATCAGTATGTTCTCAACAAGTGATTTTGATAAAGAAGAACACACAAGCTAGGAGAAGCTGGAGGAGTTTGCTTTTGCCTGAAATTACAGGGAAGGGGAAAACAATCCCACCCCGAATAGTCCCCCACCATCTCTGAGTTAATTGAGTGCAAACGTGCACTTTGAATCCAGTAATCTTGTTCCTCCCCTCCTTGTTCTCGCTGGGTTGAGTACAAATGATTTGTGCCCTTTGAGTCCAGTTTACAGCAACCGAACTAAGATGAGGAGCAAGCGGGAAATCGATAGAGAAAGAGAACATTTTAAAAGCACTTGACAAATTGGAATAGTGGAAAATTAATTTCAAAATTGAGACAGTTGGAGGGTATGGGCTTAATTGTGCTACTAGGGATAGATGATGGTGTGTATTAATGTCCACTTAATATGGAAAGCCGGGCTCTGCAGATGATTACATTAGAAATCTATATTATTTGGGGGACCATCTGGCTGTCTCAGGTCCTAGATGTATGTCCCAAAGTCCTCCTTTAATGGTAGCACATCCTCATGCCACCCGGGTCCTTCCTAACTCAGAATACTTGTGCCAGATCAACAGGTAACTCAGCAGCTTTGATGACTTTGCCATATGACAATAAGGTTTCTCCCTTCTCATGACTATCTGGATCTCTTTCTAGGTGCAGCCCTTCTTCTTCAGATTCTCTTCAACGTTGACCTCCTTGTGGCAGCTCTCCCAACGGGGATCCATGGGGAGAAGGTATCAGGGCTCAAGAGCAGCCCAGAATGGAGAGCAAACCTTCAGAAAGAATTGGGCAACAGCTTAAAGCTTTCAAGGCAACTTCTCTGTAAAACAAGAAACCTTAAACATCTCTATGTAAGTCAATTTTAATGTGTTCCATACACACTGAGGCTAATCTTTGGGATAGCAGTGAGCTGGTTTCTAAAAGGAAAAGAATAAATAAAATGACAGCTATTTATAAATTCACTAGCGGTACTCGCCACGCGTTGCTGTGGCCAACCTTCCTCTTTCTCTCCTTTCTTTCTCTTCTTCCTTCCCTGTTTTCTTTCCTTCTCTCCTTCCTTCCTTCCTTCCTTCCTTCTTTTTCCCTTCCTTCCCCCCTTTTCTTTCCCTTCCCCTTTCTCCCTGTTCTTCCTTCTCTACCTATTCTTGGACTGCAACTCCCAGCAGTCCTCCTGATCAAGATCTGTCTACCTACCTACCTATCTCTATCTAATCTATCTATCAGGAGGATTGCTGAGTGTTGCAGTCCAAGAATAGGAAATTGGAAGTCTCTCAAAGAAATCCAAGATGAAAGCTTGCATCTTGGAAGCAGTGCATTTGGATCATCCTCCTCTCCTAAAAGGCCTGGTCTAGGGGATGCTGGGAACTGTAGTCTGAAAGAGAGTGTGGATATGCATTTGTGTGTTTTGTTTGCCAGGGGGAGTTGTTTCTGCGCATGCACTGTAGCGTCTTTTTGCTTTTTTTGGCCTTTTAAGTCTCTTCTGCTGTGTTTTTCAGTGTTTTTATGAGTGATGGTCACTCGTTGGCCTGATAGATGTATTGTGTCCAAATTTTGTGTCAATTCGTCCAGTGTTTTTTGAGTTATGTTAATCCCACAAACGAACATTACATTTTTATATATATAGATTAGTTTTCTAACCAATGACTGCATAAAATGAGCCTCCAGTAGCACAATAGTTTAAACCCTTGTGCCTGCAAGACTGCTAACCAAAAGGCTGGCGGTTCAAATCTAGGGAGCAAGGTGAGCTCCCATCTGTCAGCTCCAGCTTCTCATGCTGGGACATGAGATAAGCCTCCCACAGGATGATAAAACATCCGGACATCCCCTGGGCAACGTCCTTGCAGACGGCCAATTCTCACACACCAGAAGTGACTTGCAGTTTCTCAAGTCGCTCCTGACACGAGAAAACAAACAAACAAGTAAATAAAAAGGGGAGGGTGTGGAACCTTGGAAGATTTTGCCACATAAAAGCTAAAGAAAAATCTTGCGTTTGGGTTTTGAACATTCCAGATTGCTTAGAATATGAAAATCTGATTTGACTGTGGTGTATTTTTCTAAACCTTTTATTTATTATTTATTATTTATTTATTTACAGTATTTCTATCCCGCCTTTCTCAGCCCAAAGGCGACTCAAGGTGGCTTACAAAATTGGCAACAACTCGATGCCACAACAGTCATAAATACCATTTAAAACATTTAACGTAGCATAATTAAAAAATCCATATAAAATCCATAAAAACTATAATCACCAATGTCCTCCAGTTAAACTCATTTTCCATTAGCATCGTTTTAAGCCATTCCACGATCACTCTTTCATAGTACCGTGTTTATTCCGCTGCAGTTCCAAAAGCTTGTTCGAAGAGACAGGTTTTCTTCCCACCTTTTGGAGAGGAGTTAATGTGGATGTATTTTCTTCTAGAATACACATTTACTTAGGTATTTTACCAAATGTGTATATTTTCTGCATCGAGAAAAATGTGTGTCTGTCTTTTTCAATTTTGCATATTATGTTGGTCTTTTGCATTTTGAAATGTGTGCTGTTCCTCATCACACTGTAGAAGAATCCACTTTAAATCCAGGTGCTACCTCCTGCAGAATTCTGGGGTTTGTAGTTTAGGGAGGAGCTTTTAACAGCCTCACTAACCTACAAACCTCAGAATTCTGCAGGAGGCAGAAACTGGATTTAAAGTGGATTCATTCTCTAGTGTGATGAAGTAGATGCCCTTGAAAATATGGCAATTCTTGAGGTGCGTTTCCACTCTCGATGCATGTCTCAAGAGGTGCAAAAAGACTACTTGTGTCAAGACCATTGAATTGAACCAAATTCTTTTCCATTCTCATGTGTACGTACCAGGGAGTGGAAAATGGTCAGCAAGAAGTCAGCTAAATTCTGGTATGGTCAGCTGAATTCTGGTATGAAATGGTCAGCTGAATTCTGGTATGAAATTGGAAACTTGATGGTCAACAGTGATACAGTATTTTCTTCTTGAAGTTGTTATAACAGAATTTTTATAACAATTCTGTTATAACAACTTCAAGAAGAAAATACTGCTTTGAAGCTGCAAGGCTTCAAGTTGGCCAATTGCAACATTTACACTTGCCTCATGCAGACAAGAGTTCTTTCTCCCACTCTGGACATTCCACAGATATTTAAATCTCAAGTGCCTAGTTTCCAACAGACCTCACAACCTCTGAGAATGCCTGTCATAGATGTGGGAGAAATGTCAGGAGAGAATGCCTCCGGAATATGACCATATAGCCCAAAAAACTGACAGCAACCCAGAATTGTTTTTCTTTTAACCATAAAGTTGTTGTTTGAGAGAAACAGTATGACATATTGATTAGAGCAACAGAGCTGAACCTTTGAGCCTTGAGCCAGAGGTGAGAGAGAGAGAGAATATGATATAATATAATATAATATAATATAAATGTAATGTTTGTTTGTGGGATTAACATAACTCAAAAACCACTGGATGAACTGACACCAAATTTGAACACAATACACGTATCAGGCCAATGAGTGACCATCACTCATAAAAACACTGAAAAACACAGCTGAAGAGACTTTAAAAGCCAAAAAATAAAAATACATTACAACGCATGTGCAAAACCACACATATATATACAAACATGCATATATACACATATACACACAAACAAAACACATATACACAGACGGGCACAGCAATCCATGGCAGGGGGTGGCATATATGTGTGTGTGTGTGTATATATATATGTGTGTGTGAATATATATATATATATATATATATATATATATATATGGCATAATTGTCATGCGTTTATTCATTTAGGTAATTATTAATAAGCTAAAACATATGTCCTATATAGTCATATACAAACCTATACATTTTGGTCAAAAATTCAATTGTGTTTTCTTGCATAGTAGGTGGTTGGCCATTGTGGTCTCTTCAAACTCTATGAGTCCATAAATCCTCAAAACCCAGGCAAACTTATCCACTACTCAGTGTGTATATTGTTGCTTACTGTACCTTAACCATCCCCTTCATTGGGTAGAATGGTGAAAGGCGAGAGCTTAGTCCATATGAGAAGAACCTAAAAGAAGCACCAACTCCTTCTACTCTCTCTGCTATGGTGCCACTTCTGGTCTTTTTTTAATGCCTTGGCAGGGAAAAGGTTGAAGTGGTAGCCAGGGTGGCCCTCTGTGGCATCCTCTCTATGAAATGACCCTCAACTTATCTGTGAGTCCATAGTTTTTGCCCTAAAACCTGCCTTCAATGTATAGAATCATAGAGTTGGAAGAGACCTCTGAGTCTTCTAGTCCAACCCCTGCCAAGAAGCAGGAAAATCGCATTCAGAGCAACTCTGACAGATGGCCATCCAGCCTCAATTTAAAAGCCTCCAAAGAAGGAGCCTCCACCACACTCCAGGGCAGAGAGTTCCACTGCTGAACAGCTCTCATAGTTAGGAAGTTCTTCCTAATGTTCAGGTGGAATCTACTTTTTGTAGCTTGAAGCCATTGTTTTGCATCCTAGTCTCCAGAGAAGCAGAAAACAAGCTTGCTCCCTCCTCCCTATGATTTCCCCTCCTCCCCATGACTTTTACATGGATTTATACATGTATATACAGTCATTCTTGACACTCTTCCTAAAGCAGTTGGTGGAAAAGATGGCAACCCTTCTTGAACTTGCATTACTTTCTCTTCTTTCAGCAATCTGAACGTCTCCCAGGAGCCCACCTCTTCCTTATACCTCACTCTCGGCTGCTTCCCTCACCCAACCTGAATCTGTCTACGTGGCTAACTCTTCCGGTAAGAATCTCGATTAATTTATTTGAAACCATTCCAACTATCCTTTCATTAAGGAAACAAAAACACAAGGAAGAAATGATACCCAAAGTGAACTTCCTGACTATGAGAGTTGTTCAGCAGTGGAACTCTCTGCCCCATAGTGTGGTGGAGGCTCCTTCTTTGGAGGCATTTAAGCAGAGGCTGGATGGCTATCTGTCAGGGGTGGTTTGAATGCAATTTTCCTGCTTCTTGGCAGAATGGGGTTGGACTGGATGGCCCACGAGGTCTCTTCCAACTCTAGGATTCTATGAAGCTTATGAAAAGTACCACTGATCAGGTCGTGAGCTAAAAGTCACTGGCAAAAATTTTAAATGCCGTTAAAAACCTATGGGCAGTAGTGGGAAACCAGCACCTGATGCTGGAAAAATATTCTATGTTATCACACTAGGTAAGCTGATAAATTATTTGGATCTCCATACAAATATGTCACCATGTAAAAGGCAATCTGACTTAATAGCCAGCAGCAGAAACCAGGATTTGACCCCTAATATAAAGCATCGAATTGGCCCCTGGTGGTGCAGCAGGTTAAACCACTTCACTGCTGAACTTGCTGGCCGAAAGGTTGGCGGTTCAAATTCGTAGACCGGGGTGATCTCCCGCTGTTAGCCCTAGCTTCTGCCAACCTAGCAGTTCGAAAACATGCAAATGTGAGTAAATCAATAGGTACTGCTTCTGTGGGAAGGTAATGGCACTCCATGCAGTCATGCTGGCCATATGACCTTGGAGGTGTCTATGGACAATGCCGGCTCTTCAGCTTAGAAATAGAGATAAGCACCGCTCCACAGAATCGGACTCAACTAGACTTAATGTCAAGGGGAAACCTTAACCTTTTCATAGAACATCAGATTTGGTTAGGTGCATTTGAGAGTTAGTGGTCTTTCAGAAGTCCCGGTCCATTTCAACAGGAATGGATAAACATGGGCCATGGGCCATGAGCGACTGTATGGGCCTATTTTATTTTTATTTCCATGCTCATAGAATGTGAAAGGGGAGCCCCCGGCGGCGCAGTGGGTTAAACCACTGAGCTGCAAAGCTTGTTGACCGAAAGGTCGGAGGTTCAAATCCGGGGAGCGGCATCCATGCAGTCATGCCGGCCACATGACCATGGAGGTGTCTATGGACAACGCCGGCTCTTCGGCTTAGAAATGGAGATGATCACCAACCCCCAGAGTCGGACACGGCTGGACTTAATGTTAGGGGACAACCTTTACCTTTACCTTTTTAGAATGTGAAAGAAGGCAAGATATGAAGGATAATCTGGGTAGGTTTGGTTTCTAACCCTGACATTTTTTCCAGGATGCCAAGCGCTTGTCCCACATGGCTGAGGGGCTCTCCTTCTATCAGAATTTGGTACAGCAGCTAAAGAGCCATGAAGCCACAAAAGAAGATTTCAGACTTCTTTCCCAGCTTGAAGATCTCCGCTGTAATCTCCGAGACTTAAGTCACCATGTAAGCTATCAGGTGCGTTGACCTGCCTTTGAGATCAGAGATGGGACAAGAGGTATCTTTTGGTTCTTGCAACATGTCACCTATCTCGATTTCTCTCCATAGATTTCACATTGGGAGCTGTCATTTGAAAACCGGCTGGAACCAACTCTCCAACCTCCTCAGATCCTTCGGCATCAGAATCAGTGGAGCAACCGGCAAGAAGTGTACCTCGTCTTGCGATATCTTGAAAATTTCCTGTGTCGTGTGACAAGGGATTTTGTGATGCTCAGAGTTAGAGTGGTGAAGGGAACTTTCCTTTCCAAGGATCCCCGGACTCCCAATTCCCACTCGTTCTCATCCTAACGTCCTGTTCTAGGGAACGTTAGCATGCTGACAGCCAGGCTGCTAAACCTTCTTGTCTACTAATTTAAGAACGCTGTTTATTTATTAATGTTATATTGCTTGTCTGGAATATCTAATTTATATGTATTTATTTTTTCTACTCAAATATGTATTTTTAATTTATTTTTTAAATAAAGTGGACCAAAAAACACCACCACTATTTTCATGTTCATAATAATTGTTTTAACAACTGAATTGAACTTGTGTGTGCAAAAGAGAAAGGGAAACCAAAAGGAGAGGCAATGTCCTTTCCAGGAATCGGTGATGTTTTCAGAAAATGTTTATCAAGCTTGCTGGACTAGAGAACTGATTCTGGTTTGGGAACCTTGGACTTAAATCAGTGGAACTGATGACACCATTTGGAAAACAATTCTGAAGGGGTTGCCACAGTTCAGTGGCAGAACACATGCTTAATAGGCAGATAATCCTAGGTTCAGCCTCTATTATCTCCATGTACATAAGATAACTTTTTTAAAATTCAATTTCGTTTTTTTTTTTCATTTTCAGACCGAGAAAAATATTTTTAGAAAAAAAATCATAATATAGGTCAACTCCAAACTGAAAGATTTTTCCATCCTGCTTATTCTAACTCGGTGTTTCTCAAACTTCCTAATGCCACAACTCCTTAATACAGTTCCTCATGTTGTGATGACCCCCAAACATAAAATTATTTCTGTTGCTACTTCATAACTGTAATTTTGCTACTGTTATGAATCACAATGTAAATATCTGATACTCAGGATGTATTTTCATTCACTGGGTCAAATTTAGCACAAATATCCAATACCCCCAAATTTGAATACTGGTGGGGTTGAGGTGGGGGTTTCATTTTGTTATTTGGGAGTTGTAGTTGCTCGAATTTATGGTTCACCTACAATCATGGAGCATTCTGAACTCAACCAACAATGGAATTGAACCAAAATTGGCACACAGGACTTCCATGTCCAGCAGAAAATACTGGAAGAATTTGGTGGACATTGAACATGAGTTTTGGAGTTGTAGTTCATCTACATCCAGACAGCGCTGAGGACTCAAACAATGATAGATCTGGACCAAACTTGGCACAAATACTCAATATGCCAAAATGAAAATACTGGTGGAGTTTGTGGAAAATAGACCTTGACATTTTGGAGTTGTATTGCTGGGATTTATAGTTCTTCTACAACCAAAGAGCATTCTGAATCCCACCAACAATAGAACTGGGCCAAACTTCCCACACAGAACCCCCATGTCTTGAAGGGACTCGCTGGTGCGAACCTCCCTCCAGCGTCACACGCTCTCCCTCGCCCACACATGTGCACCACGCTGCTGTGCCCTGAGCACACTTGCTCTCCCCTCCCTGCCTGGAGTCTCAGAAATAGAGAGGCTGGCCCATCACAGCAGAGGAGAGCCTTTGATGGGAGGATTCGTAGTCCAAAAAGGAAGAGAAGGACAGGCAGTGAGATCTTCAGCCTTCTCTGCCAAAGGGGTTCCTAAGTCCACCAGAAATATATGTTTTCCGATGGTCTTTGGTGGTCCCTCTGAAACCCCCTTGCAACCCCCTCCCAGGGGTCCTGATCCCCAGGTTTAGAAACACCGTTCTAACTCTTAAATAATGACACTCTTCTAGTATTGAGTTATTGTTTATTTCTCTGAGAAGCTGCTCACCTTTAAGCAGATAGGTAAATAGACAATAATGTGTGTGTGTGTGTGTGTTTTTAAACAGTTAACAGCAAGCTTGATAAACAGAATGTTTTTACATTTCTTGCTACTGTAAACCTTCAAGTCGTTTCCAACTGATAAGACAAACTTATCACAGGGTTGGGTTTTGTTTTTTTTTAAAGATTTGTTTAGAGTTGGTTTGCCTTGCCTTCCTCTGAGGCTTAGAGGGTATCACTGGGCCAAGGTCACCCCATGGGTTTCTATGATGGAGTGGAGATTTGAACCTTAATTACCTAGTTCAACACTTAAACCACTGTAGCATTCTGTGTAATGATTTTTAGTTTTCCACCTTTTCATGTTGGAGTGGCTTTCCTCTTTATAGTTGTGTGTGTAATACTATAACAAGCAACTTTCACTATCATTGTCTCTCTATGCAGGAATTTCACTTCTGTTAGAGATAATAAAAAGTATTTCTCAACCTAGGTATCATTTGAGGCAAAGAAAGTTTAATGATCATAGATTTTCCCCGGGTAAACTGCACAAATTGACGGAAGATCATTAGTAGTGAGAAAATTGATGGCAAGGTGGTTGCATATAGATGTGGGTGAAACGTCAGGAGAGAATGCTTCTAGAACATAGCCATACAGCCCAGAAAACTCACAGCAACCCAGTAGTAGTAGCATTTATATCCCACTTTTTGTCTTCAAAGGGAGACTCAATGCAGCTTTGAGTTAGGCAGTGAATCCGTTCCAGATTTTAGTGCAAACTTTAAATAATCTATGCATATTCCTCAAACAGATTCAGTACTTTGTATAACTACACTAGTTTAAAATTCAGACTAAAACCAACTCATTGTCCCATTTAACGTGTCAGTCACCCACTACCACCGCTTCCATTAACACAACTAGACAGGCATTCTTTGGTTTTTTATCCATTAATTTAAAAGTTTTCAACCAGAACTTTACAAAAAGGAGGACAAAGTGCAATAGTTTTGAAAATCTGACTACTTAATATCTGAAAGCCCTTGAAAATTCATGCCCCACATCAGAAAAAAAACTGCCATTTTAAAAAGTAGTTAAGTAGACACAAACAAAACAGAGAATACTGAAACAAAATTACGAATCAAAAGTCTAGGAGAATAAGGTTGGCTTCATCAGGTTCCAAAAAGGGAGTCAAGCTGGCGTGGGCCCAGAGTCTCTGAGAATGGTGTTCATATTTGGGTAACCACCATCGCTGAAAAGACCTTTGTTTGATCACCATCCTATTTTCGTTTGAAGTTGACAGTACCCAGAGCTCTGGTGCACATTGTTATGAATTGAGGAAGACAAATTGGAACAATTGTTACTATATTACAAAACTAAGATGTCAAATGACCAGCCAGAAGATGACTTGGGACTTTCACCAGTAATTTGATATAGAAATGAAGACACAGCTCTTTCTACACTGTGAAAATTAATATAACTGCATAGTAATGTCTACATTTTAAGACATTGTTAATGCACTGCTACAGAGGTGGGCTGATAGGTTGACAATCCCATGCAAATACATAAGATATATACATTTGTACAATCCAACTGTTTATCAACACATTGGTCACACAAGCCCCAGACAATGAAGCAACAGATAGGCAAATCAGGGACAAATATGCTTCAGTGAGTAAAGAATTTGATATTGTGAAGCCAATGAAGAATTCCCAGCATCATATATGGTTCTTAAAGTTATGATGCTGGGGAAGATGTGGAAAGCTCTAATGTGGAAAACACCCTGACATTGGTGTTCATGTTGAAGCCATCAAGACACCCTTACATCAAAAATTACTGATCTGTGTAATTTTATAACATGTCTCTTCTCACAGTGATTTCTAGATGTTTTGATCATGGTGGCTTGATCCAGGATGCAGCAGAGTTTATGTGAATTACTTCACACAGCCTTCTGAATTGAGGGGAGAAAGTGTCACTGGGGTTTGCGCAAGCGCATCTGGAGTTCAGCCATCATGTTTGGGTGCATAGGTCCAAACCTGGGAGGCAGAAAGAATAGCCATAGTGAGACAAAAGTAACAAGACATCATGGATCCCATCTACTACCTATTACTTCCAAACTCCTAATATTGATAATAGTGGTGATGGGACATTCATACCCAGCATGCCTCATGGTTGGTCTGGGTGCTCTGGGTGGTGGTTGAGATGGAATGTTCACAGGACTGGGTACATCTGTTTGTTGTGGAGTGTTCACGGAACTGGTTACATCCGTCTCCTGTGGTAAGTTTTCCATTGATGGCCTTGGTCTCTTCAAGCTGGGTGCCCGCCGGATGGAGCTCTTCCGACGTAGGAGCACACGTTCCTTCTGGGCACTTGTGTCCAGAGATGTGACCTACAGAACAGAAGTAAGTTGAATAACAGCCATGCCCTGTCTCCACATATATTCCACTTTCTTTTTTAGTATTATGCTTACCTCAACCTGGAAGGTTTGGTGCCCAGGGAGTGGAGTTCTTTCAAGGGAGACACTGGACAAGGATCCCTGCTGCTGCAAGCTCTTCTGCTTTTCTTCTAGCTGTCTCAATTGGTCTCCTGTAATCTTGGCCAGTACTTCTTTGTCAAGACACCAAGCTTCGGCCACCTTCATTGACTCTTCCTCTTTGCATTTCTCCAGTACTCTTCCCGTGCGCTCCTCATGTTCTTCCTCAGTAGCCCATGCCTCATTTTTCACAGGTTCTTTCGATTGGTCCCCCTCATTCTCTTCTGCCTCTGCCCATTTTCCCTGCTGATCCTTGCTGTTATCTAATATTCCCTTTGACTCGCCATACCGCTCTTGGAAATCCATAGCAGTTTCCCTAAGTTCCCACTGATCACTTCTCACATCTTTATTTTCTTTTGGTTCCTCCTTATAATCTTCCTCAGTCTTTGCCTCATCCAGCACTCCTTGAATTTCTTTTACTGTGGCCAAATCCTGCTGGTTGGATTTATCTGCCTTTACCTCTTCCTGCTCAACCTCCAACTGATTGACCTCTGCCACCAGATTCAGCAGCCCAGGTTGAAGCCCTCCAGTCCATGCTGGCATCTTTGCAAGTTCCTCCTGTTCTATAACAAATTGGGTTTTTTCTGGTGCATCTTGTTGAGCTTCCTTGTTCCTCCAAGTTCCTTCTAGCTCCCTCTCCTGATCCTCTGTGTTTTTTACTACCTTTTCTACTTCTTCCTTGGGTTCCCACTGACAATTTATCTCCATCTCTTCTTTGATTTCTATATCTTCCTGCCGGTCAGCTTCAATCTCTTCCCCACTTGGTATTGCTTCCTGAATTCCTTCTTTCCCTGCTACTATATCTACCATTCCTTTCCATTCCTCAGCCACTTCTCCTCCGTCTGCACGGTCCCTCTCCACTTCCAAACCCTGCTTCTCTACCATTTTTTCTGCCTCTTCTAGCTGCCCATATTGTAATGCCACAGATGGTGCTGTCCTCTCTAGTCCTACCCGCTGTTCCTCTACAAATTGTTCCTTGACTAGTGACATTTGTGGAACCTTGTTGCTAAACAAAGTCTCCACCAGCTCTCTTTCCAGAGCCACTGTCGTTTCTCCTACATCTCCTGCTTCTTCCTTTGATTCCCATTGACAGCTTTTCTCCACTTCTTCTAGCACCTTAGGTGGGTCTCCTCCAGTCTCTTCCCCACTTGGCATCCCTTCATGAAATTCTTCTTTCCCTTCTACTGTATCAGTCACATCCTTCTTTTCCTCCACCTCTTTTTCCACCTCTACTTCTCCATGTACTTCACCTTCTAGGCATTGATTCTCCACCATTTTGTCTGCCTCTTGCAATTCCCTAGTCTGAAATTCCACAGATGCTGCTGTCCCCTCTAGCCCTACCCACTGTTCCTCTACAAACTGATCCCAGTCTGACCTTTGCAGAACCTCCTTGTTACACAAAGTCTGGTCCAGCTCCCTTTCCTGGTTCTTCTCATTTGTCCCTTTTTCCTCTCCTACTTCTCCTTTTGGTTCCCACTGATGCTTTTTTCCCTTACCTTCTTTTCCTTCAAGCATCTCCTCTTGGCCACCCACCATCTCTGACTTATCAAGCATATATTCCATAATTCCTTCTTCTACTATCATGCTATTGGACTCCCATTGCTTGTCTTCCTCTCCTTTTACTTCTCCTTCCTCTATTTTTACAAACCCCAACTGCTGGTTTTCGACGGTTTTATCCACTTCTTCCTCCATTGCATGATGAAACCCTCCAAAGCATCCCATCACCTGTACTGGCTCGGTTTGCTGTTTTGTAACTAGCGGGTTCCAGTCTGGAATCTCCTGCTGAACATCTTCGTTTCTCCAAATGCCCTCTAGCTCCCTCTCCAGAACCACTATTGTTTCTTGTGCTTCCTCCTTTGGCTCCAACTGATGACTTCTCTCCTCTTCTTCTAGCACCTTCTGCTGGCCTTCAGTTTCTTCTCCATTTGATCCTCCATTACCTCCTTCTTTCCTTTCTACCACATCTGTCACATTTTCCTTTTCCTCAGCCTCCTTTTCCACTTCTACTCCTCCATGTTTCTTTTCGCCTTCCAGGCACTGACTCTCTGCCATTTTTTCTGTCTCTTCCAACTTCCCATACTGAAATTCCACAAATGGTGTTGTCCTCCCTAGCACTACCTGCTGTTCCGCTAAAAACTGTTCCAAATCTGGTGCCTCTTCTACAACCACTTTGTTCCACAAAGTCTCCTCCAACTCCCTTTCTTGCCTCCTGTTCATTTCTCTTTCCTCTTCTACTTCCCCCTTTGACTCCCACTGATGGCTTCTCTCCATCTTTTCTTCCTTTTCTAGCACTTCTTCCTGGTTTCTCTCAGTCTCTGGGTCATCTGCCTTTGTTTCCTGGATTCCTTCTTCCATTGCCATGCTATCTGGCTCCCACTTCTGATCCTCATCTGCCTCTGCTTCTTCTTTTGCAGTTTTCAGCTGCTGACAGTCTTTTATTTGGTTGACTTCTTCCAGCACCCCATGTTGAAATGCTGTTGCCTCCTCTAGCTGGGTCTGGTCTGGTGCTCCTTGCTGAAACTCGTCATTCCATAAAGTTTCTTCCAACTCCCTTTCCAAACTTGTTATGATTCCTCCTGTTTCTTCTAATTCCCTCTGATAACTTTTTCCTGCCTCTTCTTCTTCTGCTAGCACCTCCTCTTGGTTTTCCTCATTCTCTGCCTCATTGAGTAGTGATTCTAAAATTTCTTCTTCCACTGCCACCTTTTTTGTTTCCTCTTTTTGGTTCTCTTTAGCTTCTATTTCTTCCAGTTTCTCAGCTTCCAACTGCTGTTCATTTGTCACCTTGGTTGTGCCCTTCAACTCTCCATGCTGAAATCCTCCAGCCCATGCTATCTTTTCTTGTCCTCTTTGCTGCTCTCCTACATGGGGTGTCCCATTGGGCACCCCTTCTTGAGCTTCCTCCTGGGTCCATGAAGCTTTCAGTAGCTGCTTATCCTGATCCACCCTGATCCCTCCTGTATCACTTTCTTCATGCTCTTTGCTTCCATCCAGTGGCCAGACTGGTCCCCATTTGTTATCTATCGCATTTTCTTGCACCTCATGTTGAGATGCCTCCTCTAAGCTGGTTCTTTTTGGCTCCCATTCAAGGAGTTCCTCTAGGTCTTTCTTCTGCTTCACAATTACTTTGAGGTTTTCTTGAGTGGCACCAGCTTGGAGCTGACAGGAGTCTGTGGGAGAAACAAAGGGACAAACGTAACAGATCTTTTCCCCACCACCACACTCTTCTCATTTGAGCATTCCAGCATCACTAGTGTTAGTGTCTTCCTCATGGCCTTCCTCTGGTACCAGGCCATGTCACAAAATTGCAGCTAAATAACCAATATATCTCACAAAAGCAATGACTATTACCAAAAAATTGTAATGCTCATTTTTTTTGCTAAATTACCTTGCCAAAATTAAGGTGTTAATTAGAGTTGTGTAATACAGTAATTGTAATGCTCACTTTTTTGGGCTAAATTACCTTGCCAAAATTAAGGTGCTAATTAGAGTTGTGTAATACAGTAATCTTAGTACTGAGCCAAAGCAAAAGGGGAAGCTGTTTCAAGAGCACCTGGGGCTCCTATTTAAGGGCTGTCAATCACCCCTAATTTTTCCCCTGGTGGTGCAATGGGTTAAACCCTTGTGCCAGCGGGATTGCTGACCGACAGGTCAACTGTTTAAATCCAGGGAGAACTGGTTGAGCTCCCTCTGTCAGCTCCAGCTCCCCATGTGGGAAAATGAGAGATTTATTTATGTATTTTATTTAAAACATTTATATTCTGCCCTTCTCACCCCGAAGGGGACTCAGGGCGGAGCACAGCAAACATTCAATGTCGGGACACAAATTCACATACAATACATAAACATTTAAAAAAATAAAATATTAAAATACACCATTTAAAACCATCCTAGTCATCCATGTCAAATCTAATTGGCCTGGTCATCTTTCCTATTGCCGCCTTATTGCCCTGTCCCGAAAGCTTGGTCCCACAGCCAAGTTTTTACCATCCTTCTAAAGGACGGGAAGGGGGCCGATTTCACCAGGAAGGGAGTTCCATAGTCGGGGAGCAGTCACTGAGAAGGTCCTGTCTCTCGTCCCCACCAATCACACCTGTGACAATGACGGGACAGAAAGTAGGGCCTCCCCGGAGGATCTTAATCTAGGAGATGCCTTCTACAAGGATAGTAAAACATCAAACATCCAGGCATTCCCTGGGCAACATCCTACCGGGCCCAATTCAAGGTGCTGGTGTTGGCCTACAAAGCCCTAAACGGTTCTGGCCCAAAATACCTGTCTGACCGCATCTCGGCCTATGAGCCCACGAGGACTTTGAGATCGTCTGGGGAGGCCCTTCTCTCGATCCTGCCTGCCTCACAGGCACGCCTGGCGGGGACGAGGGATAGGGCCTTCTCGGTGGTGGCCCCCCGGCTGTGGAACACCCTCCCTGTAGACATCAGACAGGCGCCCTCCCTTATGACATTCCGCAAGAGACTAAAGACGTGGTTGTTTGAGAAGGCGTTTGACTAAGTGCTACAACAATTGGCAATGACGATTGGAACGGAACATGGATAACGAGATTGGATTGTGATTCTATGATGAGACGTCGTGAATGATTTAGTGTAATTGTATTATTGATAGTGATGTTGTTATTGTTGTTTGTGATATTGCCTTTATTGTAAATTGTTTTTATATGTTGTACACTGCCGTGAGTCGCCCTAGGGCTGAGAACGGCGGTCTACAAGTGCAGTAAATAAATAAATAAATAAATAACATTCTTGCAGACAGCCAATTCTCTCACACCAGAAACAACTTGCAGTTCTCAAGTCGCTCCTGACATTAAAAAAAAACCCACTAATTTAATTACCATGAATCAATGCTGTGCAATCCTGGGATTTGTAGTTCGGTGAGGCATCAGCATTCTTTGGCAAAGAAGACTCGAGACCTTGCAAAATTATAGCCCCCGTGATTCCATGGCATTAAACCAAGGCAATTAAAGTGGATCCATTTTACTATAGCACAGATCCATCCCAAGGTTTTCTTTTCCATTGGTGGAAGCTTTGGTGTTCTAAACAACAAAGAATGCACTTTTTGCCACTGTACATTACATTCAGCAGCAAATACCTTTTTTGGTTTCAGGGTTTTGAAAATTGAGGTGAGCATTAGATTTGATAGTGCATTATACTCAAATAAATATGAGTATTTACTTATTTTTAAACATATGTATCTCTCCTTTCCTTAAAAGATCAAAGTAGCTATCAAACTGAAACGTAATGTTAACAAGCTTACAGATAAAAATAACAGAACTAGTACTGAGATAAAAATCATAACAGAACTAAAAAGACGGAAACCACACAAAACTATTTAAAGTTTGCGGATTGTAGTTTGCAGATCATTAAAAGCAGGAGCACAGAAAAGTCAACAATCACACAAACAAGCACACCCACACCCTCTATGTGTAAATATATATACATCTTCCTTCAACATGAACCATGGCTCAGCAGAACCTAAACTGAGTTCTGTATCATCAAGTGTCAGCCCCAAAATCTTATTCACATGGCAGGAATTAATCTCAGAATATGTGAATAACAAAGACGGCACTGTGGACTGACCTATGCTCACAGCTGAACAAGCACAGCAACTTCACACACACTTCAGAACTAGAGATTGATCATGGAAGAGGAATGCTTGGACTGAAAACTAAATTCAGCTCATAAGGCCTATGGATACCACAGTCCCTGGTTCCACAGAGACTTGTGTCCAAAGTGATATCCCAGAATATCAAGGCAGGAAATCCCACATTATCTGAGTGTGGACTCAGATGACCCAGTTCAAAGCAGATATTGTGGGATTTTCTGCCTTGATATTCTGGGATATAGGGCTGTGTGGAAGGGCCCTTAGTTAGCTTCATTCATATCTAGGTTTTCCTTCAAAAAACCAGGAAGGGGGCTCAGCTGATAAAGAGAACCTTTCCCTATATACACTGTATCTGGAGACCCCCTCTATGAGGACAAATCACTGTGGCACAACAAGAGAAAGGACTTTCATAGTTGGTCAACCCAACTGTGGAAGGCCTTCATCGCAGTAAACAGACAACACCAATGTCAGTTTATTTTTGGCACCACCAAATCAAAACAGTTTTTATATTTAAGCCTTTGGGGTCTGATATACTTTTTAATTACAGACACATAGTTTCATATTGTTGTAATCTTTTATGATACATGAACTTATTATCATGTTTGTGTGCCTATGTCCCTGCAAGTCACCATTCAACTTATGACGACCAAATTAATTTTATAGGGTTTTCTTAGACAAGGAATACTCAGAGTTGGATTTGACACATCTGTCTATCCTATTGGATTTTTCTAATCTGGAATTATTCAAAATTGCTTATATTGTAATTCATATTCTTCCCCAAAATACCACAATAAAGAGCAGAATACAAATATTTAAATAAATAAATACATAATAACAGAGGGTCTGTTTTGAAACAAACCAGCTAGGAACCCAAGCCCCATGGAATTATCCACCACTCCCCACAATATGACTGTGATGCATTCTAGAACTTCCCATCACCTGAGACCTTCTGCTGAGACTCTTTCTCATATTTGCAGACTTGTTCTGACTGTTCAGAAACAACCACTGTCGTACCATCTTCTACTCCCTTCTGGATCTCCTGATGGGGTGAGATCACCTGAAAAAGACAATTCTTACTGAAGAAAAGCTAGAGCACAGATGGGTCTTTTCTATCTTCAACCCTCCAAAACCTACCTCTGGGGTGAGTGGTCCTTCTAGGACTTCCAGATTTCCACCTGGAAGAACATCTCTACAGAAAGGAGATGGAAGAGAGGAAAAGGTGACTCAGACCACAAGCAGAGATGATTTGACTCCAGATGTTCCTCACCCCCTTAGAGTGAGAAGAAAAAATCCCAGTATAAATAACTCCCTGGCATAAGCTCCTTTCTTTACCCATATTGTGTTGTCTCAACTTCACAGTTCTGGTGGCTGCTTGTCTCCCTTTCATTTTCTGTCTCTCCGGCTCCTGGGTGAGCTTCATCTCCAAAGAGGTATGAAGTAAAGGAGGAAACAAAATTCTGAGGACAGGGTAGAGAAACAAAAACAATTAGCAGTTAAGGGAACTAGCAGACCCTCTCAGGATGAACTATAGGTCCTGGGTTGCACTCAATCCCAACTGATGGGGTGGGGGGGGGGGTGTTGCTAACCACAGCCTGTTGCAGGGTCCCTAGCAGCCGTTGAAGATACTCCATTGGGCATCTGGATGAGGCGGAAAAGAGATCAAACAGCTTCCCCTTTTCTCCCTGGGGAGGGAAGTAATGTCGACGATTTTGACCACATCCTCCTCACGGTCATTGCCAGTGTTCATTCTGGCTTTGCACAACAACAAGAGCCGCATCAACAGCAAGACACCACAAAGTTTGACAGAAACAATAAGTGGTCAGACAATGCATCAGCATCAACGATAGGCTAAATCAGCCCCAAACTAGGGGAGTGCAAAAACATTTTGGAGAGAGCGAAAAAGTTGTGTTCCTCTTTTTGCAAATATCCAAATCCTGTCAATCCCTTGTCCCACAGTCTCTCCAAATCTGTTCTTTTTGTAATGTCTGCTAACTTGAGCTAAGTTTTAACTGATCTTATCCAGTTCAGCAAGAGAACCTAGACCGGAGCTTTCCAAACATTTCATGTTGGTGACACACATTTTTAGACATTTCTCATTTCACGACACAGTAATTCGGTTTTACTAGCAAGCCAGAGGTTAAACCAACCTCTTATAAGAGATACAAACATGTACATGAATTGTAATAACAAAATGTATGAGGATACTATATGCATATCTCATGAAAACCTTCCATTTATATTTATTGCTTACCAGCTTGGGGACCTGGCGGTGCCTGTGTTATTTGAGAAAGGCATTGTGTGCCAAGGTTGGTCTTTATCAGTTATTTATGTGGCTCGCAGTGCTCTCAGGGAGTTAGTGAAGGTACTGCAAGTCCCATTGTTCATGGTTCATCCAGGAGGTAGAGTGGCTCACGGAGGCTCTGTGTGCCAAGTTCGGTCTTGATCAGTCATTGGATAAGGGTCACAGCGGTCTCGGGAAGTGAGTGAAGGTACTTCAAGTCCCATCATCCGTGGTTTACCCTCCTTCAAACTGCATCAGGATGTAGAATGGGTTATGGGGGCTCTGTGTGCCAAGTTTGGTCTTAATTAGTCATTGGATGAGGTTCGCAGGGGTCTCGGGAAGTGAGTGAAGGTTCTTCAAGTCCCATCATTCGTGGTCCAACCTCCTCAAAACTGCAAAAGGATGTAGAGTGGGTCATGTGGGCTTTGTGTGCCAAGTTTGATCTTGATCAGTCATTGGATGAGTGTCGCAGCGGCCTCAGGAAGTGAGTGGAGGTACTTCAAGTCCCATCATCCATGGTCTGCCCTCCGCAAAACTGCAGTAGTATGTAGAGTGGGGCATGGGGGCTCTGTGTGCCAAGTTTGGTCTTCTTTGGTCTTTGTTGGGGGCCACAGTGGTCTGTGGGAACAAAAGGCTTTGAAAGTACTGCAAATCCCATCATCCATTGTCTGCCTCCTGCAAACCACACCAGGATGTAAAGGGCATTAGGGGGGTTATGTGGGCCAAGTTTGGTCCAGATCCGTCACCCATGCTGTTCACAGTGGCCTGTGAAAGTGGCAGCCAATCAGAAAGCTGCCACATACATACATACATACAAATATTCACTTTGATTATATATATAGATTTCACACAGACACATAGAGGGACAATAAATGTTAAAATATAATAACTACAGTCAAATTTGATTTTTCATATGTTTAATGAGCACTGACTATACCATTCTGCAAACTTGCTTGCTATTTTGTGTATCTTTTTTATTTTTCCCCATTTTTTTGTTTTTTGTTGTTTGTTTTGTTTCTTGTGCACACTATAAAACAATAAAAATTAAAAAGAAAATAAGAAAAGTAAACGCGGCAGTCGTAATCATTATATTTAATAACCTTTTGCACCATTCAATAATTTCTGTGTTTTTATAGAGTATCCAGTAATTATGAAAGGGAAATATTAGCCTTATCTTCTGTGATGAAACAAGAGAACAGGTATGTCCAAAGGCCAACTTTATTTTTCGAGAATCATTATATGCCATAATGCCACTGGTAGCAATCTAAGTTTTTGTGTTTGTTTGTATTATCTGGAGCCAGAAAGACTCACCCCATAAATGCTGAGGCCACGTTCACATGTCACGACAATCTATGCAACGTCTTGTTAAAAATCTGACAAGCTATGATTTACAAATCCACTTTGAACAACTATAGTTTGACCAATCAAAAACTATAATCGCGATTTGCTGTTGTCGGCTTACAAAGTTTGGCTTGCTTGAACTATGGCAAAAATTGGGTTTTAAAAAAACATTTCCAAACAGTGGGTGATTGAATCCATAGATACAGAATCCGTAGATACAGGACCAACTGTAATCTGCAAATAGAGGGAGAAGGACGAGGAAGCTGAGGCATTTGAATGTGCATTGAATATGTTGAATGTGAGTTTTCTGGGCTGTATGGCCATGTTCCAGAAGCATTCTCTCCTGTTGTTTCATCCACATCTATGGCAGGCATCCTCAGTGGTTATGAGGTCTGTTGGAAACTAAGCAAATGGGGTTTATTTATCTGTGAAATGTGCAGGGTGAGAGAAAGAACTCTTGTCTGATTGAGGCAATTAGCCACAGTGATTAGCATCAAATAGCCTTACAGCTTCAAAGCCTGGCTGCTTCCTGCCTGAGGGGAATATTTTGTTGGGAGGTGTTAGCTAGCCCTGATTGTTTCCTGTCTGGAACTTTAAATACTGTTTATATTTAACTCTGTTGTATTGTTTGTATATTTATATATTTTAAATTGTGTACTAATACTTTTATGTTAGGCTGCTCTGAGTCTCCTTATAAATAAATATAAATATAATAATAATTTAAAAACAAATTGAAAATTGAGGAAATATAACAAAATTGAAAAGAAATGTTGGAATACATTAAAAGGAAAAATGGAGGAGTTTTGAGATGAGATATACAAGATGAAATTACAAATACTGAATTTTAATAAAACTGTTCAAATAATTTGTATCATTATCACTTGTGGCTAAGCATTAATCTCAACTATATTTGTTTATATTTAACAGAAGCTAGAACAGTTAGTAGAAATACATTATAATATTTTGATAGATGCATCAGCTTGGGGTGGGAAAAGGTCTACTGTATTTTTAATGCATTTTTAATTATTTACTAGCCATCCCTTGCCACGCATTGCTGTGGCCCGGTCTGTGTATATGTGCTTTGTGTGTGTGTATATATTTGAGTATATGTGTATATGTGGTTTTGCCCATGTGTTGTAATTTTTGTGGTTTTGGCTTTTTAAGTCTCCTCTGCTGTGTTTTTCAGTATTTTTATGAGTGATGGTCACTTGTTAGCCTGATAGGTGTATGGTGTCCAAATTTGGTGTCAATTTGTCCAGTGGTTTTGAGTTATGTTAATCCCAAAAATGAACATTACATTTTTGGGTTGTTGTAGGTTTTTTCGGACTATACGGCCATGGTCTAGAGGCATTCTCTCCTGACGTTTCGCCTGCATCTATGGCAAACATCCTCAGAGGTAGTGAGGATCCTCTGAGGATGCTTGCCATAGGTGCAGGCGAAACGTCTGGAGAGAATGCCTCTAGACCATGGCCATATAGCCCGAAAAAACCTACAACAACCCAGTGATTCCGGCCATGAAAGCATTCATCATTATATTTTTATTTATATAGATTCGTAATAGGGAAGTAATGTAGGGGAGAAAGCGGCTGTGCGGGAGTACAAAGGATAATTTTTGTATCATTTCAGCTCTTTTAACTTCCTGCCTATTTTTTATGATTTTTCATTTCAATTGAGATTGTAAATCCAGATCCATAGAGGATAATTTGGGGCTGTTTTTCATGCCAAACTGGGACACGTTGCATCTGCAGCCATGTTATGAATGACTTTTCAATGATCTTAAAGCATAGGTTCTTTTTATTGCAATTTCCAGTGTGAGAAGGTATATCACATTACAGAAAACATTTAGACAAAGAATGACATTGGACATACAGACATACAGATTCTATGCAACTACATTGGATTCACAATTACATTGGTTAACAAACAAACATAGGGGAATTACATTTTCACTCAGCATTCACACACATGTACATGCATTCATCCACATGCATCCAAATATTGCCATATCCTTTTCTCCCTCCTTGGAGAAGCACCTGTTAGGCCAGACCCTGCTTCCCTGCAACCTGCCAATGCACAGTTCCAAAACTTCCATAACGCCATAACTTCAGGACGCTGAAATGCCAAAACTTCTTTCCCTAAGAACAATGCCAAGGACCAGATCTCTGTTTTCCATACAACAGAACCTGACTCCCTGCACAAAATCCAAGACTCCAAAAGCGCACTTCTTCCTCTTCCCTTGAGAAAGAAGCCTCAAAGTGTCCAGAATCATGCTTTCCCATAGCATGTCTGACACTCTCCGAATACACCACCTCTGTCCTTTCCATGGAGCAGAGCATGGTGGGTGGAACAGACTCCTCGGTCTGCCACCATTTGAGCATTATTAGACTGAGTCTTTTATAGGAATATTCTGTTGATGTAGTCCCAAAGTTGTAAATTAATGATAGACGTCTTCCATCCTGGATCCATCCCAGTTTCCTGGCCAGATGTTGATCTTCTTGATTGGTGTTGATCTTATGTTGACTTCCTTCTTAACATAAGGAAGATTGCAAACATTTCCTTTATCCCTGTCCCAGTTCTTATCAGGGTTTCTCATTAGCAAGTCCAGCAAGCAGGCGGTTAGTCACTGCAGGCCTTAATATTATACTGGTGTTTCCAAAATTATTAACTCCAACCACACATCCTTCCATTCTCCCATTCATTCACACACATCATTTTAAATTCACATTGATCAAATTTGCACATTGCGTTTCTTATTACATCCAGAGCTTGAAAAATATCCTTTCCACATTGTCCCTGCAGTCTCAAAAAGTAACATTTCCAAGGTTTGCTGAGACTCAGTATCTTTCAATGTAACCATATAAACTGAGAGTAACATAAGAGCCATATTAGCAACCTAATGTCATGTCTGTGCCAACGCAGCATTTTTCTGAGCATATCTGTCCCTCCTTCCCTCCTCCCTCCCAGCTCTGTGTTTCTGGAGGGGAGTGAGATTGCAAGGGCACACAAGTGAGGGCACTGGCAACCGGAAGTGGCGTCCAACGAGGAAGTAGGCTCAGAATGGGATCTTGTTTTTTCCAATGCGGAAGTGCTTTGCATTTGTTGCTGCCTGCTTGGCTGGAGATGGGCTCAGCTGTTTCTTAAAGGCACAGAGGCCTTGGGGGAGTGGAAGGTGGCAGAGAGAGACTGATTTTCTTTTCATTCCCATTCTGATTAAATAAACCAGAAAACCTAGGTGGGCAACCTGGCACCCCATCGGCAGCTCCTCTCCACCATGGGGCCTCCTGGGGCAGGATGGCAAGGCATTTCTGCTGATTCTGATGGTAAGTCTTTTGCTACTATTTACAAATCACCTTCTGATTTTGAGTGCATCTGCTCTGTATGATCAATGAGGTTTGAAACCATTTAAATCCCATGGCTCAGTGCTATGGAATCAAGGGAATTGTAGTTGGTGGGGCATCAGCCCACTTTAGCAGAGGAAGCTAAACTAGAACTTCCATAATTCCATAGCACTGAGCTATGGCATCTACACTGGTGTCAAATTGCATTAATCCTGCAGTGTAGATCAGTGTTTCTCAACCTGGGGGTCGGGACCCCTGAGGGGGTTGCAAAGGGGTGTCAGAGGGGTCGCCAAAGAACATCAGAAAACACAGAATTTTCTGATGGTCATGAGGATTCCATGTGGGAAGTTTGAGCCAATTCTATCGTTGGTGGAGTTCAGAATGTTCTTTGATTGTAATGAACTATAAATCCCAGCAACTACAACTCCCAAATTACAAAATCAATCCTCCCCCAACCCCACTAGCATTTACATGTGGGTGCATTGGGTATTTGTGCCCAGTTTGGTCCAGTGAATGAAAATACATCTTGCATATCTGATATTTACATTATGATTTATAACAGTAGTAAAAGGACTGTTATGAAGTAGCAACAAAAACAATGTTATGGTTGGGGGTCACCACAACATGAGGGACTGTATTAAGGGGTCACGGCATTAGGAAGGTTGAGAAGCACTGCTTTAGAAGGAGCTTGAAAACGTGGTTGTTCCAGTGTGCCTTCCCAAAAACATCCAGAGGAAGATGAAGATGTTCCCCCTGCAGAGGAGCCTGGGGATCCCCAAGACGCCTGGAACCAGAGGAGGAATAACCTGGGCTTCTGGTGAGACCCCTTTCCTTTGATTTCCACTTCTATTCAAGGCTTTTTATTGTTGAGCGCCCCTCATCTGAAATTGTAAAATCATAGAATTATAGAATCAAAGAGTTGGAAGACCTCATGGGCCATCCAGTCCAACCCCTGCCAAGAAGCAGGAATATTGCATTCAAATCACCCCTGACAGATGGCCATCCAGCCTCTGTTTAAATCCTTCAAAGTTGTCCATATGGGTGGTCAAGATAGTGACAACATTGCTTTCCTGTGGATCATTGCATACGCACTTTGATTTATGGCATTGTTTAAAATCCTATCCTATCTGACTAGTCATTGATCCACTCCTTTGGGCTTCATGCAAATCTACCCTTTGCCAAAATGTACAGTCCTATGGGTTGTTGTAGGTTTTTTCGGGCTATATGGCCATGTTCTAGAGGCATTCTCTCCTGACGTTTTGCCTGCATCTATGGCAAGACTCCTCAGAAGTAGTGAGGCCTGTTGGAACTAGGAAACTTGGGTTTATATATCTGTGGAATGACCAGGGTGGGACAAAGAACTCTTGTCTGCTGGAGCTAGGTGTGAATGTTTCAACTGACCACCTTAATTAGCATTTGTTGGCCTGGCAGTGCTTTGGTGTGGCTTGTTAGTGCCAGGGGGGATCTTTTGTTGCCACTAACAAGCCACACCAAAAAACTGCCAGGCCATCAAATGCTAATCAAGGTGGTCAGGGAGAGGAAGTGGTCATACTTCCATATGCCGTTGGACTGCAACTCTCAGCGTTCCTTGCTGTTGGCAATGTTGATGGGAATTGACTAGGGCTGATGGGAGTTTTAGGCATGTTTGAAGTGCTTTGTGATTCCCACTTCTGTTCTTGATGGATTGAACAAAGTCAGGATAAGTGCTTAAATGAGAAACTGCTTAGGAGCTGATCACAGATGTACCCATTTGGGCTCTAATATGGAAAAATAAAAAGGCAAAGTCAGTAGTTCTCAACCTGGGGTCCCCAGACGTTTTTGGCCTTCAACTCCCAGAAATCCTAACAGCTGGTGAACTGGCTGAGATTTCTAGGAGTTGTAGGCCAAAAACTTCTGGGGACCCCAGGTTGAGAACCACTGGTCTAAGTGTTTAAATGGGAAACTGCTTAGGAGCTGATCACAGATGTACCCATTTGGGCTCTAATATGGAAAAATAAAAAGGCAAAGGTTTCCCCTTGACAGTAAGTTTAGTCTTGTCCAACTCTAAGCTGAAGAGCCGGCGTTGTCTGTAGACACCTCCAAGGTCACGTAGCCGGCATGACTTCATGAAATGTAAATAATGATACCAATCACTTTGATGCTTGAGATGCTCCTGCAAGTGTTGCAACTAATCTGTCTTCATCTCACAGGTTACTGGGACTTTGCAACAACTTTGCTTATGTGGTCATGTTGAGTGCTGCCCATGATATTCTCAGCCATCAGAAGGTGCCAGCTGGCAATGGGACTGAACCGGTGAGTGTGCAGAGCAGACAAACATATGTGTGTGTGTTGTGTCTGCAAGAAACAGTTCTATACTCTAGAGATAATGCAGTTTGATGCTACTTTAACTGCCATGGTTCAATGCTATGGAATTATGGGAGTTGTAGTTATATAAGGTCTTTAGAATTAACGCAGTGGCTTGATGCTATGAGATCATGAGATTTGGTGATGAACTAACCCTCTTTGGCAGAGAAGGTGAAACACCTTGTAAAACTATAACTCCCATGATTCCATAGCATTGAGCCATGGAAGTTAAACTGAATTATTAGTGTAGATGCACCCAAGGACAGAAATGTATAGCTAAAGTACCTGCTGTAGAGCTTGGAAAACCTGCCTTTTGGGATGCTGCTTGCAAAATCTCCCAGCCAGCATGGATTAACTTGTCTCAACTAATCCTGCAATAGAAAGTAAGAATGAAAGCAAAATCCATACAGAAGATCCAGAAAGTATGTGAAAGAAAGTGTATGGAAAGGAATGGGGAGTGTGGTATGTAGGGAATGGGAGTACAGAGTGCATTCACAAGGCAAATGCTAAATCGCACAGTTGAAATATGACCAAGAAGGTGCATGTGTTTGTGCCAAAGAATCCAGCAGTAAAGGCTTGTGTTTATTTGATACCCCTGTAGTGAGAATAACCCATAGATTGGACATTAGGAGGCCCTTCTTAAGAACAGTGAAGAATTAGGGGAAATTTAATATTTTCCCTAATTTTAAAATGTGAAAATGTCACTGACAGAGAGAAAGGATAACTAACCATCTCTCTTTTTATCTTTCTTTGGAGCTGACCCCCTTCAGCATCTTGTCTTGGAAAAAAGATGTGGCGGGACTGTTCCATTATCCGGACAGAGACCACAAGGAGACGCTAGAGAGAGAAGGATAGTCTATTTTACAGGGGTGAAGGAGGAAAACCATTTCCCCCTGTTTTCCTGTTGGGAATAGCCAGCGAAAACGTAGTAAATAGTTTTCCTCCTTCAATTCCCCTCATCCTCCGTAAAATGGACTATCCACTTGTTATGAACCCAAAGAGGTTCCTGTTCTTTTGTGCGGAGTGTTCAAGGAATAGTAAAGCAGTTTAGATCAATGAGACACTTTAGAGACCAAACACTATTCATGTAACATTTATTGAAATACAATCACCATAGAATCACATCAGAATCACATCAAGAGAGAGCTCTCGTGCACACATTCCAAACATTCACACATACACACACACAGGCCTTCTCCAGATGATGATCAGCCTTCCTCCGAGAAGGTGTGGATGTTTCATTGCCATGGATCAAGAAGCCTCCATGATCTTGGGGTCCCCTGCATTTATAGGTCAAAATCCATTTTTCTACTTTTTAAAACACATGCTGTTCTGTTCTTTCGAGTCCTGTTTTTCAAGTTCAAGACATTCCAAGCTATATAATTTATGGAGTACCTCCTGCACACTCCTTGCACTCCTTACATGCTCGGCCGCACACCTTATTGTTCATTGTTGTTCAGCTGTGCCTTATCGCTTCCTCGCTTTGACTGCCAAGTCCGACCCATATCATGTTTTATGCGAACTCCATGTTGATTCTTCTTGGCATGTTTCTTCTGCTCTTCTGCATGCACTCACACATTCATTCATTACACTCTCTCTAGCGCCCCATTGTAACCTCATTCCAGATAATGCAGTGGTTCTGAGCCTTTTTTTTTTTGACCAGGGACCACTTTGACCAGGGACCACTCTCCAACATTAGGACCACTCTTCAACATTAGAATCAGCACCCCAAATAACCAAACTGAATCTAAAGTTTTTGGTCAACTTTACATTTTGTTTGGTTATTTGGGATGTTGATTCCGAAAATTGTATTGGATAGACCACATCAGCACTAATTTCTGATACAGAACATATGCCATCCAGTAATCACCATGCTCACCCACAGAAAATCATATTTAATAATCTAGAGCTGATGTGGTAGTAGTCAACTTTTGTGGGTAATCTGACTGTTCCCTCCAGATATCCCCATTGCCTCGACACTATAAGAGAGTTTTATGAGACCATTCATGCTTGTTGCCGTGTGGTTTTGAGGCAATGGTGTAGTAATGGTGAAACCGCTGACCATATTTTCGTTCTTTCGGACCACTTGTGGTCCACGGACCACAGGTTGGGAACCACTGGGATAATGGAACAGTACCAAGGTGGCTAGAGATGGTGTTAGAAAAGACAACTGAAGTCACACCAACTCTTATGTTTTCTTGGTGTCACACAAGGTGATTCCTGGTATATCTTTCAGCTGTCCCGATTTGACAGGGATATTCATGATGAATCCCTCATCACCTCACTTTTGTTTCTGCTCTTAAAATATCCCAATTTGCCTCTCCTCCTCACTCTTCCCCCCCCCCCCTTGTCTTCAGCTTATTCAGTTGCCCCCAGTGGCGCAATGGGTTAAACCCTTGTTCTGGTGGGACTGCTGACCAGCAGGTCAGCGGTTCAAATTTGGGGAGCAGGGTGAGCTCCTGTCTCAACTCTAACTTCCCAATCTGGGACAAGAGAAGCCTCCCCTGTTGGTAAAACATCAAAACATCCGGGCATCCCCTGGGCAACGTCCTTGCAATCGGCAAATTCTCTCACACCAGAAGCGAGTTTCTCAAGTCGTTCCTGACATGAAAAAAAAAACTGCTGCAAACTGAACTCAAAGTACAAAGATATTTTGCACTTAATTAGAGAAGAAAGAGAAGAATATGAGACATCTTTCCCTTCCCAGTCGGTTCAGGCAAAAGCAAATTATTGCAGTCTTTCCCTGCCTGTGCATTGCTCATTCATAATTTTGGCCTTCTTGACCCATTATGTAAACTGTTGGAAGGTATGTCCTGAGCGAAGGGAATCATTCAAGAAGCTGCTACTAGTAAGGGGCTGGAATCTCATCTCCTCTGTCTAAATTTTCTTCTTGTATCCAATTCTTCCCACAGATTCCTCCTAGTGCTAATGATTCCCGGTATGACTGCAATGCTGTTTCGACAGGGGTACGTGTATGGGAGAAAAGGTGCAGGGTGATGGGATTGAGAGTTCGGCACCAACGATTATTCACTCCCATCTCTTTGGTGCTCCTTACAGGCTGTGCTGTTAGCTGACATTCTGCCGACTCTTCTCATCAAATTCAGTGCCCCCTTTTGTATCCACTTGTTCCCCTATGGGTGAGTTGACAAAGTTCATAGGAAGTACTAGGAGTAGACACTGAATTCCCTGCAAGTGTACAAAAGAAGCCAAAAGGATCTTGGGTTGTTGTGAATTTTCCGGGCTGTATGGTCATGTTCCAGAAGCATTCTCTCCTGATGTTTTGCATCTATGGCAGGCATCCCCAGAGGTTGTGAGGTCTGTTGGAAACTAGGAAAATTGAGTTTATATATCTGTGGAATGTCCAGAACACTTGTCTGTTTGAGGTACGTATGAATATTGCAGTTGGCCACCTTGATTAGCATTTAATGGCCCAGCAGTTTCAAGGTCTGCCTTCTTACTGCCTGGGAGAATCCTTTGTTGGGAGATGATTAGCTGGTCCTGATTGTTTCTTGTCTGGAATTCCCCTGTTTTTGAGTGTTGTTCTTTATAAGAGTCCTTTCTCCCACCTCAGGCATTCCACAGACATATAAACACAATTTTCCTAGTTTCCAAAATATCTCACAACCTCTGAGGATGCCTTCCATAGATGCAGGCGAAACGTCAGGAGAGAATGCTTCTGGAACATGGCCATACAGCCCAGAAAACTCACAATAACCCAGTGATTCTGGTCATGAAAGCCTTCGACAATACAAAAGGATCTTATTTACATATGCAATTTGGCAAAAATCACAACAATCCATACAGAAGAGAACTCAAGTTAAGTCTACACTACAAACACTTGGACTTTTTGTTAACATAAAAATATCCTCGTTATTTATTTCCTTGTTATTTATTGAAATATCAAAACAAGAGAGCCCATGCCCTTGAAGTTACATTTTCCTTTTTCATTTCCTAGTAAAATAACAGTTGATGGAAAGGCACAAGCTGTGAATACATATTGTGTATGTTAACTGCCATACACTGTTCTTATATTTTGATTTTTTTTTTTTTAGTATTATCTGACTTTTTGGAAGGCTGTATCAGAATTTGGTTTGTGTTTCTGTAACTTTAAGGAAGATAAACTGCACTCATTTAATTATATTCCACATTCAGAAAGGTGGTTGTTAAGAGGCAAGTAGGAAGGAAATTGAAGGGAATTAACTGTCCTAAGAAAGTTATTTTTTATATGTGGACTATAAGTAAAAAGAAGGAGCCCTCAGTGGCGCAGTGGATTAAACCGCTGAGCTGCTGAACTTGTTGACTGAAAGGTCACAGGTTTGAATCTGGGGAGTGACGTGAGCTTCCGCTGTCAGCCCCAGCTTCGGTCAACCTAGCAATTCGAAAACATGCAAATGTGAGTCGATCAATAGGTACTGCTCTGGCAGGAAGGTAACGGCGCTCCATGCAGTCATGCCGGCCACATGACCTTGGAGGTGTCTACGGACAAGGCCGGCAGTTCGGCTTAGAAATGGAGATGAGCACCACCCCCCAGAGTCAGACACGACTGGACTTAATGTCAGGGGAAAACCTTTACCTTTACCTATAGGTAAGAAGATTTCTGGTCAGCTCTAATGCTGTCCAGTTTCTCATTGAAGCGCTTGCTTTCAACTTACAGGTTGCGTGTTGCAGTCTGTGTTGCCACAGCCTGGAGCAGTTTCCTACTGGTGGCCTTCTCAAGAACCACAGCGCAAAGCATGACAGGTAAAAGCAATCTTCACAGGGAACTGAGAGGAACTGATAGTCCTCCAGTTATAGCAAGAGAGGATTCCTTTTGTCACCTTATTTCCTTGGAAGATGGAGATCTGAAATAATTTGGCTAAAGTAGAGGAATCAGGAAATGGGATGTGGATTTTATGCGGGGGGGGGGGGGGGACTCAATACTTGCCATCTCATGATTCAAACATATCTGGAGTTGGACCCAAACTATGGCCCCTTTTACACTGCCATATAGAATCCAAGTTACCTGGTTTGAGCTGGATTATATGGCAATATGGACTCATATAATCCAATTCAAAGCAGATAATGTGGATTATCTGATTTAATAACCTGGATTATATGGCAGTGTAGATCCAGCCTAAGGGCCCTTCCACACAGCCATATAACCCACAATATCTGCTTTGAACTGCATTATCTGGGCCCACACTGCCATATATCCCAGTTCAAACCAGATAATGTGGGATTTTATTCAGCTGCGTGGAAGGGGCCCAAGTGGGAATGGAATGACTTAGGGCCCTTCCAGACAGGCCTTATATCCCAGGATCTGATCCCAGGTTTTCTGCTTCAACCTGGATTATATGAGTTCACACTGCCAGATAATCTGAGATAAACAGAAAACCTGGGATCAGGCCCTGGGATATATGGCCTGTCTGGAAGGGCACCAAAGACCCTTCCACGCAGCCCTATGTCCCAGAATATCAAGGCAGAAAATCCCACAATATCTTCTTTGAAATGGGTTATCTGAGTCCACACTCAGATAATGTGGGATTTTCTGCCTTGACATTCTGGGATATAGGGCTATGTGGAAGGACCTTAGATAGTACCAGTGAAGGATTCCTGTTGTGCTATAGTGTGTTTCTCTCACTCTTGATGCACTTGAAATGAAGGAAGGTATCCCAACTACTTCTTTCTTTGGTTCAATTCACAAAGCTCAGCATTCCTAGTTCAGATAAAATTCAGTAACCTGTACACAAATTGCACTTACTGATGGCTTCTCTCTTTTTTTGTAGGTGTTGTGCTGGCCAGCATTTCATCTGGCTTGGGTGAAATAACATTCCTGGCATTGACATCTTTTTTCAACAGGTAACGAAAGGATGACATGGTTGCAGATCTTGGTATCAAGGTCAAGGCCCCATCTACACTGCCATATAATGCAGAGTCATAATGCACTTTATATGAGTATACACTGCTATATAATGCATATAACTGCACCTGAGCCCCCGGTGGTGTAATGGGTTAAACCAGGGATCCTCAAACAGAGGGCCAGGTCACAGCCTCTCAAACTGTTGGAGGGCCGGATTATAATTTGAAAAAAACACGAATGAATTCCTATCCACATTGAACATATCTGATGTAGTGCAAAAAAACCACCTTAAAACAATACAGTAATTAAAATGAAGAACAATTTTAACAAATATAAACTTATTAGTATTTAAATGGGAAGTGTGGGATTGCTTTTGGCTGATGAGATAGGATTGTTGTTGTTGTTGTGTGTATACTTTCAAGTCATTTCAGATTTAGGTTGACCCTGAGCGAGGGCCGGATAAATGACCTTGGAGGGCTGTATCCGGCCCTCAGGCCTTAGTTTGAGGATCTCTGGGTTAAACTCTTGTGTTGACAGGACTGATGACCGACAAGTCGGAGGTTCGAATCTGGGGAGAGTGTGGATGAGCTCCCTTTGTCAGCTCAAGCTCCCCATGCAGGGACATGAGAGAAGCCTCCCACAAGGATGAAACATCAAACATCCGGGTGTTCTCTGAGCAACATCCTTGCACATGGCCAATTCTCTCATACCAGAAACAACTTGCAGATTCTCAAGTTGCTCCTTACATGAAAAAAAAACTGCATTGTGAAACTGCATTATATGGTAGTGTTGATGGGGCCTAAGACTAAGATTAATTTTTTTCTTAAGGTTAGTCAGTTTAACTCATCATTGCATGCCTTTATGCTTAATTGCAAACGAAGAAAAATCCTTCATTTTCACCTGATTTTAAAGAAAAAGGCAGACATAATATTGTACAGAATGATATTGGGTTTACTTCTGTGCAGCCTTGCTGTGCATTTCATTCCGAAAAAGGATTTCTGCAATAGTTTCCTGCCTAGTTGGTTTGATTCTGGAATAAGGTAGTTGTGAACACTTCCTGTTGGGTAGTATCTATGTTGTCACCAACATAACACCCGGCCCTTTTCACAAGTCAGTTGCACAGCTTAAAAAAAAACTTGTCAAAAAGATGCTGGATTGGTTCTCAGTTTAATCATACTTTGACTTAACTATTGAAAATGAAACTGAAGTTAGTATCATTAATTTTGATGAGTCTGTTCTAGGTTGTTATAGGTTTTTTGGGCTATACGACCATGTTCTAGAAGCATAGTCATATAGCCTGAAAAACCTACAAGAACCCAGTGATTTGGGCCATGAAAGCCTTCGACAATAGACCGTTCTAGAGTTGTCAAAATAGGAATCCAATATAATTGATTTTGTCTATTTGTTTTGCATTTGAAGAATGGATATATAAACATGTCATATTTCAAATGACAGTTAAAGGTGCCTAGCTAGCCTCATATCTGAGGAGAGAGGCAGGACTGAGAACTGATGCCTTACCTGACTTACTTATAAGGTGCCTCACTATTGCAAAGTTTGAAGTAGTGTAAGTTTGTGGATGTAATTATGGCAAAGTTGGAAGTGATCACATTGAAATTTCTGTTGAAAAGTACCATAATTCACATTTGTTTCCTTTCTTCCCAATTTTAGTTCTGTGGTTTCTGCTTGGTCCTCTGGAACTGGTGGGGCTGGCTTGATAGGCGCCCTTTCCTACCTTGGCTTGACACAAGCTGGGCTGAGCCCTCAACACACTCTCCTGGTCATGACCATTATTCCTGTCATCATGCAGGCCAGGTGAGGTTTGGAAGCAGAATATGTGGGAAGAGTCCATTGGAAGTGGAAATTACCGTATATATTTGAGTATAAGCCGAGTATTTCAGCCCTTTTTTAGGCTGAAAAAGCCCCTCATGGCTTATACTCAAGTTAAAGTTATTTATTATTTTACTCTGTTTATTATTGTTATTATTACAGTTACATTATTTAATCTATTACTTTTATTACATTTTATTATTTTACTCTATTATTACATTTATTATTTTACTTTATTATTATTATTGTTATTTTACTGACACAAAAACACAGTATGTCACAGCAAATGAGATCTATATGCTGGATTTCGTATCACAAAATCACAAGTCGAACACTTCTCAAGAGTCTAGGACTGTGTGATGTGTGATGATGACTGTGTGATTATATTATTATTATTATTACATTTATTAATTTACTCTGTTTATTATTATTAGATTTAACTTATTTAACCTATTATTTTATTACATTTTATTATTTTACTCTATTATTACATTTATTATTTTACTCTATTATTATTATATTTATTATTTTACTCTCTATTATTATTGGAAGGATATGTAAACACATTTACACTGAAGAAGGTTAGAATAACAGTTTAATCAGAGGACAGTCTTATCTTAAATTATGGCTTTATGTAAATATTCAAAAACCTTTAACCTACTGAGGCCTCAATTAATGTAATTTTATTGGTATCTATTATTATTTTTAAATTTACCAGTAGCTGCTGCATTTCTTACCCTCGGCTTATATTCAAGCCAATACTTTTTCCCAGTTTTTTTGTGGTAAAATTAGGTGCCCTGTCTTATATTCAGGTTGGCTTATACTTAAATATATGTTGGTACTAGGGAAATAAACTGGGAAAACATTAAGTGCCCCAGCAAACTTTGATCCTCTAGGTGTTTTGAACTTCACCTTCCACAATATTGGCTGTTAGGAATTATAGGAGTTGAAGTTCAAAACACCTGGAGGGCCAAAGTTTGCCCATGCCTGGCCAAAAGGCTACTTAATTGTGGGGAAATGTCTTTTCTTATCCATAGCTGAGAGCCCTAGTTGAATATGATCTCTTTCATTGTGTACAATTACAGCATTTTGATTCCACTTTAACTGCCATGGCTGCATCCTATGGCATCCTGGGGTTTGTAGTTCATGAGATACTAAGAATTCTCTAGCAAATTCTCTACCTCATAGCAGCAGATCTACTAGAAATAACCTTAGCCCCCTGTCTTTGGAGCACCAACATGGAATAGTAGTTTGAGCATTGGACTATGATTCTGGAGACTAATGTTGTAATCTCTGCTCAGTCATGAAAACCCAATTTGGGCAAGTCACAATCTCTCAGCTTCAGTGGAAGACAAAGACAAATCTTTCTGGGAAAATCTGGCCAAGAAAATGCCTTGGGTTGCCATAAGTCAGAAACACTTTGAAGGCACAACAGCAACCCTGTCCTTTGATAAGTAGAAGCCAACTTCCAGTTGAGGGACAGTATAGAGGTTACATGATTCCACAGAGCATCTGGGATCCTCGACCATCTCCTTTTTTCTCCTCCTCCATAGCTATTGTTTCCTGTTGGCTCCACCTCCTCAGGCCCCCCGCTGTGGCTGGGGTCCTTGTATAAAGAAATCCCCACGGTCTTCTTCTGTGACCCACCAACCACTTCTGGGGGGCAGCAGTACACCCCGAGACAGTAAGTGATCCTAAGCAAATGGGTCAATGTTTCTACAATATCGCATTTGCTCAAATGAACCAACATGATCATTTATTGCACTTCTGCAAAAACAACAACAATAAATAATTGTGTTGTCAAAGGCTTTCATGGCTGGAATCACTGTGGTTACTGTGAGTTTTCCAGGTTGTATGGCGAAGTTCCAGAAGCATTCTCTCCTGACATTTCACCCACATCTATGGCAGGGCTATTCAATGCTAATCAAGGTGGCCAATTGCAACATTCACATTTACCTCCAACAGGTAAGAGTTATGTCTCCCACCATGGACATTTCACATATATATATAAACCCCACTTGCCTTGGTTTCCAACAAACCTCACCATCTCTGAGGATGCCTCCCATAGATGTGGGTGAAACATCAGGACAGAGTGCTTCTGAAAGATGACCATACAGCCTGGAAAACTCACAGTAACCCATAAATAATTGTATGTATTACCCATCTCTCTTCACCCATCGAGATGGAACACAACACAATTAAAACATATTATCATAGCATGCATATATTAAAACACCCCACCACAAAATACACAGTGGAAGGATTAAAATGCAAGTACATTTATTAGGTACATATCTTTAAAACGTCAATCCCTGAGAAGGTATGGTCTTTGCATTGTTTGTTTTTCCTGATGCGTGCTGCTCACACCAGCAAGAGGAGGAATTACCCAGCATTATAAATCAATCATTTATAATGCAGTGTGCAAAAATATCCACAGCTCTGATCAATTTTTTTGCTTAACTCTGTCTCATGTCAATTTTTTTCCAGCTTTAGAGACGCAGAGCCCTCAGCTCACTTTGCAGGAAAAAGGGCAGGTAGTCAAGGTAAGGCTCCTAATTAAAATGGATATTTGTATATTTTCATGAGGAAATAATACAGATTTTCTTGGTGTATGTATATTTAAAATTCTTCAAAGTGTAGACTATGTCAAGATATGTATAAGCATATGTTGAATGGATTACTTTTTAGAAAAGGAATGTGAATTAAGTACAGTAAACAGTGGTAATTCAAAACAAATAGGGTTGAGACCAGAACTTGGAATAGTTACCTTTTGGGGTGACAATTCCCAGAGCTTCCAGTTAACACAGCCACTGATTATACTTGCTGGTGAATTCTGGGAATTGTTATCCCATTAACATTTCCAAGCTTCCATCAAGATTAGACACCACTTATTAGAAAGGAACACAGAGAAAAAGGCTTGTTCTCAGATGTGCCAACCTTTTAGACGTTTTTCAGCTCTTAGTGTTGTGTAACACAAGTTGCAATCTCTAAATATCGAGAAAATAATAAAATATCAGAAAGTTTGATCTGAAAGTTTTTTTTCCCATTTATCACGAAGAGAAGATACCTGATTGCAGTTTTCGGTGATAAACACACTCTGCACATGCCAGAGTTTTGTGCTTTTATAAAACGGTTGCTGTTGCCCATTTTTGGTCAGAACATATTTAGCCGCTTGTGCTCCTTCTATTTTTATTGGTTTTATACTAATTTGTGCAATGCTTTGGGTACAAAATAAATAAAAACAGTGAAAAAAAGGTTTCTAGCATAAGTACCATATTTACTCATGTCTAATGCTCACCTTTTTTTGCCTAAATTGCATTGTCAAAATTAGGGTGGACAGTAGATCTGTGTGCTGAGCTAAAGCAAAAGGGGAAGCTGCTTCAGGAGCACCCGGAGCTCCTATTTCTCTAATTTAATTTAAACAGCTTAATGCGTTGGGATCCTGATGTGTATTTTAGTGAGGCATTAGCATTCTTTGGCAGAGAAGGCTCAAGACCTTGTAAAATTGCAGTCTCCATAATTCCATAGCATTGAACCAAGGCAATTAAAGTAGATTCATTCTATAGCAGAGATGCAGCTCAAGGTTTTCTTTTCTGTTACTAGAAGCTTGGGTGCTCAATGGCTTCTCTTGAGAACACAGAAATGCTGGACCACTCTAATAATCACCATGTCAGACTACACAGAGAAGCCATTGAAATCTACAAGCATGTGGACAATTTCAACAGAAAGGAGGAAACCATGAAAATGAAAAAAATCTGGCTACCAGTATTAAAAAAAACTCTAAAATTACAACAGCACAACAACAGAGAGGAAACAAACAAGGACATCTAATCATCTCTCAACAAAAGATTCCCCCAGGCACTGTCAGGCCATTATATGCTAATCAAGGTGGTCAGTTGAAACATTCACACCTAGCTCCAGCAGAGAAGAGTCCTTTGTCCCACCCTGGTCATTCCACAGATATATAAACCCTTTTTCCTAGTTTCAACAGACCTCACTACCTCTGAGGATGCTTGCCATAGATGCAGGCGAAACGTCAGGAGAGAATGCCTCTAGAACATGGCCATATAGCCCGAAAAAACCTACAACAACCCAATTTTTAAAATTCACAATGTTTCACTTTTGTGGGAGTCCCTGTGCCCCAACCCTAACTAATATGGAGGTCTGACTTTATTTGTGTACTGAAGCAGTGAGGAAAAATAAATTATTTCCAGTTTTTTAAAAAAACTTCTCCTAGGCCTAAGGGACTTCCAGGGCTGGAAAAAATGGCAAAAATGCTTCCACTCCACCTAGAGTTAATTTGCAGATATTGGGGATCCAAAACAAAATCAGCATCTGTTTGAAAGCTTTGGGGGAAAAGGGTGGGGAGTGGGAGCACACACTCGCTGTGATGTAAAATATCCAAAACCAGTATCTTTTATATAAGCTGTTTGTTTAAAAGTCATAAACAGTGTTGTTTAGAAATATTGCATTGCATTAGGTGACTGCTCATTCATAGAATCATAGAGTTGGAAGAGACCTCGTGGTCCATCCAGTCCAACCCCCTGTCAAGAAACAGGAAAATTGCATTCAAAGCACCCCTGAAGGATGGCCATCTAGCCTCTGTTTAAAAGCCTCCAAAGAAGGAGACTCCATCACCATTCCTTTCCTTGTATTGCCTTGTTGATGTGAAAGCACATGGCCTTTACAGAATGCACTGAGAAGTATTTACTCTCCTCCAGGGTCTCTTGAAATACCTCATCCCTTTGGCTGTTGTGTATTTTGCAGAATACTTCATCAACCAGGGCTTGGTGAGTGTGAGGGCGTCATGGGGGATATAAAGGTGGAGACTTATTTATGACAGAATAGGAGCCATTCATTTCACCCCTCCCTTCTTAACTCTTTCTTCTTTCCCTTCCATAGTTTGAACTCCTGTATTTCCGAGAAGCACCTTTTAGTCACCCGCAACAATATCGCTGGTGAGTTTGGGTTATGACGAAATCATATAAAGTAGATTTCTTGGGATCCATCTACACTGTAGAATTAATGCACCTTAACTGTGATGGCTCAATGTTATGGAATCCTGGGTGCTGTATCTTCACAAGGTCTTTGTTTTTCTCTGCCATAGAGAGCTGTTGCTTCACCAAACTACAAGTCCCAGGATTCCATGGCATTGAGCCATGAATTAAGGCATCACGTTTCATTAATTTTACAGTGTAGATGTGTCCTCTGATTCAATCTTAGTTTGCAGACTAGAACGGAAAGTCAACCAAAAACTCCTGGGTTTCTTGAACTCTATTAGGTACCAGATGCTCTACCAGGCTGGAGTCTTCATCTCACGTTCCTCGGCTGCCTGTATACGGATTCGACAAATATGGCTCCTTGCAGTGCTGCAGGTATAACATCCCCTCCCTAACACACAGTCAGTTAATGTTCCTTCTTGCCTGCTTGAGTCACATTTCCTGCCATTCCCATTTTGAGGCAGAATTTAGACATGTTCCTTTTTGGACTACAACACCCAGAAACTCCCAGAGAGCTTTTTATTTTTACAGTTTGTGTTTACATGTGGGTTCAGCATCTACTGTGTAACTGAATTATGCTCCCCTTTACAGGGTATGTTAGTTTCTAAACAATAGTTCAGAGATGGAGAACTTGAGTCCTTTCAGGTTCTGCTGGACTGCAGCTCCCACCACCTGTGATCAGCAGAGGCAGTAATGAGGAATGATGGAAGTTACAATCTATATAGCAGGTCACATTTTCCCTACCCTTAGAGGAAAGGACACTGAAAAAAAATTGTCTGGCCCTTATGAAAAAAATGAGCAATAATCGGACACTTAATGTGCTTTATCTTTCTGGACAGATCTGGAACTTGGCCTAGCATGACCTTGTGCCATTCAGAGCAGGTTGAAACTCAAATAGCCATAGATTGTGGAGTTAAACATTATCAGCTGATAATACCTTCAGTGACTAACTGAGACTAACTGAGCGAAAGAAGTTGGTAGCATAAGTTTTCATAGGCTTAAGTCTATTTCATCAGGTTAATGGAGTACCTAGGAACATACTTTTATAGCTAGGAGTGAGCAGGTTATATGCATGAATAGCAATAGAAATGTAAAACTTGTAGGTATAATGATGAGGTGACAATGAAAGTCATTGAGGGATATGAGGAAAGATGTTTCCCAAAGCCAAGATATAAATAATGGTGGGATTTATTGGAATATAATGTGATGCTGGCTGGGGACCAGAAGGGAAATGTGATCAGTTTGCCAAGAGGCAAGAGTGTTAATTAGTGTTATAACCCATTCACCTTTGCTTTTAGCAACATCCTTCCTTCAACAACCATAATTAAAACAGAATTTGTCACATCATCATCGTATCCACAAATTCTAAACATGATTTTAGTTATATGCAAAGACCTTTGAATACCATAGAACAGTGCAGAAGAATCTGGTGATGCCTAGAAAAACATTCTCTTCAGGCATCCATGATTCTATGGTCAACTTTCATTAGTATGGATTTCTGCGCTTTTAAACTGTTTTAGTGTTTTAATAGGATAATTATTTGATTGTTTTAACTGTCTTTATTATGATTTCGAGACATACTGTTTTAATCTGTGTTGTGAGCTGACTTTGATCCCATTCTGGGAGAAAGGCAGGACGTAAATAAAATGACATCTTGGAAGCCTCTCACCTTCGTATTACATCTACCTTCATCCTCCCCCTCACACACACCTTTTCCAGCGTTAAAACAACCATGTAGCTGCTCTTTTGTCACCCTAACGCTCTTTTATTTTTCACACCAGTGCCTGAACATGGTCTTCCTTGTGATTGCTGTGAGCTACATGTTTTTGCCAAGCATCTATTTGGTTTTCGTTCTGATCATCTATGAAGGATTGCTGGGAGGAGCTAGTTATGTGAACACCTTCCATTGTGTCAGTGCAGAGGTGAGAACTGAATGAATGTAATATTGGTGATGGTCAGGATTCAGTCAAATATTTGAGTAGGTAGAATGGATCTTACTGGAAAGCCCCAAAATTCTAGTGCACCGTTGCTCGAAAGAAAAGGAATATGAGGTGAGCACTAGAATTTTGGGACTTACCAGTAAGATCCAGTCAGGTGGCACTTTTTCCCAGTGACATGACATTGGCAAGGGAGCAGCCCTCAATAGAAATATCAGCATGGTGTTACGGACCAAAAACCATACAGTGATTTGTATACTGCTCTGAGGTGTCAGGAACTGTCACTGTTGCAGCAAAGAATTACTGTGTATATACCTTGATTTCTTGAGCAATGATCAGTAGATGTCTTGAGCAATGATCAATCTATTTGCCCCAAGGAACTGGGAAATTGATGCTTCTGTTTGATGTTTTGTCTTATGTCTGTTATAACAGGCTGCATTTTTTATTTAATTTTAGTTGTTAAATCACAATTTGTGTTTATATGTTGGGTTGTTAATTTTTGTTACTATGGATATATTGTTGTTGTATTTGGGTATTGAATGTTTACTTTTTATGTTTGGAATCCGCCCTGAGTCCCTCTGGGGAGATAGAGTGGAATATAAATAAAGTATTATTATTATTATTAGTAGTAGTAGTAGTAGTAGTAGTAGTAGTAGTAGTAAGTCCTCCCCATTTGCTAGAATTAGGGGCACAGGACCCTCTCCGAAAGCATATGAAAAATACACTTTTTTTTTACTGTGACAAATATGTCTCTAGGAATTCCTTTAGACATTGATCATAAAGTCATGCTGGAAAACATAGAGATTCCTAGAGAGGTGTTATCTCTAGGAATCTTTATGCCTTCCAGTACAATTCTATAAACTTCCAGCAGATATTGATTATAGAGTAACAGCTAGAGGTTATTAGAAAGAACTGTAGTAATCAAACTCTTGAATAATATAATAGCAGAAGTTCAACCTGCAAATGTGGGCGACTGTAATATGGTCTCTCTTTCCCTTCTAAATGCAGAGCCAGCCGGAGCATCGAGAATTTGCCATGGGAGTGGCTTGTGTAGCAGACACATTCGGTATCTCACTTTCGGGTGCCATTGCCATCCCAGTCCATGACTATTTCTGTCGTCTCCCCTGAAGGTTTCTTTCCAGTGGGACCAGCAGATGCCTCAATGTACAAGAGCTTCATTCCAGAGTGGTATAGCAGCCAGTACTGAAGAGGGGGAAAATAGGACTTTTTGTATATCCCTCCTCTGGCTGAATGGGGAGTGGAAAGGAGGCTGTATGGGGTACAGCCCTTAGTGTTTATACTTTGGTCATGTTGGTTTTCAGGCATTATTTTGTTTAATTCAGAGCTCCTCCAGACTACTCAACAGTGCAGAGGTCAGAGGTTTCCGTTTCAGAATGCCATACTTTGTAAAGCCCGTTTCTGCTCTTGCCTCCAGTTGTACTCTCAATATAATGGGGTTTGAGCCCCAGTGTGCTGCTGCTGGTTGTAGCACATTAAAAATGTTACAGCTCTACTGCTAGAAGTTAATACTACTTGAGCACCTAAAGTGATGAAGGAAGGAAGGAAGGAAGGAAGGAAGGAAGGAAGGAAGGAAGGAAGGAAGGAAGGAAGGAAGGACGGGAGGAAGCAAGCAAGCAAACAAGCCAGACTGGCAGGCTAGCCGATCAAAAGAAAGAATGGGGGGGGGGAAGCGAAGAGAAATAGATTATCGGTCTGGTAACCAGAAATGTAAGGAGGGAACAAATATAAGTTGAAAACTTTCATTCCAAACATTGTGAAACCACACAAAAGTACAGAACTGAGACAATGGAGATGGATTCTTGGGCCTAAAAAACCCAAACGTTATGCAGTGAGTCTAAAACATTGTGGCTAATACTGAAAATTCACACACAAAAAATAATGGGAAAGAAGTAATATTTTATAGGGGAAAGCTCCAGTAACTACAGCTGTAACTCCTACCAATTCATAATGCTTTAAGCCAGTCTGGATGAGCACTTAGCAAGAGTCATCTTTCAATGTTGTGGAGCACACCGTTTTATGGGGAAATTGGGTGGCAACTTCAAGAGTAATAGGGATTTGGGAAGATATCGTCCAAAATTATTTTTTCTGAAGGATTTGGTGGCTTCATCACAGCATGCAGGACCCCAGCTGGATGGGTGTTCATGTTACATGATTTTTGAAGGATGTTTTAGTGTTGCACATACAAGCTACAGAGCACTCCCTTAATTTTGGGAAATGGGGAGCAAAAAATAGTAATTACTGTTTATTCACATAACCGGATTTTGTAGAAGAGGTAGTACAGTCAATATTCATAGGTGACTTTTTAACAGGAATCATGGAAAAGAGCTTGGGTCCAACAGGTATTCATTTTAAGGAGAAAATATGGTAGTTTTACACTGTGATCAATTTCTGTCTCAAACACAATCAATAAACCAGCTTTTGAAAAGAGGTCTGCCTCGCTTCAAATTATTGTCCTGCGTCAAAGAAGCCAAGTATGACGACAAACTGGTAAGCTTCTCTTTGAAAGCCTGTTTTGCTGGTTTTAGCACAGAGTCAAGAACCAGAGTCTCTGGGCTAGAGATAATTATTATGAATTGCAAGAAAGCTAATTTCAGCTTTAACATTAGCAGCATTAACTCAGGCCCCTCCTGTGCTGCCATATAAAAACCATATTATCTGCTTTGAACTGGATTGTATGGAAATGTCGACTAAGATAATCCAGTTCAAATCAGATATGGATTTTCTGCTTTGATAACTTGGATTATCTGGCAGTGTAGAAGGGCCCTCAGAAGTAAGTGCTGTTCAGGAGTGGAGTAGACTGATGCAGGTGATAGTTTTTGGGCCCTTCCATACAGCCATCAAACCCAGGATATCAAAGCAGAAAATCCCACAATATCTGCTTTGAACTGGGTTATCTGAGTCCACACTGCCATATATTCCAGTTCAAAGCAGATAGTGTGGGAATGTTCCTATATTGTTGAAGGCTTTCATGGTTGGAATCACTGGGTTGCTGTGAGTTTTCCGGGCTGTATGGCCAGGTCCCAGAAGCATTCTTTCCTGATGTTTCACCTACATTTATGGCAGACAACCTCAGAGGTTGCGACATCTGTTGGAAACTAGGTCAAATGGGGTTTATATATCTGTGGAATGTCCAGGGTGGGAGAAAGAACTCTTGTCTGTAGGAGCTAGGTGTGAAAACGGGAATTCCAGACAAGAAACAATTAGGGACAGCTAATCATCGATCAACAAATTATTCCCCCAGGCAGTAAGAAGCCACACCTTGAAACTGATAGGTCATTAAATACTAATCAAGGTGGCCAATTGTAACATTCACACCTACCTTAAACAGACAAGAGTTCTTTCTCACACCCTGGACACTCCACCCTGGACAAACCCAATTTTCCTAGTTTTCAACAGACCTCACAACCTCTGAGGATGCCTGCCATAAATGCAGGCGAAACGTCAGGAGAGAATGCTTCTGGAACATGGCCATACAGCCCAGAAAACTTACAAAATCCTGTTTCAATATTGTATTGTAGAATTAAAGCAGTTTAACAGCACCACTTGTCACTGCTATGGCCCAATGCTATAAGTCAAGGGAGTGATAGTTTCGCAAGGCCTTCTCTGCCACAAACTATATATCCTGGGCTTCCAACTGTGGAAGTGCTGTGAGTGCAGAAATAAAAGGAATGATGAAACCTCAAAGCAATGGCGAGGTTAAAAAAAAAAAAAGGTGCCTACGCCTTTCAGAGCCAGTCGTGACGTCACACGCAGGCGCGAACCGGATTTCCGGTTTTGAAGAACGGCACTGTCGCTCTGTCATTGGTTTGGAATGGGAGAGAACCCGGATGTAATCCTCAGGAAAGAGTGGCGGCGATTGGGGGGCAGGCTCGTGAGTGGTGGAACGTTGTGCGCGTGCGCAGTGGGAGTTTTTTCCCTCGTCTGTTTTGTAGGCCCAGCCGGGTTGAGCGCGTGGAAAAGGTACGGTTAATGAGGGGAAATTGAGGGAAGAGGAGACCAAGGGGTTGTGGTCATAACAGACTGGGAATTAGGACGATTTATTGCTTACTTTGGACTTGAAACTCTTCAGTGGCCAGACTTGTTTCAGCCAGGTTGCATCAGGCATGCCCTCTTTTTCCGCCTTCCTTCTCAACCAGGCCTGGGCAGACTTGGGCCTTCCTCCAGGTGTTTTGGACTCCAACTCCCACCATTCCTAACAACCTCAGGCCTCTTCCTTTTCCACCAGTCAATCAATCAAATCATTTATTTCGGTCAGCACAGGAAATAGAGTCACATTTTCATACAAACTTGGTATGTTTGGTACATTAAAAATATAAATATAACTACTGAAGCACAATATGGGTGAGGGAGCAGAAGGGGAAACAGGATAAAAACATACAATGCCCAGATCCATCACCAAATTGTAGATCCAGAGAAGAAGATTACTGGACACACAGTTAACTTTTGGGACTAGTCATTCCCTGACGGATTTTGTATGCTGCTGCACAGAACTTTGCGACATTGTAGGTTGTAGCTGAATTAGTATCTGCAAGTAGCAGGGAGGTATAAAATTGTCCTGAATGGCCTGGGTGCTTGTCTATCAGAGGTAAGATAAGCCTGGCACGGGTATCCCTGTAGAACGGGCACTGAAGGAGCACATGTTCTATTGTTTCTCCATGACCCGAGTCACAGGGGCAGTCTCTCTGGGAAAGGGATCTTCTGGTAGCGGCCTTCAAGTACAGCTGATGGGAGAGCGTGGCATCGAGCCAGGGTGAAAGCCCTTCGATGAATGGGAACCTCTAAGTTTGTTAAATATGCCATAGGGGAGGCAAGGTATCTGCTGTCTTCATTGATAAGGAATGTTGGAACTGAGGCCATATCTAGTTGGCGATCTGTGTCTGTGTTGTTTAATAAGCGCTTTAGCTTGATTGTAATCCATAGCTAATAGTAGACCTGGAGAAAATCCCAATGAGGAGATTTTGGATGCTACTGCCTGCTTCCATGTGGATTGGAAGTCATCCTCCATGGTTAGTGGGGCAAGGCCAAGGGGTGCACGGGACAGTCTGAGCCAGAGGTTGAGTATGGCCACCCACACCCTGGCATCCACTCTCATAAAACCTCAGCTGGGGGAAAAGGAAGGGGACTGAGGCTGTTAGGAATGGTGGGAGTTGAAGTCCAAAACACCTGGAGGGCCCAAGTTTCCCCAGGCCTGAGGTATACTATGTAACACAGCTTTTGCTCCTGGGTTGTAAACGTCATTTCCTAATTGGTTCTATCATAAAACTTGACCCTCTTTGGGGTCCCTTTCTACTCTAGATTATTATTATTATTATTATTATTATTATTATTATTATTATTAACTTTATTTGTACCCCGCTAGCATCTCCCGAAGGACTCGATGCGGCTTACAAAGGCCAAGGCCTCAATACACAACATAACAATACAAACCTAAAGCAAATTAAAAACAATTAAAGCAATATTAAACAACAAAACAACAAGCAATAAACAGTACACCAAAACACAATAAAACTGGCCGGGCCAGAGTAAAGGGTACAGAATTAAAAGTGCTGATGTGACAGGTGATATGTAAGGATTATAGGGTAAGTGCAGAGTGCAGTGTGCAGCAATCTTAGTTCTAATAAAGTGCTTATGGGACTTGGTATTGGAGATTTCCTATTCTGGGAAGGCACATCGGAACAGCCAGGTCTTCAAGTTCTTTCTGAAGACTGCCAATGTAGGGACCTGTCTAAGATCTTTGGGGAGGGTGTTCCAGAGTCGGGGGGCCACCACAGAAAAGGCCCTGTCTCGTGTCCCCACCAAACGCGCTTGCGACGCAGGCGGGATCACGAGCAGGGCCTCTCCAGATGAACGAAGTGAACGCGTGGGTTCGTAGACAGAGATGCGGTCACACAGGTAGGATGGTCCCAAACCGTTCAGGGCTTTGTAGGTAAGCACCTGAATACATAATGAAGAGTAGAGACATCACACTGGCAACAAAGATCCGAATCGTAAAGCGATGGTATTCCTGGTAGTAACCTATGGATGTGAGAACTGGACCATAAGGAAGGCTGAGCAAAGTAAAATAGATGCTTTTGAACTGTGGTGTTGGAGAAAAATTCTGAGAGTGGCTTGAACTGCAAAAAGATCAAACTAGTCCATACTTTGGGAAACAAAGCCCGACTGTTCACTGGAGGGAAGGATATTAGAGACAAAAATGAAGTACTTTGACTACATAATGAGAAGACAGGAAAGCTTGGAGAAGATAATGATGCTGGGGAAAATGGAAGAAAAAAGGAAGAGGCGCTGACCAAGGGCAAGGTGGATGGATGGTATTCTTGAAGTGACTGGCTTGACTTTGAAGGAGCTGGGGGTGGCCACAGCCAACAAGGAGTTCTGGCGTGGGCTGGTCCATGAGGTAATGAAAAGTTATATCCCACCCCATTTCCCAATATGGGACTTGGAGCGTCTAACAACATTAAAGGCAAATAGTCAATGCCAACAAGTACATACATATAGACATAAAGGGCTGATGACAGTGCATACATAATCACTGGTGTAAAAACATGAGTTTTCAAATATATGAAATTGTTATTAAATTTGCTGAAGAACTTATTTCCCCCTTTTGCCTTCCAGGTTCAAGAGTGGCTGATAAATAAGAAGAACAGCCACTACAATGTCACGTTTCTTTACAACTGGCTCAGACAGTGAGTCAGAATCATCACTCTCCGGGGATGAACTAGTAGCAAAGCCTGTTGGAGGCAACTTTGGGAAACAGTAAGTATTGGCGGGGGGGGGGGGGGGGGTTAGGAAGGAAAGAAAATAACAAGGTCTCCATGGAAGTGACTTGGTATTTGTAGAGGAATGTACAGTGTCATTTCACATTTAAAATTCAGAAATGGAAATTACGGACCTTATTTTATCATTTTTGCTTATTAGTTTTGTCCACAGTGCCCACACCATTCTAGGCCCCTTCTACACTGCCATATAATCCAGATTAACAAAGCAGATCATCCACATTATGTGCTTTGAACTGGATTATGAGTCTGCACTGCCAAATAATCCAGTTCAGATAATATGGATTTTATATGGCAGTATAAAAGGGGTCCTAGTCCCAGAACCCTATGCATCACTGTGCTGAATTCTCCAACTGGTGTTTGTCTCTGTTTAACAAATGACTTTCCTCAGTTTTCTGTCAAGTTCTACTTCTTTAAAAACAAAACATTCACTGTGTCTTGATTCGCCCCCCCCCCCTTTTTTTTTTTTCTAGTACTAGCCTGGAGAATTGTCAAAGGTGGGGGTCAGCAAAAGAAACCTGTAGGAAATCTTAATCTCTTTTGCTTTCCTTGTAGGCCTCTGCTGTTGAGTGAAGATGAAGAAGATACGAAGAGAATTGTGCGCAGTGCAAAGGACAAAAGGTGAAGATGAGGGTTGCTTAGCTTCAGTTACTAGAGGACTGGGCAACTGCTTTCCTTTGGCTTGTCTCTTCCTTTGCTTTTGGCCATCCCAATTGTATTTCTTCCATTCCAAGGTTTAACCTTCCTCCTCCTCCTCCTTTTTCTTGTGCCAGATTTGAGGAGCTTACCAACTTGATCAAAACAATTCGGAATGCCATGAAGATCCGGGATGTCACCAAATGCCTGGAGGAGTTTGAATTGCTGGGCAAGGCTTATGGGAAAGCCAAGAGCATTGTTGACAAGGAGGGGGTACCCCACTTCTACATTCGCATCCTGGCAGACCTGGAAGATTACCTCAATGAGGTATTTGATGGTGGAGGTGGCAGCCAGGGGTTTTTGGATCCTAATGGATAAACCAGGGTACAAAGTGGCCATTCTGTGTCACATGGCTGAGCAACTGCAGAAGAGATGAGAAACAATTTTGATGCGGGAAGTGGCATTAAGTCATTTCAGTTCCTTTAGGTGATTTTGGGATTTGAGGCATAACACCAATCCCAACAATGTTGAGGGGCGATTTTCATCTCAGAAAATGAATTTGGGTAGATCTGGGATCTCAATTCTAGGAAGCATGAGGAGGAAAACAGGCTTGGAGGTCTCCAGGCCACACTTTCCTCATGTCACCTCACAGAGATGGAGGACAAACGTGCTTTTTATTTAAGGGAGAGGTGGCCATGCTTTGTTTTTAATTTTGATTCCCTCACTCTCCCTTTTTTATAGTTATGGGAGGACAAAGAAGGCAAGAAGAAAATGAACAAGAATAATGCTAAAGCACTGAGCACTCTCCGCCAGAAGATCCGAAAGTACAACCGGGATTATGAGACACAGATCACATCTTACCGCCAGGTATTGATATATTATGCATAGAGCACAGTCAGGGGAGGCAGCTAAGAAATATTTTCACCTGGGGATGTGATCTAAGTTCTTGGGAGTCATTAAGAAGTTTTGTGGATTTGCCCACTGAGTTAAAGCTGAAGATCGAAACCAAAGAGAGGTATGAAGATGCCAGTTTGTGAAAGAATTGAAACATCTGTCTTTGCCTTCCTTCTTCAGAACCCTGAGCAGTCAGCTGATGAAGATGAGGACAAGAAAAGTGACGATTCAGAGGGTGAGTGACGATGAAGGCTTTCCCTTCTAGCTAAACTCTCTTGTTATTTATTCTATTCCCTCAATTATTTTTCCCCTCAATCCACCTTGATTTCAGGATCATCCTCTTCAGATGGTGATGATGATGATGAGGGAATGAGTGCAGCAGCTTTCCTGAAGAAGAAAGAGGGAGCTAGTGAGGGCCGTGGAAAGATCCTCAAAAAGATAGAGGTGAGAATTCTGGGAAGAAGAGTGTCTTGCACTATCGGCTCCTTTCTTGTCATGTAGCTTGCTATTGCGTATGTTTTCTTTGTCCCTGACAGGATGAAGATGAGGATGAGGAGGACTCCGATGATGAAGAAGACTGGGGGTCATCAGATTCAGAAACAGACTCCGAGTCAGATGAAGATGAGGGCAAATACACCTCCCTGGCTTCCAAATTCCTTAAAAAGTAAGCTAGGGGATAAAGGGAATAGCCTCTGTTGACAGGTTGGGAAGCACTCGTGTTGATGCAATATATCTTATCTCTGTGTGATTGATCCTCATTTCTTGGGCTGGTAGGTCAGTGTTGAAGGAGATTAAATATAGCAAATACTGTCCTTCTTCTCCCTCCAAGGCCAGGGCAGTTGAGATGGAGGGAGGGAGGCCTTTCATCTTCTTCCAGGGCCAAGCATGGTGGAATGGTGTCTTCCTCTTCTTCTCATATCTATGTTCTTTCTTAAACAGAACTGGCACTGAGGAGGACAAGAAAGTTTTGGAGAAAAAAAGGGAAGAGAAGGCCAAGAAAAAGCAGGACCGCAAATCCAAGAAATATGAAGACGATGAGGATGACAATGAGGGCGGCGAGTGGGAGAAGGTCAAGGGGGGTGTCCCATTGATCAAGGTGAGCTGGGTTCTTACTCTCTGCCCTGCAATCAAAGTGAATGAACACAAAGATTTTTAGCACTTTTTTTTGCTCTTCTTTGTCCATGTATAGCTTGAGCTTATTTAGTTTCTGCTTCCTCAGGAAAAGCCAAAAATGTTTGCTAAAGGCACAGAGATCAATCATGCTGTAGTCGTGAAGAAGCTCAATGAGATCCTCCAGGCCCGTGGGAAGAAAGGCACTGATAGGTAAGACCAGTAAGAGGGGATTTAGTAGGGTAAGGATGGGTACACAAGAGTCATTATCCTTCAAAGAATTCCAGTTTGCTTGTTGACTCCTTTGTGTTGCTACAGCCATTTAAAAAAGGCAAATGTCAGAAGGTGCCACAGAAAATAATTTACAGGCATTCTTTGTTTTGCCCTTTTTTTTCCAAAAAGTCTCCTGGTAACTTTTTATCCTCATGTGGACATTTACACATTGGTTATCTGTATATCTTGCTTTCACCCTAAGGAACCCAAGTTCTCCAGTTTATCTTCGTAACCATCCAATACCATAAATATGGCTGAGTGACTAATCCAGGGTCACAAATGAGCTTCATTTTAGAGTGAGGACTACAATGTGCAGGCCTTCCAAGTCTAAATCACACTGACTCTGCGTCTAATGTAATAAAACTAGCCTCAGTGACCTCCCAAGCTCATGCATTCACTTCTTATCTTCCTAAAGAATGACTTTACTTTTGCTTTAGATCAGTCAGAGCTTTTCCCTTTTGTCTAAACTAAAAAAATGTGGTTGAATTAATGGTTTGAATTGATGAGATTTCTTATGATCTCCCCATTATTAAAGCTCTCTTTCATTTATTTCTCTACAGGGCAGCGCAGATTGATCTCTTCCATCTCCTGGTTGGAATTGCAGCAGAAAATAACCTGGGCATTGCTATTGATGTGAAGATCAAGTTCAACATTGTTGCCTCATTGTATGATTATAACCCCAACTTGGCTACATATATGAAGGTAAGGAACTAGGAGGGAAGAAGGATTTCTTGTGGCAGTATCTTGGCCGGGGTGGGTGGGGGGTCCCTTCAGGATAGCACATGGCACTTTTTCTTGTGTTGGTTGTAGGGCAGGGATGGGAAAACTTTGATTCTCTGGTTTTGGGGGGGGGGGGGGGGGGGGTTTTTTTTTTACAATTGCAGCTAATATAATTCATTACATTTTGCCATGCTAGTTAGGGATTTTGGGAATTTGGAGATCAAATCATGTAGAGGACTAAAGATGTCCGACCACTCCCATATGACTTACCTTGGTTCACTGATGGCTTTCTTCCCATAACGCCTGGAAAGTTGCTGATTTTCTTTTTGCTATTCCTCTGCCCTTGCATACAGCCAGAGATGTGGAAGAAATGCCTGGATTGTATTGATGAACTTCTGGACATCCTATTTGCTAATCCCAACATTTTCATTGGAGAGAATATTGCAGAAGACTCAGAGAACCTGTCCAACAGTGAACAGGTGAGTGTTGCTGGTGAGACATCTGTACTTCCTTCCCATCCTCAGGTTCTTCTAGACCCAGGGCAGAGGAGTCTGTGGGCCCATCCAAACAGTACATTTATCCCAGGAGCTTCCACAGCAAACAGGAGAGTGGTCAGACACAGTTCCGTCAAAACACAGGAGGAAGCTTTACAAATGGCAAAAAAGTGAGATTTTCAGGTATGGGAATATCCCGGTTCTGAGCCCAAAATCCACATCTTCTGATTTCTGTATGTCCCTGCAATCAGAAATCACAGGATTTTTTATCTAGGTTTGTTCCTGGATTTTAGATGTTTATTCCTGATTGATCGGTTCTTAAAAAGAAGGTGACAGTTGAGTAGAACACGAAAACTTTGTTTGTGTGCCAGAAACTTCATGAAATGTGTAGAGGGCACATTTTCTCTGGCCAGGACAAAGTTGTGCCCCCTTAGTCAATGTTCTACATCTTTTCACAAGAAGAGCAATCAGGAACAGGCATGTATAACCCAGGAACAGCACCCTGTTTGCACAGATGGCCCTGCAGCTTATATAACCCAGAAACAGAACTTATGCAATGAAATTTCCGGCGGAAGTCCCACGGTGGCCATCTTGGGAGCCTCTAAATCCCACAACAAAACAGCAAGTGTGGATGACGGAAGCAGAAATCCTGGGACCAGCAAGTCTGTATGTGGAAGTTCTAAAATCCTGGATTTCTTGCCCCTGTTTAAAACTCATGATTTGCTGCTGTCTGGAAGCACCCTGTGAGGTCATGAAGAAACGTGGGGAGAGACGAGTGCACCTGTACTGCTATTTTTCTTTATGGTAGTTCTCAGATCAGTTCCCATCATTTGCAGCGAGTATAAGTGATGGAAGGTTGTATTCTAGTTACGTAGATGGCAGCAGATTGAGTGAAGCTGGTATGTGGCTAATGATTTTTACATTTATATGTTCACATTGACAGCCTTATCGTGTGCGAGGCTGCATTCTGACCCTGGTGGAGCGAATGGATGAGGAATTCACCAAGATCATGCAGAACACAGACCCTCATTCCCAAGGTGCGTGTGAACACATCACAGGAAAGGAGGAGGTCTTGAAGTGAAGGATGCTGGGATTGGTTGAAGGCTGCATGTGCTCAGGGACTTGACAGGGTTGAATGCATGTTTCCATACTTTAATTTTGGATATATAAGACTATTGTCTAGCCTCCTATTAAAGCAGATGCAGATTTTTCTGAGAAATTGTGTCAGTCAGGGAAAACCACCAGCCCTGCATGTCCAGATGTCTGTCAATTTATGTTACATTTCCACCAGAATACGTGGACCATCTAAAGGATGAGGCCCGAGTCTGTAAGATCATACAGCGTGTCCAGACGTACCTTCAGGACAAAGGAACCACAGAAGAGATATGCCGCATCTACCTGCGCTGCATCCTCCACACCTACTACAAATTTGACTACAAGGCTCACCAACGGCAGCAAGGTCCAGCAGGAGATAGCAAGGTAGATCACCTTCTGAGGCAGTGACGTTCCTTCCCCCTTTCCTTTGGCAGGAACCAAATTTTCAGGGCAGTTTCACTTTGTAATGTACAGCTGTGGGCTTTGTGTGGAGAATAAATATTGCTTCATCCTAGACGGTAGACCATGTAGATATCTGCATTGTACTTGATATCCATCTATCTGGTCCAGTATGTGTTTATTCTTACTGGCAGTTTGTCTCTCTATGGTCCTGTACATAGGTTCCCCCCCGCCCCCCAATTGCGTGCTTAATGATCCTTCCCATAAAAGATGTCAGGCATTGAACCTGGGGCTATTTGTATGAAAAGTACAGGCTCTACTGTGGGGTAGAATTTGGGATCTTATATAGGGAGAAGTATGTGGAGCTCCTGTAGACTCTTTGAATAAATTACTATCCAGTCTGGCTGCAGCTTTTGTTTCAAGGGAGATTATGGAAATCTGTGTTCGGCGAATGGGCTTATTAGCAAAAGACCCTCCCCGCAAATGCATAGCAGAGTAACTTATTAGGAGCAGCATGACCCAGTGCCAAAAGTGATAAAAAGAACAAAAACACACAGACCAATGTTATCTCTTCCATAGGAGGCTTTTCTTTGTAGTAAAATAATATGGTTGCACTGTTTAAAAGAACTAGGTTTCCATAACACAAATAAATACATAATAGCTTTACATGCAACAGCTTTCTTACACTGTAGCTTTAAAAACAAGGCTTCTCTCACACTGAGGTTTGCCTCACACTCCTCAGGATGACACTAGCTTTGGCCTACTAACTAACAAGCTTCGGCCTACTCACTCTCCTCAGGACGACACTAGCTTTGGCCCACTAACTCTAACAGGCTTCGGCCTACTCACTCTCCTCAGGACGACACTAGATTTGATCCACTAACTCTAACAGGCTTCGGCTTACTCACTCTCCTCAGGACAACACTAGCTTTGGTCCACTAACTCTAACAGGCTTTGGCCTACTCACTCTCCTCAGGACAACACTAGCTTTGGTCCACTAACTCTTAACAGGCTTCGGCCTACTCACTCTCCTCAGGACAACACTAGATTTGATCCACTAACCCTAACAGGCTTCGGCTTACTCATTCTCCTCAGGACAACACTAGCTTTGGTCCACTAACTCTAACAGGCTTCGGCTTACTCACTCTCCTCAGGACAACACTAGCTTTGGCACTGACTCTAACAGGCTTCGGCCTACTCACTCTCCTCAGGACGACACTAGCTTTGGCCCACTAACTCTAACAGGCTTCGGCCTACTCACTCTCCTCAGGACGACACTAGCTTTGGTCCACTAACTCTAACAGGCTTCGGCCTACTCACTCTCCTCAGGACGACACTAGCTTTGGCCCACTAACTCTAACAGGCTTCGGCCTACTCACTCTCCTCAGGACGACACTAGATTTGGTCCACTAACTCTAACAGGCTTCGGCCTACTCACTCTCCTCAGGACGACACTAGCTTTGGTCCACTCACTCTTAACAGGCTTCGGCCTACTCACTCTCCTCAGGACGACACTAGCTTTGGTCCACTAACTCTAACAGGCTTCGGCCTACTCACTCTCCTCAGGATGACACTAGCTTTGGTCCACTAACTCTAACAGGCTTCGGCCTACTCACTCACCTCAGGACGACACTAGCTTTGGTCCACTAACTCTTAACAGGCTTCGACCTACTCACTCTCCTCAGGACGACACTAGATTTGGTCCACTAACTCTTAACAGGCTTCGGCTTACTCACTCTCCTCAGGACGACACTAGCTTTGGCCCACTAACTCTAACAGGCTTCGGCCTACTCACTCTCCTCAGGACAACACTAGCTTTGGTCCACTAACTCTAACAGGCTTCGGCCTACTCACTCTCCTCAGGACGACACTAGCTTTGGTCCACTAACTCTTAACAGGCTTCGGCCTACTCACTCTCCTCAGGACGACACTAGATTTGATCCACTAACTCTAACAGGCTTCGGCCTACTCACTCTCCTCAGGACGACACTAGATTTGATCCACTAACTCTAACAGGCTTCGGCCTATCACTCTCCTCAGGACAACACTAGCTTTGGTCCACTAACTCTAACAGGCTTCGGCCTACTCACTCTCCTCTGGCGACAGTAGCTTGGCTCACTAACTCTAACAAGCTTTGGCCTACTCACTCTCCTCAGGATGACACTAGCTTTGGCCCACTACTCTTAACAGGCTTCGGCCTACTCACTCTCCTCAGGACGACACTAGCTTTGGCCCACTAACTCTAACAGGCTTCGGCCTACTCACTCTCCTCAGGACAACACTAGATTTGGTCCACTAACTCTAACAGGCTTCAGCCTACTCACTCACCTCAGGACGACACTAGCTTTGGTCCACTAATCTAACAGGCTTCGGCCTACTCACTCTCCTCAGGACGACACTAGATTTGATCCACTAACTCTAACAGGCTTCGGCCTACTCACTCTCCTCAGGACGACACTAGATTTGATCCACTAACTCTAACAGGCTTCGGCCTATCACTCTCCTCAGGACAACACTAGCTTTGGTCCACTAACTCTAACAGGCTTCGGCCTACTCACTCTCCTCTGGCGACAGTAGCTTGGCTCACTAACTCTAACAAGCTTTGGCCTACTCACTCTCCTCAGGATGACACTAGCTTTGGCCCACTAACTTTAACAGTCTTCAGCCTACTAACTCTTTAAGTGCTTGACTCACATTTTCTAATTAAAAATACCTAGTTCATTTTTAATATTTCTGACAATGTGTTACCTTGTGACTTGAGACTATACTGCAGGCTACGCATACATTCTGTTTTATGTTGCGTGTCTTTACATTGCATTCCTTATTTCCTTGCAGTCGGAACAAGACCAGGCTGAGAACGAAGCTGAAGACTCAGCTGTGCTAATGCAACGCCTTTCCAAATTTATCTACGCCAAGGACCGGACGGACCGAATCCGTACTTGCGCCATCCTCTGTCACATTTATCATCATGCCTTGCATGACCGCTGGTACCAGGCTCGGGACCTAATGCTCATGAGTCACCTGCAGGACAACATCCAGCATGCTGACCCACCAGTGCAGGTTAGAATGCAAGAACTGGAATGGAAAGGAAGTTCAGGGATGTTCAGGCACAGTAGAACAAAACCAATCCTCATAGAAATCTCCAATACCAAGAAGCACCTTATTAGAATTAAGATCGCCGCACACTGCACACTGTACTTATCCTATAATCCTTACATATCACCTGTCACATCAGCACTTTTAATCCTGTACCCTTTACTCTGGCCCGGCCCAGTTTTATGGTGTTTATCGTGTTTCAATGTATTGTTTATTGTTTGTTGTTTTGTTGTTTTAATACTGCTTTAATTGTTTTAATTTGCTTTAGGTGTATTGTTATGTTGTGTATTGAGGCTTTGGCCTTTGTAAGCCGCATCGAGTCCTTCGGGAGATGCTAGCGGGGTACAAATAAAGTTTAATAATAATAATAATTAATAGAGCAGTGAGTGACTGGCTCCAAGGGACTCCTTAGAATCAGGAAATCCTGAGTTGTCTTAGTGGAAGATGATGGTCTATAATCTGGAATGGAACATAGATCTTGCAGTCCTGCATTGGAGGCTGTGCATAGCCAGTAATGCCCATTCTATGTGGTTGATAATGGGCTTTCCTAGTTTCATGCTCTGTTCTACTTGGCGACACATTCATTGCTGCTCACAGTTGCTGCCTTCTATGAAGAAAAAATACCAGTGTAAAAAGCTGGAATACAGTGTGAAATTAAAGCTTTGCTAGACAGTTCAACAGAGTGAATGGATTAAGACCCCTTTTTTAGGCTGAAAAAGCCCCCCTCGGATTCTGTTCGAGTAAGATTATTTATTATTTTATTCTGTTATTATTTTATTACATTTATTATTTTACTCTCTTTGTTATTATGGGAAGTATACCTAAGCACATTTACATTGAAGAAGGTTAGAATAATGGTTTAATCAGAGTTGGACATTCTTATCTTAAACTACAGTGTTATATAAGTATTCAAAAATGCCTAACCTACTGATGCCTCAATGAATGTAATTTTATTGGTATCTATTTTTATTTTGAAATTTACCAGTATTTATTTATTTATTTACTTACTTACTTACTTACTTTGCTTATATACCGCTGTATCTCAAGCCCGAAGGCGACTCACAGCGGTTCACAAACAGTAAAAACAGTAGAAACAGCAGTGGTTCCATACAACATATAACAATTGACTTAACACATTATCCATAAATTACCAATAAGCAATTACAATGCACAATTATTACAAAAACAACCGTACCCAATCTTCTCATCATCCAAGCATAGTCCAGGTTCGTCGTCCATTGTTCCATTCCTATGTTCCATTACCAGATTGCACTAAATTACTCAAACGCCTGCACAAACATCCAGGTCTTCAACTTTCTTCGGAATGCCATGAGAGATGGCGCCAGCCTAATGTCTGTAGGAAGTAGCTGCTGCATTTCCCACTCTCAGCTTATACTCGAGGCAATACATTTTCCCAGTTTTTTGTGGTAAAATTAGGTGCCTCAGCTTATATTCGGGTCAGTTTATACTGCAATTTGGCTCTTAAAAAATAACAATTCTAAAGAAACTTGCAAAAAGCACATGTTTGGAGTGGAAGTGATTATCTGATATTGCCCATTATAGCCTTCAAGTGTTGAAAGTAGATTATAGGTTGTCCATCGGTGGGAGTAGTGCCACTAGGTCCCACATCCCTTAACAAAACGTGGTTTTTTGCAGATCCTGTATAACCGGACGATGGTGCAGCTGGGGATCTGTGCTTTCCGCCAGGGCATGATCAAGGATGCTCACAATGCACTGTTGGACATCCAGTCGAGCGGGCGAGCCAAGGAGCTGCTGGGGCAAGGCCTGCTGATGCGTAGCATGCAGGAGCGCAACCAGGAGCAGGAGAAGATTGAGAAGCGCCGCCAGGTCCCCTTCCACATGCACATCAACCTGGAGCTCCTGGAGTGCGTCTACCTGGTATCAGCTATGCTTCTTGAGATCCCCTACATGGCTGCCCATGAGTTTGATGCCCGGCGGCGCATGATCAGCAAGCAGTTCCACCACCAGCTGCGTGTGGGCGAACGCCAGCCTCTCCTTGGTGAGCAGTCCTGGAATGAGGCTGTTTTTATCCATGGTTTCCATTTCTGGCCATTATTTCCCAACCAGGACACATGCTGGCTGGGGTTGATGGGGTTGCAATTTAAGTTGGCTAGAAAATGGCATGTTAGAGAAAGCTGCTGTACTGCCATATTCATATAGTGACATAATAGGCGGACTGACTTTATATCAAGAGCCATAGTGTCAAAGTGGTCCTAGGAATTCTGCAAGACATCTCCAAAGCAGTGTGTACTTGTGATGACAGAACAGCTCGCTCAGGACAGGGTGTGATGGCAACCCTGTCCAGGTTGGCTGCACAACCCCAGGACTCCTATTTCTTACTTACTTTGCCCTTTTAATTGCAAATTCCCTTCCTAGGTCTCATATTCTCATTTCTGGATAAGTGGATATATTTGTTGAGTTCTTTATGGTAGTGTGTGCCCTGTCCTTGTTAATTTTTAATTATTAATTACTAAAAAATGATGTTATGTTGTTTTCATATACAGTGTGTTTAGTCCCCGTTGAGCTGCTGAACTTGCTGACTGAAAGGTCGGCAGTTTGAATCTGGGGAGTGGGATGAGCTCCTGCTGTTAGCCCCAGCTTCTGTCAGCCTAGCAGTTTGAAAACATGCAAATGTGGGTAGCTCAGTAGGTATCACTCCAGTGGGAAGGTAATGGTGCTCCGTGCAGTCATGCTGGCCACATGACCTTGGAAGCGTCTATGGACTTAGGCTTAGAAATGGAAATGAGCACCACCCCCCAGAGCTGGACGTGACTAGACTTAATGTCAAGGGAAACCTTTACCTATGTTTTATCTCCTCAGTTTTCCAACACAGAGCACTTTCCCGAATTGTTTCTTTCTCTCAGCTTCCCCATTTTCTATATGGAAACGCCACCATTTCTCAGTTCCTAACTGGCCCTATCTACATTCTCTTATGGAGCCTTTATGTCTGTCTCTCCATGGCCCACCTTCACAGCACTCCATGGACTGTGATTGGCTGGCTCTATCCAGGCTTGCCTAGTTTTCTGCGTCACAGTTTGAATTATGTAATTTTAGCCACTTAATTCATTTGCCTAATTCTGCAAGTTGCGTGAGAGGCAGGCACTGAAGCCTCACTGCCAAACCCTAAACAGAAATCCCACTGAGATATTTCTCTGCCATCTGCAACTTCAAAGATTATTGGGGTTTCATAGATAATCTCTTCGTATGTTAACTATCCACGTTTTTCCTGATCAGGAAGGTCCTATCCTATATACTTAAAGCTCGCTATCATTTATCTAGATATGTTTTATAATAAATGCCCATAACCATTAGTTCCCAACTTGTGATCCATGGACTACCAGTGGTCCACAAGAACTAAAATATGGCCTGCAGCCTCATTGTTATTACACTGATGCAACGAGAGTGACTGATCTCACGAAATCCGTTTATAGTGCCAAGGCTTATTAAATATGGTTTTCTGTGGGCGAGCAGATGATGACTACTGGATGGCATATGTTCTGTATCAGAAACAATGTAATTTTCTAAATCAGCACCCCAAATCTAAAGTTGACCAAAAACTGATTCGTAACTCTTTTTGGTACTAATGTTGGAGAGTGTTCACTGCTCAAGTGGTCCTTGGTCAAAAAAGGTTGGGAACCACTGCCCTAAACAATAGGAAGAATATTCTAGTATACTAATGGAATATGCTGCCTTGGATGTGGTAGAGCCTCCTTCCTGTTGGGTTTTTCAAACCAGGGCTAAATGACCATCTGTTGAGAGTGTTTTGATGTTATATTCTTGCATGGCAAAACAGGATTGAGGTGGATGTCCTTTGTGATCTCTTCCAATGCTATGAAGATTCAGTTCTCTGTCTTTTTTGGGGGAAAGTTTAATGGCTGTTCAATTCACCCGTCTTTTCTTTCAGTTTGATTGAGAATGGCTTCTCCCATTTTATATCTTTTCCCATATTCTCCTCACCTCAGGCCCCCCAGAATCTATGAGGGAGCATGTAGTCGCAGCTTCCAAGGCGATGAAGATGGGCGACTGGAAGACCTGTCATCGTTTCATTGTCAATGAGAAAATGAATGGGAAAGTTTGGGACCTCTTCCCTGAGGCAGACAAAGTGCGCAGCATGCTCGTCCGGTCAGTGACAAGGGAAACTAGGGGAGAGTGGGGTAATGGAGCCAGGAGCTCTTTTAATCCTGTTTATAAAACAAGGAGCTGGAACTGGTCAAAAGTGGATGTATGGAGGTAGGAAAAATGGACAGTGCCTGTGAAAATAGGAATCTGCCTTCTGTTGAATCAGACTATTGAATAATCCAACTCAGGATTCTGTGTTCTGGAGGAGTTGAGAAGTGAATGTGACAGACATGATGGTGTGCTATTGGTTGGCACAGAGTTTGATTTGTGGGAGAATAGAAGGGCTAATCAGGGCTGTGTACCTGACTCTTGTGGCCCTCCAGCCTCTAAATCCATCCCTTGTTTTCTCCCAACAGAAAAATCCAGGAGGAGTCTCTCCGAACCTATCTCTTCACTTACAGTAGTGTCTACGACTCCATCAGGTAATATGCCAAGAGTGGGATGAATGGACTGGTCTCTGAATTCCGGTGTTTCTTTCGTTAGTCTGGCCTTCTAGATGATTCTACTGGAAAGTGAGATTAACAGAAATACATTGGTTATTATATGTTTTTAATGGTTTTTTGTATTGTATTGATTTTATATTGCTTTTATAGTGTTTTAAAGGTATTAATTGTATACTGTGGATTGTTATGGCATTGAACTGCTGCCAATTTGTAAGCCACTTTGAGTCACCTTCGAAGGGGTTGAGAAAGGCGGGCTAGAAAATTCTCAAATAAATAAATGGGTTGTAGGTTTTTTCGGGCTATATGGCCATGTTCTAGAGGCATTCTCTCCTGACGTTTCACCTGCATCTATGGCAAGCATCCTCAGAGGTAGTGAGGTCGCTACTTCTGAGACCTCACTACCTCTGAGGATGCTTGCCATAGATGCAGGCGAAACGTCAGGAGAGAATGCCTCTAGAACATGGCCATATAGCCCGAAAAAACCTACAACAACCCAGTGATTCCAGCCATGAAAGCCTTCGACAATAAATAAATAATTCTATTTAATGTATGAGATACAGTTTTATGAACAAAGTATGAATGGCTGCAAGTACCTAAGAGTGGATGAACCATGGGTTTCTTCCTCTCTACAATCATCCAGCATGAATGTTTTATTCAGCAAATTCATTTGCTGTGCTAAATGCAGAGCTCTTCTTGTACTACCACTCCTCCAGTGGATTTTGTATATAATGACTGCTAATCTGCCAGTCTGTGATGCCTGAATTTCACCTTCACTGTTCCCTATTCTCTCCTCCCCTAAAAATCTTTTTTCTCTTCCCAGCATGGAGATTCTGTCTGATATGTTTGAGCTGGACCTACCCACAGTGCACAGTATCATTAGCAAAATGATCATCAATGAAGAGTTGATGGTAAGAGGCCCTTTTGTGCAAGACGTAGTGCAGGGTAATGAAGGTATAGATATGTGGACATTGGTTTCTAGGGAGGGGAGGTGGAACAGTAAGAGAAAATGGGTCAGTCCTTGCACAGACTAATGAAAAAATAAATTTCATCATCACTATTTTGTTTTTGAAGCTTCAGAACAAATGGTCAGTAGAAAGGTTAGGGAGACTTGAGTTTGATTAAAAATTTTAAGAAAATGTTCAGAGAGTTTTTAGCATGAGTAAAAGAAGAGATTTTGTTCTTCTAGGTCAGACCTGTTGGGTGAGTGGGCTTGTTAACAAAAGACCCTCCCCATGAATGTATAGCAAAGTAACTTATTAGCCGCAGGGTGACTCAGCACCAGTAGCCACAAGTGATAAAAAGAACAAAAACACACAGACCAATGTTATCTCTTCCATAGGAGGCTTTTCTTTGTAGTAAAATAATATGGTTGCACTATTTACAATAACAAGGTTCCCACAACACAAATAAAGTCCTTTATGCTTCCTTCTTTGCTTCCATGCTGGGCTTCTTTCTCATGCAGATAAACAGCTTCGTTCTCACAGAGCCTCCTCTCACACCAAAATTACACAGGAGCTTCACAGAGTAGCTTTACACACAGCTGCCTTTATACTGGAGCTTTACACATGAGGCTTTACACACCAGGCCTTCTCACACTCACCTTCTCATAGACTAAGTTCTACCTCACACTGAGGCCTATCTCACACTCAGAGGCCTTCTCTCACAAACTGAGGCCTACCTCGCACTGTGAGGCTTTCTCACAGACTCAGACCTTTCTCCCACTGAAGTTTACCTCAAACCGATGGCTACTAAGCTACAGGCACACCTGCTTATGTAGAACTTCAGTTTTTGCTGAGTCATTGAATTCATTTAACCCTTTCAGTGCTTGACTCACATTTTACCTAGTTAAGTTTTAATATTTCTGACACAACCTATGGCCTTCCAGGTGTTTTGGAATTCCTGACAATGGGACAGGGCTTCTGGGAGTTAGAGTCCCAAACACCTAGAGAGCTGCAGGTTGTGCTGGCTTGTTCTGGGTGGTGTGGAACATGCATAGCTGAGCCTCCCTTGCAGGGTTTATCTGATTTTCGCAATCTCTCTTCCCCAGGCCTCCTTAGACCAGCCAACCCAGACCGTTGTGATGCATCGGACTGAGCCCACCTCCCTTCAGAACCTGGCATTGCAGTTGGCTGAGAAGCTGGGCAGCCTTGTGGAGAACAATGAGAGGGTCTTTGACCAGAAACAAGGCACTTATGGAGGCTATTTCCGAGGTGAGTTGCTGCTCCAGACACCAGTTCCTTGCTTCCTTTTGTACCCTTCCATCTGCCATTAGTGGAGCACAATCTGAAAATCTTTTCCGCGATTTCCTTTAATCAGATGATGCTTTTAGCTGCCAGGAAGTTGAAACTGCTTTTCTCATTTCATTTGCAGGATTAAAATCTCCTTTAGTTCAGACATTTCTCCCTCCATACGACCTAAGATTAGATAATCTCCTTTCCGGTCCCCAATTTCTGCAGTGTCCGAAAAGAGTGGCTTTCCTTGAAAAAATTACCAACTGCTATAGCAGAGGCATCAACATTCAGTTGCTTTCTGCATCCCGATCTTATTTCCCCCATAATCTACCTAGAAAAATGCATTTCTGGTGTATTTTGTTGGCCATGTTCCTCACAGACTTCTATCTCTCACAGATCAAAAGGATGGCTACCGTAAAAATGAAGGCGGCTACATGCGGCGTGGAGGCTATCGGCAGCAAGAACGACAAAGTAACTACTGATATGCCCTCTCCCCCCTACAAAAGAAATTCCAAATATTGTATTCCAAATTCCATATTTCAAACACATCAAATAAAGTATTGGTTTGAAAGGAGACAGTGTCGTATTCTTGGGAGCTCAAGGAGAGGCTTGGGAAAGGCAAATGCATCTACCGGGGAAAGAGCTGCAGACCTAAGTGGGCTTATTGAATCTGCAGTCATCAGCCTTTTGCCATAAGCTTCGAAAAGAGTGCAGGAATACACCTCAACAAAAAAGAGCATTAGAGAAATTGTGGTTGCCTAGAAGCTGCTGATATTCAAATTCCCATCAAGTCTGATGGTTTGATAAGAGTAGTTGTCCTGCAACATGTGGAGGCTGGAAGATCTCCCACCCATGAAGGTGGAAGATACTTGTTGTTCAGTCTCTTAAGAAACAGACACCAGTTCCCTGCAAATGTTGTATAGATCTCAGAAAACAGATCCCCTGGGGATCACAACCAGACAGTGAAGACATCTGCCCTTGCGCTTTGCTACTCTGCTGCTGAATATGCATGCCCAGTGTAGAGTACATCTCACCACATTAAAACCATGTGGCTCTTAATGAGACATGCCGCTTATAACAGGATGTCTACGTGCCACACCACTAGAGAAATTATACTGTTTAGCCAGTGTTGCACTACCTGACATCTGTCAGGAAGTTGCAGCCAACAATGAAAGGACCAAGGCAGTGACATCTCCCTCTGTTGGGTTATCAGCCAGCATGCCAATGTCTCAAATCAAGAAATCACTTCCTGAGATCTACAGAGATACTCACAAGAACACCTCAGCAAGCGAGAGTCCACAAGTGGCAGGCTAAACCCCAGAACCTCAGTCCATGACTGATACCGAATGAGAGACTCCCTCCTGGACACAAAAAAGCTGGGAGATTTGGAAGGCACTGACTGCGCTCTGACATCACAAGATGGAAAGCTAATTTTAAGAAATAGGGCTACAAAGTGGAGTCCACAATATGCAAGTTTGAAGAAGAGCAAACCACGGACCACCTACTACAATGCAACCTGTGCAATGGAGGACCTTCTCACAGTGACACCAAAGCCACTCCAAGTGGCCAGCTTCTGGTCAAAGGAAATTTAGCATAATGCCATGTTTTAAACTTTGTGGGTTTTTAAATAGATTATAACTGTATTCTCAATTCGCTTCTGACACAATAAAGGAAGGAAGGAAGGAAGGAAGGAAGGAAGGAAGGAAGTCAGCAAAGAAGAAGGAAGGAAGGAAGGAAGAAGGAAGGTAGGTAGGTGCTGGGGAAGAGGGGCAGCTAGGTTTTGTGGGGCGCAGCTTGCCCTGAGTCCATTCCCACAAGCTGGCCTGTGCTTTTCAGGGGGCAGTTGTGTCCCCATCACCTGTTGCATCCCCATCACCTTAAGAAAAGTTTAACTAGTGTGTGTGTGTGTGTGTGTGTGTGTGTATTGCACACAACCTATGGCTCTCCAGGTGTTTGGGACTCCCAACTCCCAGAAATCCCAGCTAGCTTACTGGCTGTTAGGAATTGTGGGAGTTGAAGTCCAAAATATCTGGAGAGCCAAAGTTTGCCCATGCCTGCCTTAGCCACAGCTTCACATGGAGGGGAGGGCACAATCAGATTTAGCACTTCATTGAGTATTGCCAGAGGACTTTAGTTCTGAGGGCAAACTCCTTGGCTCTTAAGTCTTTACTACAAGAGAGACAGCCAAGCACTTTTAATGGAGCTGATTTATTAACTTCACATACCTACTCAAGCAGCAAAAACATAGGGAGAGAAAGAGCTCTCTCCTAGGAGAGACATTTCATACTGTCCTGTCTTAATTCTGTTTCCATAGAGAATTGCTTAGGCCAAGTTTGACAGAGTTAAGGGGGAAATGATAGAGTTATAGTTTGGCATCACATTAACTGCTGTGGAATTTGGGGATTTGTAGTTTTATGAGCTGCCAGTGCTATAGAATCATAGAGTTGGAGGAGACCTCTCTGGCCATCTAGTCAAACCCCATTCTGGCAAGAAGCAGGAAAATCACATTCAAAGCACCCCTGACAGATGGCCACCCAGCCTCTGTTTAAATGCTTCCAAAGAAGGAGCCTCCATCACACTCCGGGACAGAGAGTTCCACTGCTGAACAGCTCTCTCAGTCAGGAAGTTCTTCCTAATGTTCAGGTGGAATCTCCTTTCCTGTAGTTTGAAGACACATCCTAATCTCCAGGGTAGCAGAAAACAAGCCTGTGCCCTCCTCCCTATGACTTCCCCTCACATATTTATACATGGCCATCATATCTCCTGTAAGCCTTCTCTTCTTCAGGCTAAACATGCCCATCTCTTTAAGCCACTCCTCATAGGGCTCGTTCTCCAGACCACTGATCATTTTAGTCACCCTCCTCTGGAGACATTCCAGCTTGTCAACATCTCCCTTTAATTGCGGTTGTTTCCAGAATTGGAAACAACATGATTCCATGTGTGGACTGACCAAGACAGATTAGAGGGTGAGCATGACTTCCCTGGATCTATACACCAGACTCCTAATTTATGCAGGCCCAAATCCCATTGGCTTTTTAAGCTGCCACATGACATTGTTGGCTCATGATTAACTTGTCCATGAGGACTGCAAAATCTTTTTCATACGTACTGCTGTTGAGCCAGGTGTCCCCCATTCTGTATCTATGACAAGCTACAAATTACAGGATTCAATAGGATGAAGCTGTAGCAGTTAAAATAGTGTCAAACTATAATTCTGCAGTGTGTATGATCCCTGAACTCACGTACAGCAGTCTGAAATGGTTTTATCAACCATAATATCTGTTGAGGTCTTTGGTAATCTCAGAATGTGGTTCAAACAAAAGCACTAGAGCTTTCAGAAAATTCTAATTATTTCACAAACTACAAGAATAGTCATGAAGGATGTAGGTGTGTCTGGGGAGAGAAAATGGGATTAATCCTGACTATGTATTGCAAAAAGGTCTAAGCAAGATTTCACATGAGTATGTGTCATCTAAATAACAGGAGACCCCGGTTGTGCAATGGGTAAATCCCTTGTGCCAGCAGGACTGCTGACCGAAACGTTGACAGTTCAGATCCAGGGAGCGGGATAAGTTCCCATCTGTCAGCTTCAGCTTCTCATGTGGAGACACGAGAGAAGCCTCGCACAGGAAGGTAAAACATCCGGGCATCCCCTGCTCAACGTCCTTGCAAATGGCCAATTCTCTCACACCAGAAGCGACTTGCAGTTTCTCAAGTTGCTCCTGACACACCCAAAAATAACATTGTGAAGGAAAGAGGATGTGTATGGATCCCCAGAATAACATTTTTTAAAATTTATTTATTTACGACATTTATATGCCGCCCTTCTCACCCCGAAGGGGACTCAGAGTGGCTTACAAGATATATATACATATAATAACATCAGAAAGAACAGAAACAAATTTGGGGGCTTTGTAGTCTTTTCAATCAATCTGGAAATACCCCTTGAGAGTGCAAAGAGGACAAGCGAGAATCAAAAAAATCCCAGGTAAGTCTGGAAGCTGAAGCGCTGCAGAGAGATCCAAGAATATGGAGCATATGAATATCAAGAGCATAAAGAGCATTCTTCAAGGGAAATTGATGGGCTAAAGTAAGAAGATGAAAATGCCTGGATTCCTGCTGTTAATAAGTGACATCTCCTTAGCAGGTTCCCTACTGTACCAAGCCAACTCCTCTCCTCATTGGCTCCCAAACCTGCTGAAGCAGCACCTAGTTGGGCTGGTGTTGTACTTATCCCTTTGCCCTTCCGGTCTTCCCTGGATGCCCCCCCCCACCTCACTCCACACCAAACACTATAGGATAGGCACCAGATGTGGCATTCTCAGACGTGTCACTGTGCCCTTCAGACAGATTTGGCAGCATGCTGAAATGGGCCCCCTGCTTCTTGCACCGTTGGGCAATAGCCCTTGGGACTCCTCAACCTTCTGCCTGGAAATCTTCACTTCCCAGGACGGGCCCCAAAACTATTACAAAGCCCCCCACGCCTCCACATCTATCGCTAAATTTGGATGACGGGAAGGTTTTTCGCCTCAAAAGCAATTGGGAACTGGCCCGTGGATTGCTGGTGTTCCTGCTCTGCTCTTCTCCAAGGCTGGTTCAGAAAGCACCCACGGTGAGAAACTGAGACTTTGAATCCTGGTCCGTATCCCATCCACCCAATTCTCCTTCTCCATCATAGCTATCTTTTGGGGCAGACTAGATTGTGTTCTTAAACAATTTTAGATTCTTTGTTATGGAGCAGGCTTCCATAGACGCTAATATTTTATTTATTTATTTATTTACTTACAGCAAACATTCAATGCCAATTTTGACATACAACATATACAGACATAGACAGAGGCTATTTAACTTTTTCTGGCCGCCAGGGGAGCTGTCGCTTTCATTGTCCATCTGCGACACTGATGAAGTACTTCCGCATTCCCCGCATGCTTTTTGCTGGAGTGCTTGCTGGAGTCTTTTTTATGACCTCATAAATTAGTTAATTTAGCCTCCCCACACTTTAAGGTGTTACCTAATTTTCCTACTACTTGACAGATGCAACTGTCTTTCGGGTTGCAAAGGTCAACAACAGGCTACACACAATTGGTTGGAAACCCACTCCAACCCGGGCTGGCTTCGAACTCATGACCTTTTGGTCAGAGTGATCTTAATGCAGCTGACACTCAGCCAGCTGCGCCACAATCCCGGTGCTTCGTGGACCCCAGAACAGAGAGGTTCAAGCTCCCCTAAGACTAGATCCCTTCCCCATCCAATGACCTGGCCAAATCAAAGCTCTATGTATTTGAGCCTGCTCATGAATTGGCAATCAGAAGTGTGCTAAATAAACAGTGTCATTGATTCTATATACCCTAAAGCCACCAGATCCCATAGGAGCCCTCGGTGGTGCAGTGGGTTAAACCCTTGTGCTGGCAGGATTGAAGACAGACAGGTCAGAGGTTCGAATCTGAGAAGAGCATGGATGAGCTCCCTCTGTCAGCTCCAGCTCCTCCTGTGGGAACATGACAGAAGCCTCCCACAAGGGTGGTAAAACATCAAACCATCTGGGCGTCCCCCAGGCAATGTCTTTGCAGATGGCCAATTCTCTCACACCAGAAGTGACTTGCAGTTTCTCAAGTCGGTCTTGACACAAAAAACCAAAAACAAAAACAAAACACAGATTCCATCTCTAATTGGAAGATAAGCAAAGTCAGAGACTCCCAATGAATGTCAGATTATATTTAAGTGGTAGGAACTGGAAAAAACCACCTTTATGCTTTGCCAAAGAATGCTTTGTGGATTTCATGGTGTGGCTGTAAGTTCACAGGCGACAGTAAAGAACACACACTGACATTGAGCTTTCACACTATGTAACGTGAGTTTTGTTATAAATGTCATTTCCTAATTGTTTCTATCATAAAAACTTGGATTTTTTTTTTATTAAACTGGAAAAACAAAGGACATCCTGCAGCTATAGTTTTGCTATAGTTTTTTAACGAATATCTCATCAAATGTCTAGTGAAGAGTAGAAACATCAGACTGGCAACGAAGATCCGCATAGTTAAAGCAATTGCATTCCCCGTAGTAAACTACGGATGTGAGAGCTGAACCATAGGAAGGCTGAGTGAAGGAAGATGGGCACTTTTGAACTGTGGTGTTCGAGGAAAATTCCAAGAGTGCCTTGGACTGCAAGAAGATCAAACTAGTCCACACTCCAGGAAATAAAACCCAGCTACTCACTGGAGGGAAGGATATTAGAGGCAAAGATGAAACATTTGGCCACATCACGAGAAGACAGGAAAGCTTGGAGAAAACAATGCTGCTTGGGGAAATGGAAGGAAAAAAGAAGAGGGGCCGACCAAGGGCAAGATGGATGGATGGGATCCTTGAAGCAACTGGCTTGACTCTGAAGGAGCTGTGGGTGGTGATGGCTGACAGAGAGCTCTGGTGTGGACTGGTCACGAAGAGTCGGAAGCGACTGAACGAATAAACAACAACAACATTGAATGTCAACCAATTCAACATAGTTCGTGGCTGTCACATCTATCAAACTGGGCTTCCAAATATTTAACCCCTTCAGCCATAAAAACAAGCATAACAGCTACCTTCAAAGTGAGTGCCACACAATTAAACAGAAAACAACACTTTCAAATCAGGAACAGATTTTTTTTCAAATTTTGTTACATTGTGTAATAAAGGCTGCCTGTAATCTATCATATGCACACCTTTGTGGGAAGTAAGCTACACTAACCACATGGAAGGGACTTTGAGCTACATGTTGTTCCTATTGGGATCTAAGTATTTAAGAATGTTTTAATTATAATGCATGGGAAAGTTAAATTGCCCTCCACCTCAAAGTACCTGCAAGTAGAAAAAATTAAAATCAAATTGCTTGCCAAATATTGAGCTCATCTGCACCTTAAGCACAGTTCCAGGTATTCTGATATGTATTTCTGAAAAAGACATATGCCTGCTTTGTAATATTTGGGGAGACTTACTATGCTAAAATCTTTTGCTTTTGAGCCAAGGTGTGGCACAGGAATCCTGCTGTTGCACAAGTTTTAATTGTGCAATCTTTGCCATTATGTTTTTAGGCTACGGCTTCTTGAATCCTCCAGCCACATTGAATGGTGGTCATGTTGCCTTGTGGGCTCTGGAAGTTATAGTCTAAAATAGGATTTATCCCTCTGATTTCATAATAGATGAACATGGATACTGCTCTAGGATTTTCTTCTCACTGTGTATTTCTGTCTGCCCCTTCAAGCTTCTTTCCATCTCCCGACGGATTTTGGGGCAACGGCTATGGAGCTCAATCCTCCGACTCACACTGTATGGACAGTTTGTAGCCGGCGAAACCCAAGGAGAGATCAAGGAAACATTGCAACGGCTGCAGGGTTTGGGGGTACGCCCTCTCCTCGCAGTCCCTATAGAGGAAGATGTGGGGCAGGCAAGGGATGGGTGAGTATTGGGTGAACGGAGAACAGGACTGAGGTTTGGACAGCAGGCAAGTAATTGTGCTCTAGTACTTAAAGGAAGAGGATTGCAAGAAGTTCAGGACTCTGTAGATGTCCTGAATAACTGAGAATTAATAGGTAGAAGGGAATATGACATTTTAGTCATTCCTGACTTTAGATTTGTCAGCATTTTAGTCATGAGGAAGTTCTCCCCAGCTTCTTAAGTTCTTAATATAGGAAAGAAAATCCTTAGTATAGTGTGATGGTTCTAGGGCCCTGGGAGACCAGAGTTCAAATCCCAGCTCAGCCATTAAAATCTACTTGTTGAATTTGAGCAAGTCATACTTTCTTAGAAAGACGGTAACAAATCTTCTATGAAGACTTGCTAAGAAATCCATCTGGTAGCTTCACTTTAGGGCTGCCATAAACTGGAATAAATTTGACACACAAAAACAACAAAAACAACAACAACAACAGAAAAAGAGAAATTAATTGATTAATTTGAGATAATTAGGAGATGTGACTAGTGTACCCTTACCCAAACCAAGTTAATCAGTCTTGGATTATTTGATGACAGTAAGATCCTTGTAGCTGAACTTCTGATGCCAATAGAAAACTATATTGAAATGAGTAACTTCTGTGAAGATGTATTGTCGAAGGATTTCATGGCCAGAATCACTGGGTTGTTGCAGGTTTTTTGGGTTGTATGGCCATGTTCTAGAAGCATTTTCTCCTGACGTTTCACCTGCATCTGTGGCAAGAATCCTCAGAGGTTGTGAGGTTTGTTGGAAACTGGAAAATTGGGTTTATGTATCTGTGGAATGTCCAGGGTGGGAGAAAGACCTCTTGTCTGTTGGAGCTAGGTGTGAATGTTTCAGTTGACCACCTTGATTAGCATTTGATGGCCTGACCTAGCTCCAAACTTGACTTGAGAAGCTGCAAGTCGCTTCCGGTGTGAGAGAATTGGCCATCTGCAAGGACATTGCCCATCCTTGTGGGGAGCTTCTCTCATGTCCTCGCATGGGGAGCTGGAGCTGACAGAGGGTGCTCAACCCACTCTCCCCAGATTTGAATAGCCGACCTGTCAGTCATCAGTCCTGCACAAGGGTTTAACCCAGTGTCATCAAAGCTCTAGACATGGTGAGACTATGTCAAAGTTGAGGCACAATAACATTATTGGAATAAGCACATTTTTCTAAAATATTTTGTTTTGTTTTACTTTCTTATATAGTATTTCTTCAATTCGAAGACATACTCCACCCCGCTTGCCCCCAATATAGACATCTCTAATAATGGGGGACATCTTAAAATCATGGGTGTGTCTTATGTATTTTTACGGTAGTAATGATAGTACTGAAATTAGTGTGCATCTTATGATTGATGTCATCTTAGAATTGAAGAAATACAGTCTGTAGAAGTCTATGATTTATATATAAATCAAGCACTGGGTACATATCTGTGGAAAATACATTCCCAGATTTTGCATGGACACACAAAACTGTGGATCATAGTGAAGCCTATTGAAATGAAGGAATTGCAGCCCAAGAATACCATATTGGAGGGTGATATATTTTTCCGAACATGGATAAATCAAACTGTGAATACAAAAGATCTTGGATAGCTCCTTAAAGTTTCAAATTAAAAGCCTAATGAGATTAACCTCCAATGGAAGTCACCTTTGATAGACCTTGACAGGAAAAACTTTCCTCATTGTTCATGCCAGGCTAGGGTTAGTGAAAGGTGTCAAGTGGAATATAAAATCAGATTTTGTTGCCTGATGAATATCAGAAAAGTTGGAAGACATTGCTCTCCATGTATGGCTCCTGCTGAGTGCTTGGGGAAACTCCAGAGTGATGGAAACTCTCTTTCTGTGTCTTAACCAGAGAAGAGTGGTATGAGAAGAATACCCACTCCATGCTGACCTGCCTGGATTTGTCGGTGGGGGGTGCTACAAATCCCATGATGCAGCTCAAGGTGACCGCATTAATGGCAGCTGAGTTGTGCGTAAGTATTTTTGAAAGCAGGGAGAAGGACCACTGAGATTGTATGGGTGGAGAGAGGAAATGTTGAACAATAAGTACAAACGGGAGACAGTACTGCCAAGTTTTCAAAACTTAAAGAACAATAAAAAGCGACAACACGCAGTATTGACTATCAGGAAATAGTCATAATTCACTCTTAGTGTCTGACAGGGTTTAGTTCCAGAATCCTGTGGAATTCAAAGTCCATAGTTCCATTATATACAATGCTGTGGTAAAATGGTTTCCCTTATTTAAAAAATGGAAAAATCAAAGTTTTCTTTTTGAATTAAAAATATTTTCAGCCATGGATGATGTTGCAATGTATGTCAGGTTTTATTCCTACCCGGTGTAGGTAAAAGGTAAAGGTTTTCCCTTGACATTAAGTCTAATCATGTCTGACTCTGGGGGGTGGTGCTCATCTCCATTTCTAAGTCGAAGAGTTGGCATTGTCCGTAGACGCCTCCAAGGTCATGTGGCTGGCATGACTGCATGGAGCGCTGTTACCTTCATGCTGGAGTGGTACCTATTGATCTACTCACATTTGTGTGTTGTTGAACTGCTAAATTGGCAGAAGCAGGGGCTAACAGTGGGAGCTCATGCCACTCCCCAGATTCGAACCGCCAACCTTTCAGTCAGCAAGTTCAGCAGCTCAGTGGTTTAACCTGCTGCACTACCGGTGGCTCTACAATTATGTGAGAAGCCCCTGACAAAAAGGGCAGGTTTTTTTGGCATTTTGTTCAGTCTATATATAAGAGAAAGCTATTCAATCATCAAACAGGGAATATCTTGTACAATAAGGGATACCTTCCAATCCTGTATTTTCTGATCCTCAGATAAGAAACATTCCTTATAATTAGTCACCCTAATTGGAGCTGAGATGTATCATTGTTGTTGAGTGTTAATTATAGTACTGTGTGCATACCAGATAGGAATAAAACCTAGCATATGCATGCAAGAGAATGATAGTGTATCACAGGCATGGGCAAACTTCAGCCCTCCAGGTGTTTTGGACTCCAACTCCCATAATTGTGGGAGTTGAAATCCAAAACACCTGAAGAGCTGAAGTTTGCCCATGCCTGCTCCATCATGTCAGACTGTAGATGGAGCAGACCATTTTTATCCCATCTATCATTTTTAAACATTTGTTAAAAGTCCAGATTCCCTGAAATGAAAACAAAGCACTTCAAAGAAAAGGTTGTAACTCAGCCAACATGCTGCTCTGGTGTTTTCTACTTGCAGGGAGGGTTTTTAACTCTACCAGGGGTAAATGAAATTATTGGGTTGTGTAGGTTTTTTCGGGCTATATGGCCATGGTCTAGAGGCATTCTCTCCTGACGTTTCACCTGCATCTATGGCAAGCATCCTCAGAGGTAGTGAGGTCTGTTGGAACTAGGAAAGAGGGTTTATATATCTGTGGAATGACCAGGGTGGGACAAAGGACTCTTGTCTGCTGGAGCTAGGTGTGAATGTTTCAACTGACCACCTTGATTAGCATATAATGGCCTGACAGTGCCTGGAGCAAACTTTTGTTGAGAGGTGATTAGATGTCCTTGATTGTTTCCTCTCTGTTGTTTTGCTGTTGTAATTTTAGAGTTTTAATTTTAGAGTTTTAATTTTAGAGTTCCGGCCATGAAAGCCTTCAACAATAAAATGAAATCATATTTGTGGGTGCCCTTTTATTTCTCCTCTTTGCAGAAAACCATTACTTTACATCTACAAGAGCAAAGCGGAAAATCGGATCTGAGCTTAGAGAGAGTGGTGTCTGCCATGAAAGGAGAAGTGAGTCTCCTTTTCCCTTCTGCTCTCCCATTCCTTCACCCACCTTGACTTCCTAGATTTCTTTTGTAAATTGGATAATTAAATATAATTGAAAACATGCCTTTTTTTCTTTTATCACCAGGACCTCAATTTTGGCTGCCTGACCCAAGAAGAGAACCAGCATTTCCAAAGATCTTTGCGTCGGCTCAATTCTGTAGCACGGGTATTAGGAAAAAACAGTTTGACATTTGTAGTTTACATCTTGCTGGGTCATGATAGACATGTCTAAGCTGGGAAGAAGATTTTGCATCTAGATTTGATGTCCAGTTTATACTTGAGAGCAAGTCTGATGAAATTACATGGAACTTTACTTTGAGTAGATATTCAGCTATTCTAAAATTTGAATTCACATAGGCTTTTTACAACAGGCAAATAGGATTTTTACAATGAACAGATCCACTTGCTAAAAGCACAGATACTGTAAGCAGTTGAACTGCTTGGTTGGCAAAAGCTGGGGCTATCAGCGGGAGCTCACCCCATTCCCTGGATTTGAATCGCTGACCTTTCGGTCAGCAAGGTCAGCAGCCACCAGGGGCACCTAGATATAGCATATTAATTAAATCCGCAAACAATGTAATTCACAAAATCAAACCTGCAAATGTGGAGGGCTAACTGTATTTCATTGCAATCATATCTCCTGGTGTAGTACGCTGTGGAAAAAGGAGTGCGTGTTCTGGTGGATGCAGAATATACCTATGTGAACCCTGCCTTGACACTTGTTACAATGGCAATGATGGCTTCCTGGAACACACAGCATCCATGGATATGGAACACATATCAGGCATATCTCAAGGTGGGTCTCCATAATCCTCTTTACTCAGGTGCTCACTTTTCCTTCTTTCTCAGCACATCATAGAAGCATAAATAAATAAATAACCCACTGCAACTTTGCCATCTGGGGGCCCTTCCACACAGCTCTATAACCCAGAATATCAAGGCAGGCGATCCCACGTTATCTGAGTGTGGACTCAGATAACCAAGTTCAAAGCAGATATTGTGAGATTTTCTGCCTTGATATTCTGGGATATAGGGCTGTATGGAAGGGCCCTGGGTGAAAATAATAGACTCTGCTTTTCTCTGTTGTACATGGCCATTTTGCTTTTGACCAGTTCTGTCTTTACTCAGGACACACTAGATCGGTTGACTCGAGATGTGTCCCTCACTGAACACCTGGGTGTCTGTTTTGGAGTGAAGCTGGTACGGGGTGCGTATTTGGAGAAGGAGTGGAATCTGGCAAAGGAAAAGGGGTACCCTGATCTCGTGCAACCCAACTGGGAGGCTACCAATGATAGGTGAGAAGGACTCTGCCCATAGATCTGCTCATCAACTATATGGTCATTGACTGTGAGGAATGGGAAGTTTCATCTCTCTCATGATGATTCAGTCTTCACACAGATGTGCTTATGTTGCAGCATATTATAGGAGGGATTATATCAAGAGAGATCCTTTCAGGAGGTCAGAAAAGTACGGCTTTTATTTCCAGCTGGGACCCTGGAGTGGAGCTGTGTCCAAAAGCATCCAGAGCCCCGATATAGGTGTTGACGGCCTGTTTATACCCTCCAATTGCAGGCAAACAAAGAACATGCCTCTACATACATTGACATTTCTTGGCATCACTTTAGCATCATAGGAATATCAAATTCTATCTTCCAACATACAAAAGGCATGTTTCTGTGTATTTCTTTCTAGCAGCAGCATACAGCTTATATTCATCAATCAAGGGGCCTACTTTGACCTGTCATGAGGCTCCTTACTTTTTACTTATCTCTGTTGCTACTAGGACAGGCTTATCTCTCTCCTGGAATGTTCCCCCGCCTGCCCGTGCCTTGGACACAGATCTCCTTCAGCATTCTTTCTAATACACAGAGAAGTTGATTTTTCTATACATTTCAGTGCTTATAAAGTGCATACAATTTATACATAAATCAATAGATACATTCTCCTCATCACTTATGGAGCCAAGACTAAGCCACAGCCACACAATAGAGAGGAAATAAAGACAATTGAGTTTTTCAGGGATATGAAAGCTCTCAGAAAAACAGACATGACAAGAACACCAAAAACAGCTCAATGATCATTGAACTGTTGAAAATAGCAACCTTCTACAAGCCTCCTATACTAGCAATTGAAATAACACTTCTGAAATTCTGCTGGTTTTGTGCATTGGCATATGTTTTGTGCATTGGCATATCTCCTAACAGTTCAAAGAGATAGCCAGGGAAATCAGTTTAACAGCTGAGAAACCAAAATTGCCTTGTATAGATACTAGTGGATATTTACCACTAAGGAGAAGGTTGACTCAAGTGAGTTTTTAACTCTTCTCAGGAAGATGGTACTTTACAAAAGGTTATGATCTCTAACAAGGTCACGCCTTTCCAAAAAGCTATGAATGCGATTTTCCAAAATCAATGGCACAAAATGTAAACAAACTAATTCGGAGGGCAAAGAAAAAACTGAGGGAAAGGAGTAGTAAAATGAAATGACAGAACAAGGAGGAGGCGGAGGAGGTTCCAATGCTGAAAGGTGTTCAAACAAAGTAAAGTCATGATGAACTATTGAGTCTCACAAATTGACATTTAGTGGGAATCTCTGGTGGAAAAAAAAACAGAGGTGGTTTCACTGGAGAATCTGGAGTGGGTGGCATTTTCTTTGTGAATTTCCTATTGACAGACTTCCTTCCCTTTGTGATGCCTGCTCTCTTTTTTCCCCTTATGACACAGTTACCAACGCTGTTTAGATTTCAGTTTGGATCAAGTGTCTAAAGCCAGAGGGAGCTTTGAGCTGATTGTGGCGACGCATAACGAAGCCTCGGTGATGCATGCTGTCCAGAGGTACAAAAGGGACGGCAGAGAAGGGAGCTGCCTGTCTACCATGTATACTCACTTATATATCCATCTCATGTACAAGCTGAGGACAGGCTTTGCAGCCAAAACTGTGGATTTTGATATGACCCATGGATAAGTCAATGGTGATATTATGTAAAAACCGATGTGTACCATTTACAACTACATGCTCACAGCCATCACTGATGAATAGAGGTGAATATGTAGTTCTTACTACTTATGAACCTGGTTACTGTTTCATTTATTTTGTGTTTTCATACCATTCCATCCATGCGGATGACACAGAATGATACAACTCCCTTGGGAATGGAAACATTTGTGAAACAAAAAAAAAAAGTGGAGGGCAGTAGCCATTTTTTTTGGCTGATTTTTGGCATGCCAGCTGTAGACCCTGCCAGCCAAGGTCTACAGTTGACCGTCAGACACTCTGCTCGGATGTAGGCCCTGGATGGCAGGGCTGAGTGCTCGACACTCGTAGGCCCAGCTAGCAGGGCCTACAGCCAAACGCCGGGCACCGAGTCCCCTCAGATGTAGGCCCTGGCTGACAGGGCATACAGCTGAGCGCTTGACGCTCATAGGCCTGGCTAGCACGGCCTACAGCCAAATGCCGAGTAGTCAGGCCCCCTCAGGTGTAGGCCCTGGTTGGCAGGTCTTACAGCTGAGTGTTCGATGCTCATAGGCCCAGCTAACAGTGCCTACAGCCAAATGCCGGGCACCAGGCCTCCTCAGATGTGGGTCCTGGCTGGCGGGGCCTACAGCCAAGTGCTCGATGCTCATAGGCCTGACTGCAGAGCCTGGCGCTTTGCCTCCCAAGGTCCAAAAATTTTGTTTTTTCGGACCTTGGACGGAAAAACTCATTTGTAAAGGTACCCGTTTTCCGAAGCAGTGGACAGAAATGAAAACGGAGCCGTACAAATGGGACAAACAAAAACAGATAGCGATTCCATACAATACTAGTTCTTATTAGCTTAGAACTTTCACTGTTCTTTCTTTCAAGCACATCAGAGTCAGTTGAAATAATTTAGTTGCCTAACACAGATCAACATATAGAAATTCCCCTTGCTCACAAAGATGCCCAAAACTGGGTTGCTGTGTGTTTTTCAGACTGTATGGCCATGTTCCAGAAGCATACAGCCCAGAAAACTCACAGCAACCCAGTGATTCCAGCCATGAAAGCCTTCAACAACACAATGTCCAAAACTGTTTGGATCATTTGGCACATGAAATGGAAAAATACGTCCTTCTCCACATCTTTAGCAGTAAAAATATAGTAAGAACGAATTAAATAAGTAAGAATTCACTCTTCTTTCAAATTGCTCCCTAATTTGCTAATGGAGACAGCTACTGCCCCTCTTTCTGATATCAGAGCCTGTTGTACAGGCCAGTATTTTTATCTGCATAGTGTTAATGCAAGTAATTGAAACTCTAAGCTGGAGTGGCAAGTGGCTTGTCCAAATGAGTTAATGGCTGAGCTGAAATGTTACCCCATGCCTTCAAGCTTATGCTTTTACTTCTGCACTTCATCCATAGCCATTAGCAGCCTATGTTTGTTTTAAGGATGGCAGAGATGGGTATCGACAAAGCTGCTGGACCCGTCAGCTTTGGACAGCTTCTGGGCATGTGTGACCAAGTGTCCTTGGCACTTGGTGAGTGTTATTCCTCCCTTTTACCAATTTCCCCTTTCCATTCTTCTTGCAATATGCTTGCATCCTTTCTTTTTATTCTCTCTCCCTTTTAATAACTCCCTTGTGCACACCTAGGTCAGGCAGGCTATGCCATCTACAAATCTATCCCTTATGGATCAGTGGAAGAGGTGATCCCGTACCTGATCCGCCGTGCTCACGAGAACCAGAGTGTCCTGCAAGGCATCAGGAAGGAACGCAATCTGTTACGCTCAGAGCTGCGCAGACGGATCTTGAGAAGACCTTGAGGAAATCTAAATATCCCCAAAGAAGTGTCCCACTCCCCCCCCCTCCATCCTGAACTCATTAAAGTATGACCCACAGACATCCTGTCCCAATATCACTCCAATGTGATCTTCAAAATGTTCACCATTTTCGTTTGCCAGATTCCAAAGCAGAAACTTAGTAATATCATGGGTCTGTTAACTCTAATAAAGGTAAAGGTTTTCCTCTGACATTAAGTCCAGTCATGTCCGACTCTGGGGGTTGGTGCTCATCTCCATTTCTAAGCCGAAGAGCCGGCGTTGTCCATAGACACCTCCAAGGTCATGTGGCCAGCATGACTGCCTGGAGCGCCGGCCAGCATGACTGCACAGAGCGCCATTACCCTCCCACTATAGCAGTACCTATTGATCTACTCACATTTGCACGTTTTCAAACTTCTAGGTCGGTAGAAGCTGGGGCTGACAGCGGAAGCTCACGCTGCTCTCCAGATTTGAACCTGTGACCTTTCAGTCAACAAGTTTAGCAGCTCAGTGGTTTAACCCACTGCGTCACCAGGGGCTCCCCGTTAATTCTAATATACACACATAACTCCAGATAAACTATAATGCACAAACATGCCAGCACAAGAAACCTAGGAAGGCCCAAACAGCGACATAGTAACACAGGAGTAGACTTGAAATGTTAAAACCATTTTGGGTCAAGTGATGGATTTCAGCTGGGAAGAGAAATGAATTGGGGGCTGACAAGTTTTCAGTATTTTCCTGTATTGTATTTGCTATCCGTTATGGAAGTGGTATCTTACTAGGGTGCATCTATGCTGCAGAGTTAATGCAGTCTGATATCTCTTTAACTGCCATGGCTCAATACTATGGAATCATGAGAGTTGTAGTTTTATAAGAGCCTTAGTCTTCTTTGCCAAAAAGTACTAGTGCCTCACCAAACTACAAACCTTTGGCTGTATTGCAAAATTACAAAATGTACAAATTGTATGATGAGCCCTTGGTGTTGCAGTGGGTTAAACTGCTAAGCTGCTGAACTTGCTGACCGAAAGGTCAGCGGTTTGAATCCAGAGAGCAGAATGAGCTCCCACTGTTGGCCCCAGCTTCTGCCAACATAGTAGTTAGAAAACATACAAATGTGAGTAGATTAATAGATATAGCTCCAGCACAAAGGCAACAGTGCTCCATGAAGTCATGCTGGCCACATGACCTTAGGGGCGTTTACAGACAATGTCAGCTCTTTGGCTTAGAAATTTTAATGAGTACCAACCTCCAAAGTCGAACTTGACTAGACTTAATGTCAGGGCAAACCTTTACCTTTACTTTATGATACTTATATTGATTCCTTCGATCTATGAGAAAATATTCTACCTATGAGAAATATGTTGAATGGCCATTTGTTTTTGTGGTGTGGGAATCTATTTTTATTCTCTAAGTATTTTTTTTTCTATCTCTAATACTAAGGTTTTAGTTAAAGAAGTAAAGCTCAGGAATACATCTACATATTCCATTAATTGAAATATACTTGTATGCATTTCCCATCTCATAAAATAGCCATTCCACCAAAGGACTGTGGGATTCAGACTTGTGTTTTCATGCCAAATTATTTTTAGCATATAAAGCAGAAAATCCCATAAGCACTTCTTCCCATTCCAAGCAGCACAACAACAGCAACAGAATGATAGATAAGTAATAACATGTTGCCCTTTCAAGGACCCCAAATTTGTAATCTGACTTGGTTTTGTCGTTTTTCCTGATGGGAGGGCTGCCTGTTCTAAGGCGCTTTTGTAGCCATTGAAGAACAGCATGTACTGTGTCCATCATTTCTTGCAAAAGTCTCAAATGAGTGAGAGAAGAAAAATCCCCTTATTATAATGATTGGCAATGCATTTAAGTACTGTGAGCTTTGGGTGAGGGAACTCACAAAACTACCACTGCCTAATCTATGAAATGCATGGTGTCAACATAAGTCACCATGTCGATTTATCGTGGTCCCATAAGTTGTTGAAGGATGGACAGGTGGCCAGAGTAAAAACTGGAGACAGTACTATTAATTAAGTATAGCATAGGGTTGCTGTGAGTTTCCCTGGCTGTATGGCCATGTTCCAGAAGCATTCTCTCCTGATGTTTCGCCCACATCTATGGCAGGCACCCTCAGAGGTCGTGAGGTCTGTTGGAAACTAGGCAAGTGAGGTTATATATCTGTGGAATGTCCAAGGTGGGAGAAAGAACTCTTGTGTGTTTGAGGCAAGGGTGGATGTTGCAAATGGCCACCTTGATTAGCATTAGCCTAGCCAATTGCAACATTCACACTTGCCTCCAACAGACAAGAGTTCTTTCTTCCACCTTGGACATTCCACAGATATATAAACCTCACTTGCCTAGTTTCCAACAGACCTCACAACCTCTGAGGGTGCCTGCCATAGATGTGGGCAAAATGTCAGGAGAGAATGCCAAAATGTCAGGAGAGAATGGCCATATAGCCCGGAAAATTCACAGCGACTCAGTGATTCCAGCCACGGAAGCCTTTGACAACAGAAGTATAGCATACTTTGATGGACAAGATGTGAAAGCCATCCTATGAGAAAGCCATGTTTATAATTCTCAGCCATAAAGCGGTAAATCTTCACTAAACAACCAACTCCAGGATTACATAGGATCTACCCCTAGCAGTCAATAGTGCAATAATTCAGGTAGTGTGTAAGGGTCCCAGTTGTGTAACATAGTTTGGTGCTTTCCAATGAAAGACAGATCAGCTGGGAGGAGGGAGGAGCAGTTGGGGCTTTATATAATGGGCTTATGCAGTTTGTGTATTATCGAGCGGCACTCGCACACATAAAGGAAGGAATAACTGGATTACAGCCAACCATCCGGCCCCAAATTGCCAGAGGCGCTAGACAGGGCAAACGGGATTTTATGGAAGTGCTAGTCAGAAAGCTGTCAAGTCTTGGCAATCTCCATAAAGAAGGCTGGGGATCAATAGCTGAGCTGGTCCATTATCTAGTTTTTATTATTACATCTGTAGGTGTTTTTGAGTTGTGAAGATGTTTTGGTGAATGAAACTGGGAAGACAAGCTGACCTCAATTATTTTCCTTCACTCATCTTCTCTAAGGCCCCATCTACACTTATCATTTAATGCATTTGCTAACCAGTATTGAAGAAGGTGTTTTCGCTGTGCAAATGATTACCATACATAGGAAATCCTTTAACCCTGCATTTCTCAACCTGGGGATCAGGACACCTGCAGGGGTCGCAAAGGGATGTCAGAGAGGTTGGTCATGGGGGTCTCTGTGTGGGAAGTTTGGCCCTATTCTATCGTTGGTGGAGTTCAGACTGCTCTTTGATTGTAAGTGAACTATAAATCCCAGCAACTACAACTCCCAAATGTCAAGGTCTATTTTCCCCGAAGTCCACCAGTGATCACATTTGGGCATATTGAGTATTTGTGCCAAGTTTGTTCCACATTCATCATTGTTTGAGTCCAAGTACTCTCTGGAAGTAGGTGAACTACAAACCCAAAACTCAAGGTTAGGCATCCTCAAGCTGCAGCCCTCCAGCTGTTTGGGCCTCCAAATCATAGAAGCCGTAATGAGCTTGTTCAATCATCAGGAATTCTGGGACTTGAAGGCCTAAACAGCTGGAGGGGCACAGTTTGAGGATGCCTGCTCAAGATCAATGTCCACCAAACCCTTCCAGTATTTTCTCTTGGTCATGGGATTTCTGTGTCCCAAGTTTGGTTCAATTCCATCATTGGTGGAGTTCAGCAAGCTCTTTGATTGTAGGTGAACTATAAATCCCAGCAACTACAACTCCCAAATGACAAAATCACCCCTCCCCGCCCCCAACCCCATCAGTATTCAAATTTGGGCATATCGGGTATTTGTGCCAAATTTGGTCCAGTGAATGAAAATACATCCTGCATATCAGATATTTACATTACAATTCATAACAGTAACAAAATAACTGTTATGAAGTAGCAACAAAAATAACTTTATGGTTGGGGGTCACCACAACATGAGGAACTGTATTAAGGGGTTGCGGCATTAGGAAGGTTGAGAAACACTGCTTTAACCAATTTGAGGCCCACATGATGATTACCCAAACGGCAGAGCACTGATGTACATTGAGGGCTTTCTTTCGCACTCTTTTGTGGGAGTTTGTTGCCTGGTTGTCACAATTTGGAAACAGCTTCGAACTGCACTAAATGATCAGTGTAAATGGGGCCTATCATGCAAGCACTGGACCAGCATCAGAAATCGGCGCAGAAGCAGAACTAATATGTCCGGGAGTGACCTTGGCACATCCTTCGCACTCTGCCGGCTTCGCAGCCCCTGTTCGTCACCAATACCACCCACACTGTCACGGCTTTAGCAACTGCTTTAAACCCCATAGTTTTTAATCTGCAGAGGGTCGTGAGGCAGAAACAAAAGACCTGGGGTTGTAATCCTTTGATTGAGCCACATTAGCCAAGGAATAGCCAGAATTTCCACCTCTCAGCCCTTGCCCCCCTCCTTCTCCAGCTCTTCGGACAATGTGGACCCACGTTAATCCACTTGAAATTGGCAATCAAATCCAGCTGTTCTCCAGTACCCAGCCCCACTTCCCCTGAGCTTCAGTCCTCATTCCACTCAGGACCCTGTTTTCCTTTTAATCCGTTTATTCCTGCCCATATGTTGCTCTCCGCAGCGGCGATTATAAAGTGGATAAGCGGCTTTTGGCAGAGTTGGATGTGAGCTGTCAGACTGTTTCTCTGACCTCTGCAAATGTCGCCAGACCAGACCCGCTTGATGTTTGGGCCACAAGAAATGCCAGCACACAGATCCTGAGAGAATCCTAGACGAGGAATTCTTTATTGGAGGGTATTTGGGTTGGATTTCTGAGGCAAGGATGACAGGCATCTGCTAAATACAGCAAGCTGCTTGCAGGGATGGGTAGATGGAACTGGGATAAAGCAGAGCTTGGGAAGTTACTCTTCTTTGACTCCAATTCCCAGAATCCCCTCCTTACCAGAATGAGGTAGAAGATTTGGGACATTGGAATCCAAACAGTAATGTTTCCATGCTCTTTTTTGGGTATTACAATAAGCTTTGCAATCCAACATATTTGCTGTGTTTTTCTTTGTACTCATCCCAGTCTCCCCATCAGGATACTTCCATCTTTCATATACCCACCCTTTTGCCCTGTTCGGTCCCTTGTAAACTGAAGTTTGGCCTCATCCTCCAGTTCAGACTGGGATTTGCTGTTGAATTCTGTACATTTTGTTTTGAAAGTGCAGCAGCATATATTTGGTCCTTGAAATCAGAGGAGATTGGATAACTCCCATCAGCGTGACATCATCCTCACGAATTCTGCAAGGCAAACACCATAAAACAACATCAGTTGGTTGGGACTTGGATTAGTGGCAGGCTTTTGTGGAAAATGTCCAGGGTCTCACTCAACGGAATGAGCAGAAAGCAAGGTGCCAAAGACAGCAGGGCCATCTGGGCAAATTTTATAAGCAAAGGGCAAAGAGTGCCATTATAGGAAGTACAGGAAGCCCTTGCTTATCTGACAGGTCTGGGACTGCAGCACTGTCAGAAAGTGAAATCGGCAGAAAAGTGGAATCCAATTGTTTTTGTTTTAGATTACAAATGCATTTTGGCTGCTAAACCACACAAATAACACACTACAGTATACTATAGCATCCATATATACAGCTCCAAGTGAATCTTGTAGACAAGAAGAGCTGGTGAAAAAGTACTATTTATTTATTTATGATATTTATATCCCACCCTTTTCACCCCAAAAAGGACTCAGAGCTGCTTACAAGTTATATGTAAATAAAATATATTATATTATTAGCATAGCACAATATTAGTATTATATATTACTATATTGTACTATACCACTATCGACATGTAATATATAATCTATAATTATTGTGGCTTTGAAAAATCCCTGAGCATCATGGGTATCTGCCAGGTGTTGGATTTCTTCAGCCTTCTTTGTCCACCAGATGTTCTTGAGTTCTCTTGTCCTTCTTTGGACTTCAGCTTTTGCACTGGCATAGATCTTTTTCTTAGCAGCACAGTTGATGTCTCTCTGCCATCTTTGGAAGGTTTCCTTTTCTTGTCAATTAGCTGTTGGATCTCACCATGGCAGATACCCATGACGCTCAGGGATTTTTCAAAGCCACAAAGGTCATCTACGGACCAAGAAACCATGGCATACGGCCTCTACACTCATCAGATGGAACCAAACTCCTGAAGGACCAAAACTCAATTGCACTACGTTGGAAAGAACACTACCAAAGCCTCTTGAACCGCAGCTCCAATGTGGCCAAAGAGTTTCTCTCACAAATCCCACAACAACAAACCAGGGATGGGCTTGCAGCACTGCCTACTTTGGAAGAAGTCAGCAATGCTATCAGCCAACAAAAAAATAACAAAGCCAGTGGACCTGATGGGATCCCTGCTGAAATCTTTAAATAGAGAGGACCTGAGCTGACACAACAACTCCACCAGCTCATAGAAAAAGTGTGGGTGACCGAGAAAATCCCAGCAGATTTCAAGGATGCCACCATCATCACCCTCTTCAAAAAAGGGAAAAGAACAGACTGCGGAAACTATCAAAGTATCTCCCTTCTAACCTCCACTGGGAAAATCCTCCCAAGAATCCTTGCAAACCGCCTTCTACCCCTCTCAGAAGACACCCTCCCAGAATCCCAGAATGGCTTCCGCCCCTCCAGAGAAACAGTGGACATGATCCTGGAAGACTATCCTACTCAGCCAATGAGGGATCGCCTAAGTAAGTAAGTATATAATTATTATATTGTATTATTAGTAGTATTATATTGTATTACAATATTGTGATCAATATTATATGTACATACAATATATTAGCATAGCACAGTATTAGTATTATATATTATTATATTGTACTATATCACTATACTGCAACATTATTAGTAATAGTACATGTAATATATAATATATAATTATTACATTGTATTATTATTTACATTATATTGTATTGCATTATAATATTATTATCAATATTATATTGGAGGGGCACAATATATTATATCCCTTGTCAAATTAATAAGCCTTGTAATTTACAAAAGTATCAGAAAGTAAGCTGTCCCAAGGTAGGGTATGCCTATAATGCACTTTCTCATAAAGCAGATGGGGAAATACAGGCAGTCCCTGAGTTACAAACATCCAACTTACAAACCACTCATAGTTAAGAATGGGATGGAGACAACAGTAACTGAGAGAAATCTAACTCCAAGAAGGGAAATTCACTTCTGAAAGAGTTATCAAGGGGGAAATGTGTCTCCACTGAAGCTTTATAACCAATCTTTGCTTCCACAACAAGCCAAAATTTTCAAAATCCAATTATCACAGGGTCAGAAAGTGAGGTGAAATCTTCTGAACAGGGGCACAGGCAGCAAAATGAACATCACAGGGGTGTTAACCCATCCCTATGCTATCCAAGGATGTATAAATGTGTGTGTGTGTTTGGGGGGGGGTGGGGGGTGGTGGTGTCTGTATGGTTGGAGCTACTCTTAAAAATGTACCTGTTCTGATTACGTACAAATTCAACTTAAGAACAAACCTGCAGAACCCATCTTGTTTATAAATTGGAGACTGCCCATACACAAAACCTTTATGACAGTGTTTCTCAACTTGGGGGTCAGGACCCCTGGGGGATTGCAAGGGGGGTGTCAGAGGGGTCGCCAAAGACCATAAGAAAACACAGTATTTTCTGTTGGTCATGGTGGTTCTGTGTGGAAAGTTTGGCACAATTTTATCGTTGGTAGGGTTCAAGGGGCTATTTGATTGTAGGTGAAATATAAATCCCAGCAACTACAACTCCCAAATGTCAAGGTCTATTTTCCACAAACTCCACCAGTGTTCACATTTGGGCATATTGAGTATTCGTGCCAAGTGTGGTCCAGATCCATCATTGTTTGAGTCCACGTCACTCTGTGGATATAGGTAAACTACAACTCCAAAACTCAAGAAACCAAACCCATCCAGTGTTTTCTGTTGGTCATGGGAGTTCTGTGTGCCAAGTTTGGTTCAATTCCATTGTCAGTGGAATTCAGAATGCTCTTTGATTGTAGGTGAAGTATAAATCTCAGCAACTACAACTCCCAGATATCAAGGTCTATTTTCCTCAACCCCCACCAGTGTTCACATTTGGGCGTATTGGGTATTTGTGCTAAATTTCGTCCAGTGAATGAAAATACATCCTGCATACCAGATATTTACATTACGATTCATAACAATAGCAAAATCCCAGTTATGAAGTAGCAACAAAAATAATTTTATGGTTGGGGGTCACCACAACATGAGGAACTGTATTAAGGGGTTGTAACATTAGGAAGGTTGAGAAACATTGCTCTATGAATTCGCGAGTTTCAAATTACCCATACGCTCCTGCCGATCTCATTTGGTAGACACTCCCAGTTAGTCCTCTGTAATCCTACTGTTTCAGTTGCTTTTAAAATGCCCTGGTTTTTTTTCCTCCTCCTACACCCCTCTTATCCTCAGTTTCCTTCAATTGCTGCAAACTGAATTCAAAGCGCAAAAACAGTTCCTACTCAACTAACTTAGTAAGGAGAGAAAGCTGCAAAATATTGTCCTTCTCACCAGAGGCGGCCCTACATAATTTTCCATGGTAAGCAAACAGTATTTTGGTGCCCCCCCCCCCCAAACCAATCACTGATATATATTTTCTGTTTGTTGTGGGAGTTCTGTGTGCCATATTTGATTCAATTCTATCATTGGTGGAGTTCAGAATGCTCTTTGATTGTAGGTGAACTATACATCCCAGTAACTATAACTCGCATATGCCAGGGTCTATTTTCCCCCAAGAGCGCCTCAAGAGCGCCCCTGGGCAAAATAAACTATACTGCAAATGCTTACTTTGCGTAATGGGTTGAGCCGCCCCTGCTTCTCACTAGGCCCAGGCAAAAGCAAACTATTGTTCCCTCAACTAGTTTATTGTTCTTCTACAATTTAGGGTTTTATTTAATTTTTGTTTGAAGAACTGCACTGTATCTTCCTGAAGGGAAAACTGTACAGATACTTATTTGGGAACTAGGAATTTAGTAAATCTTGACAGAAATGTGACCCATACAAAATTCAGCTCTGTTCCTACTTTATCTTGATAGCCTTTAAAACCAAAAATTAAACTCAAGGATTTCTTAGAATTGGAGAGGAAAATCCCTATTCTCTGGCCCTCATTTACAATCTCTATGCATCCTGAACAATCTATTATCCAAACTCATTTAATCCTTTATCTTTTCACTGTGTCCTTCCAAAGTCTATCCTCTTAGACCTTGAATGCTTTAACTCTTCGCCCTATGTCCCACTAAGTGTATAATCTCCACCCCCAAATCATATCTTTCCCAATCATCCCTTACCCTCAAAATCCACTGTCCCGTCTCCATTGACGTCTGCTTCCTTCACCACGTCAGCAATCTCACGTGGGGTTAAGCGCTCCCCCATCAACCGTTGCATGGCTTGATACAACTCGTCCAAGGTGATCTCCCCATCTCCATTTGTATCAAACTGGAAAGTTAGAGCAGAGTTTGAGGGTGAGCAGAGCTTCGAAATGACCATTATAATTACAAATCTTAGCCAAGATTAGGTAAAGGTAAAAGTTTTCCCCTGGCATTAAGTCTAGTTGTGTCTGACTCTAGGGGTTGGTGCTCATCTCCGTTTCTAAGCTGAAGAGCTGGCATTGTCCATAGACACCTCCAAGGTCATGTGGCCAGCATGACTGCTTGGAGTGTTACCTTCCCGCAGAAGCAGTACCTATTGATCTACTCACATTTGCATGTTTTTGAACTGCAAGATTGGCAGAAGCAAGAGCTCACCCCATTCCCCAAATTCAAACTGCTGACCTTTTGGTCAGCAAGTTCAGTAGCTCAATGGTTTAACCCGTTGTACCACTGGGGGCTCCTAGCCAAGATTATGTATTACAAATATTGGGCTCACTTATATCAGGCATATTAGTCTGGACCAGCCTGTAGGTGTTGAGTCTGGAGCTATTGTTCAGACGTGCTGGGAATGCATTGGCCCCACTGGATTGTCACTTCCTCCATGTTGCTGCTACCACTACAATTAGAGCTCCATCTGAACCTTTGACCCCTGCAATCACATCCACTGATGTGAGAACTGGGCACCTGGATTACCATCAGGAAGGAGGGGGTCAATCTTCCCACCTTATTATTGGTCTCAATCACACTGTGCCCTGTTTTGACATAACACATATGACAGGCTATGGCCAGATCCCTTGATGAAGCTCCGTGGCTGGCTATGAACAGCAACAACATGGATGTGAACCTGTGCTGGTACAGCTGTATCAGAAGCTCCCACTTTATTTGCCTTGTATTAAGTGTTTGCTTGCAGCCCAAGGCTTGGGATTTTGCAGAAGGGTGGCTTCCTGTTAAAGTTTGCAGTTATAGGGCAGGCCACCTGTCCATCATCATTAGGTTCCTTAGTTCCGCCCCCTTTTGGGTTTTCAGAAGAGAAGGGAGCCATTTTTAGTCAGTCACACACAAGGAAGCTAGTCTATAGGACGCAGACAGCTCGTCCCGTAGGAAAAGCTTCATTCCTCAGAATCATCCGGGAATCATCCAGGGAAATAGGAACAGAAGGAAAAGATCCTAAAGGCTCTGGCTGAGAGCTCACAGCCTCTCAGCCTCACAGCACCAGAGGGGAAAACAGCCCTAAAGTTCCCACAGGACAGCATTACTGAACCACTGAATTCCAGCTGGAATATCTTCAGGCCTTGGCTGGTAGGTTTACTCGATGTCCAGAGGCATTTGGGATTGGTAGTAAGACCTAGACCAGCGAGGCCCAGATAATAGACAGCCTGGGAGAGATTATAAAGGGTTCTTCCTCATGCTGAGAAAGTACAGTTAAGACTAGAATAAGAAAACCTTGAAGTGTTGTTTGAAGATTTGTTATTTGTTCCTTAATAAAGACCTTGTTGTACCATTAAAGACTCCAAAGACAATCACTTCGGGAATTCCCTAAGAATCTCTCTTTGAGGCACCCCGGCTTCACACTGGGTTTAAAGTATACATCCTATAGAATAAAGACAATTTGTTCAGACCCAGTGCGCGACAGAACAGAACCATTCCCTTTCCCTTCACTGATCAGGGAAAGGAAGATTGTGGAGGTCTCCAACTGGACAGGAAATTGGTCCAAATTGAACTTTATTCGGCTGTCCAGACTGCTCTGAAGGCCCAGGACACTCCAGTGGTTCAATGTTCCACCATACCCCCAAAGAAAACTGTGTTAGCAGATTATTGCTAACATTGCAGTGGCACAGTGGGTTAAACCCTTGTGCTGCTGAACTGCTGACCTGAAGGTTGGCAGTTCGAATCAGTGAGACAGGTGAGCTCCTGTCTGTTCAGCTCCAGTTCCTGCCAACCTAGCAGTTCAAAAACATGAAAATGAGAGTAGATAAATTGGTACTACTTCAGCACAGAAAGGCAAAGAGATGCTCCAAGCAATCTTGCTGGCCACACAACCAGGAGGTGACAACCAAGGCTCCTCAGCTTGAGAATGGAGAAAGCATCTCCTCAAAACCAGAGATGAGCACTTCATCCAGAAGCTGGAAATGTAAAGGAGAAGCTTTGGCTTCGTTTGTGTTTGTGTGTCATTGTATATGATTGTAAAGGCATTGAATGTTTGCTTATGTATATAAAATGCTGCAATCAGCTCTGAGTCCCTTAGGGGAGAAGAGCGGAATATAAATAAAGTATTATTATTGTGGGAAACCTACATGACAATTTTCAGTTTCCCCTGGGATCGCTGTTGACCTGCACCATGGTTGGATAAGACTGAAGGAAACACCCTTATTAGAGGGGAATCTATGCATTCACATACGCCGAAGAAATCCCCACAGAATCCTGGCATAAGGATTACTAAATCACATTTTCAGTTGTAAAGAAACAAGAACTGTGCTTTCTTATTAAAAAGACTCAAAATGTGAGTTGAAAGATTCCTAAAAGAACTTCCTAACTGTGAGAGCTGTTCAGCAGTGGAACTCTGTGCCTAGGAGTGTAGTGGAGGTCCCTTGTTTGGAAGCTTTTAAGCAGATGCTAGATGACCATCTGTCAGGGGTGCTTTGAATGTAATTTTCCTGCTTCTTGACAGGGGGTTGTACTGGATGGCCATGAGATTTCTTCCAACTCTATGATTCTATTTTAATGATGGAGTTCAACTACAATAACCAAGGTTGACAGATAGAACTGCTGGGCTTAAATTTATTACTAGTCCTAACAAAAGCAGATTCAATGGATCAATGAACATGCCTTTGGTCAACACTTATGGAAATCAATGGGTCTACTTGATTTGAAACCGGTATGTTGAAATAGTCCCTCGCCCCAGTTATTGTCCTGCCCCATCCTACCCCACGGCATCCTACCTCACCTCCTTAAAAGCATCCCTCATCTCCTGAAGTCCAATCATGCCTGCCGTCTCTGCCAGAAGCTTTGGCGTCATCATCTCTACGAAGTCCTCAAAATCCACGCGACCCCCAACTGCAGTGAAAGAAGCCATATAGCTTAGAGTAAGCATCAAAAACTATTTCCTAACACAATACTCTGGCTTCCCCTTTGAATTCCTTAATTTGGCCCAGGGGTGTGTGATGGCCAATCAACAGTCCCAAATACTGCAATTGCTAAAGTGACTTATATAAGTAATCTGCTACATTTAATTCCCTTCAACAATCCCATGAAGTAGATGAGGATGAGAGGGTGTCCAAAGTTGCTTAGTGTGTTTTTCTCTCAGAAGGATCTTGAAGTGGGAGTCCCAAGCTCCTGTCTGACACATTACAAAAATCAAAAGCATCCAGGAGGGAAGTAATTATATATTTTATACTACATGTAATATAACTGATAATATCACAGTATAGTACAATATAGTAATATATAACACTAATATTGTGCTATGCTAATAATATAATATATTGTATACACATATAATATTGATAATATAATGTAATACAATATAATACTACTAATAATAAAATATAACAATTTTATATTTCATATTACATGTAATATTACTGATAATATTACAGTATAGTAGTACAGTACAATATAGTAATATATCATACTAATATTGTGCTATGCTAGTAATATAATATATTGTATACACATATTATATTGAAAATATTATAATGTAATACAATATAATACTAATAATAACAAAATATAATAATTTCATATTTCATATTACATGTAATATTACTAATAATATTACAGTAGTGATATAGTACAATATAGTAATATATAATACTAATATTGTGCTCTGCTAATAAGATCATATATTATATACACATATTATATTGAAAATATTATAATATAATACAATATAATACTACTAATAATAAAATACAATAATTTTATATTTCATATTACATGTAATATTACTAATAATATTACAGTATAGTGGTATAGTACAATATAGTAATATATAATACTAATATTGTGCTATGCAATAATATAATATATTGTATGTACATATAACTTGTAATCTGCTTTGAGTCCCCTTCGGGGTGAGAAGAGTGGCATATAAATGGCATAAATAAATAAATAAATATCAGGAGCCCCAAACAATTATTTCCTTATTTTTATAAAAGTACAGTACAAGTCCTGAACCCTCTATCTGCAGGACCAGTATTCATGGTTTCATTCATCCATGTCTAATCAAATATATCCTCTCTAGGCATGTTCCAGGTTTCACAGTGTGACTCAAAGGTATCCTTCGGCTGGTAGGGTTTGCTTTGTGTATCTCCATGAAGTTTGGGACTGTATCTCTGCAGATATGGGGGTTGTATTGTACTTCTTCCTTAGCATCTGTGTGCATTAGAAGGAAAGTAATAAGATAGGGTAATCTTGCAAGGAGATCATTGCGATAGTTTTCTGATACCTCTCCCCATGGATACTCTTCATATCTCGAAAAACACAAATCCACAAATACAAGCATGCCTCAAAAATGAAGTCTACTTCATCTCAGATAGACCTATATATTGGCTGGAACATTAAGGTTTTGAACCGCTAGTCTATCCCACTGGCATCTCCTTCACCAATTTCTACTACTCATAGCTCTCTTTTGCCTCTGAGATGGCAAACAAGTCACAGGTCATTTATTCCAAGCCATCCCTGGGTGGTGCCCTTCATCCATCTCCCTTCATGATTTGAATCAGGCAATGTCTTCCCTAGCCACATGGATCCCATTCAGCTCATGAGAGAGAACATATCTCTTTTCAGATGAAGCTCATCTACAACTTTCATAATCTCAAACTCATAGCCATGATAGCCATGTGCATCCAACATCTGGAAGACCACCATTTTCCCCACCCCTGGTCTGGATATTAACCTCAAATGCTCAATTCTCACAGTCACTTACGATTCATATTGATCTGCTGTGATAACTCTATGAGTTCCATTTCCGTTGGCATGTATCCCATTGTCCTCATGAGGTTGCCCAAATCTTTGCAGCTGATGAAACCATCTTTGTCCTTGTCAAACTCCTCAAAGGCCTCACGAAGCTCTGGTTTGCCATTGTCATCATGGAAGTGTTAAGTGGGGAAAAAAGAAGTAAAAAAATGAATTAAGGAAAAAGTAGGATTCCTAACCAATGAAAAAATCTGTCTTACAGAGGGTTGGAATCTGGCTTGCAGTGAGCTTCAGTGATGTCCTTTGGGATCAGGTTTATGGAAAGTGGTGGAATGGGGAATCCAGCCTTCCATTAAATGTGTGAAGACTTGGAGAGGAATGGCCATCTTTCTTCCCTTTTGCTGAAGCTTATTTTTCTCAAAATATTTTTGAAGGTATGGAATATTTTCTTTTACAATGATAAATACAATATGTAGGTAAAGGTAAGGGTTTTGCCCTGACATGAAGTCCAGTCGTGTCCAAATCTGGGATGTGGTGCTCATCTCAATTTCTAAGCTTCTGTAGAGACCTCCAAGGTCATGTGGCTGGCATAACTGCATGGAGCGCCGTTATGTAAACAAGGCACTATTATATTTGCAACCTATCCCATCACAACCACCACCACCACCATGCTCCTCCAGGTGACATTATTTCTAAAATCTAAATAGCAGAAAGTCAATTGTGTAAGAAGCACGATTTAGTGGTTTGAGCACCGAACTACAATTCAAGACACCAGGGTTCAATTCCCTGTGTTTGGCCATGGAAACCGTCTGGGCAAGTCACATACAGTCTCATAAAACCCCCTACTTGGCCCAATGGAGGAAACAATATTATGATTATTATCACTGCAAATGTTGGTGGTTTCTGTTGGTTTTAATATTTTTTTGAAGGGCTTTCTTCGTGTTCCTCAAAACTTGGCAAAAACTTCAAATTCCTTATAGATCTAGTGTCCTGTACATTTTAGGATCTTGCAATTCTGTTTGCAATTATATATGTATTTTAAAAAGACATGAATGTGTAATGAGTACCTGAATAAATTGTAGATTTAATATATCAAACTTGTGCACCAGCTGAGCCCGTATCTTGGAAAGTCAGACTTGGCCAAGACAGTCCGAGCTCTTGTTACAGCTCGACTAGACTACTGCAACATGGTCTACGTGGCCTTTCCTTTGAAGACTGTTTGGAAGTTTCAAGTAGTCCGAAGGGCGGCAGCCAGGTTGCTCACTGGAGCAGTGTACAGGGAGATACAACCCCCCCTATTGCGTCAGCTCCACTGGCTGCCAATCTACTACTGAGCAGAATTCAAAGTACTGGCTTTGGCCTATAAATCCCTAATAGTTCCAGTCCAGCTTACCTGTCTGAACACATCTCCCTTTATGAGCCAGCTAGAACACTAAGATCTCCTGGGGAAGTCCTGCTCTCGGTCCCACCGCCTTCGTAGGTGCGATTAGTGGGGATGAGAGACAGGGCTTTCTTGGTGGTGGCCCCTTGGCTGTAGAACTCTCTCCCCTGTGAGATTTGATCAGCCTCCTCCCTCCTTGCATTCAGGAAACAACTTAAGACTTAAATTATGGAAATATGAAAGTAACTAAAGACACCCGGGATTGATACAATGTCCAAATGTTTTATGTTATGTTTCTGATTGTCATTATAGTTTTATGGTTTTAATGGTTTTAATCTATTGTCATGTTGTTGATTTGATATGTGATGTTTTATACATGACAGACATTGAATTTTGCCATTGTGTATTTTGTGAACAGTTTTGAGTCCTCCCAGGGGTGAGAAAAGCAGTAAATAAATAAATAAATAAATAAATAAATAAAATATATCCTATATACTCGAGTATAAGCCTATTTTTTCCAGCATATTTTTATGCTGAAAAATACCCCCTCAGCTTGAGTGAGAATCCTGGCGGGAAGGTGTGGGGCTGAAAGAAGCCATTTGCAGGGCTTCTACCAGCTGCATGCCTCCTCCCCTTTTGACACAGCAACCCAGCTGGGTCTTTGTGCTGACTCTTTGTGGCCTCTCCTCTCGGCAAAGCAACCCAGCTGGGTCGCTGTGCCGAGAGGGGAGAAGAGGGTGGTGTATGGCTCACCAGCCACACACCTTCCTGCCGGGCCAGGTCTGGCTTCTCGATACAACAACCCACTGGGTTGCTGTGCCAAGAGGAGAGGAGATGCTGCATGCCTTCCTTTTCTTCCCTCTCAGCACAGCGACTCAGCTGGGTCTCTGTGCCAAGAGAGGAGAGTAGAAGTTGCATGCCTCCATTAATGTAATTTTATGGGTATCTATTTTTATTTTGAAATTTACCAGTAGCCGCTACATTTCCCACCCTAGGCTTGTAGTCAAGTCAATAAGTTTCCCCAGGTTTTTTGTGGTAAAATTAGGTGCCTTAGTTTATATTCAGGTTGGCTCATACTTGAGTATATACAGTAATACAGAATAGGTCCAGTGTCCTTTTTGCAGAAAAATCAGGAAAGCATGAGGTCTCACTATTACTTTATATGAATTGACAGTTTAGCTGATAGTCCTCTCCATCCTCACATTTAAGGGAAGGTTGGCAGGGATGGACAAACTACAGCTTGTCCTGATTGTACCATTACAGAACTCCCTCATGGACTTCCAAAGACTTTCAAAAGTTCTTAGGACAAGAGTTTGAGAAACTTTCTCTGAAGATCACATATCCATTCACATTAATTATTGCCAGGTTTTGAATATAGCAAAAAAGATTGAAAATTCATAATGTGCTGGGTTGTCAGTTAGGAATATAGCTATTAACAAAATTTATTGATTTCACTCAACTTAGACATTTGTTTCTGTAAAATTAACACATTCATACATTTCTATCTTCATGAAAGTCCTACACAAAAAATATAGGATTCCCCACTTCTTGGTGAGTCGATATAGAATAAAAGGTTTTCCAGACCACAAATGCAGGGCATCCCTTAAAATAAGTCCTATAAAGGACAAGCTTTCCAAATGAGAGAGACAATGTATAAAGGTGATCTGACAACCATAATTTGCGTACACACATACATATACACACTGTCCCACACACTTACCTTCAATTTCATCTGCGCCAAGTTCCCGCTCCTGCAAATGAGACGCAGAGACATTCATTGCAAAACATCCACCTTGGAAGGCTCCCACTCCAACCCACTCCTTAAAAAATCCTCCTATCTCTGAAGCTAGAAAAATCAAGAATTTAGACGCTTGCATTCCCAAGCCATTGTTCCATCAGACTAACCAGATGCAACGTTTCAACATAGAGAGTGTTTATCTTCCCTGGGGCCAGTCAAAATCATTGCATTGAACGGCCAGAAATGCAGCAATGCTCCATTTGTTGACAGTTCAATATTTAGAGGTACGGAGAAGGACAAACTAGGTCCAGTGAGCAGAGCAAGAGAGAGAACGTAAGAGCTATTGATCCTTGAAATTCAGCAATGCAAACCAATGAATACAGACTCCGCAAAAGAGCAAGCGCAAAGCACAGGAGTCTGGGGACAAGGAAACCATTCCAGCCTGCCTCCAATAATCCACAGACATGATTCCAGAGAGAGACTCTTCCTCAAAACTTTAATTACATACAAGGTGAGTTCATATACAAGTGGAGATTATAAGAAAAATAATAGAGGGATCTGCAGGCTACTTAGCTACTTTGCCCAGGACAAGCTGGGATGGACAGTGTCTGCTTTGCAGAAAGAATCAAAAGGGAGACTTGAGGAGCCAAGAGTCCAAAAGACATTTGAGATGGACATTGCCAGCTATGAGGCCCATAAGAGGGAAACAAACGTTGTGAGAGAGACAAAGGGTGCATCAACACTATAGAATTAATTATGTTAGGCATGCTCCTTTGATTACCATGGCTCAATGCAATGGGATCATGGGAGCTATAGTTTTACAAGTTCTTTAGCCTTCTCTGCCAAAGAGTGATTCCATAACAATGAGCTATGCCAGTTAATATGGTGTCAAACTGCATTAATTCGACAGTGTAGAGGTGCCCATAGTTTTCAGTGTGGGACTCATAATTTTTCATCAACCCATGGTGTCACTATTGTGACACAAAGACTATGGGGATTTTTTTTTAAAACCCTCCTTTTTGCCAGATGTGAAAATGGAAACAAGAGCCCACAGCAAACCAACAAAATTTCTTTCCAATTGATTTCAGCATAGAACCCTAGAGTTGGAAGAGACCTCGTGGGCCATCCATTCCAATCCCATTCTGCCAAGAAGCAGGAAAATCGCATTCAAAGCATCCCCAACTGATGGCCACTCAGCGTCTGTTTAAAAGCCTCCAAAGAAGGAGCCTCTACCACACTCCGGGGCAGAAAGTTCCACTGCTGAACAGCTCTCACAGTTAGGAACTTCTTCCTAATATTCAAGTGGAATCTCCTTTCCTGTAGCTTGAAGCCATTGTTCCGTATCCCTAGTCTCCAGGGCACCAAAAAACAAGCTTATTCCCTCCTCCCTATGACTTACCCTCACATATTTATACATGGTCCTCATCATGTCTCCTCTCAGCCTTCTCTTCTGCAGGCTAAACATGCTCCTCTTAGGGCTTATTATCCAGACTCTTGATCATTTTGGTTGCCCTCCTCTGGACACATTCCAGCATATCAACATCTCTCTTAAATTGCAGACCGAATGCATTAAATCTAACCTACTAGATATTATCCAAAGAGAAATCAAGAATATTGGTTCTTCTCTTACTTCTCACTTGAACACACAGCCCTCCTCCACCCAGAACTTAAAGCCCCAGGACTCAATGCTGCAGCACCCTAGACAGCAAAGGGCCTGCCTAGTGCCAAAATTGGTTGCAGCAACCTCCTTTTGATGAAACTCCCCTGATCAAATAAAATGGGTAGTCCATCCTCTGTGCTTTCATATATGAGAGCTTTTGCCCTGTCCCATAAAACCATCTTCATCGCCCTCACCGCCCCAACTACAAGATGTCCCATACCCCTTGCTTCTCAGCAATCCCCTTGCGAAGGAAGATGCAAGCCGGTCCAAGGGTGTTCTGCATGGCGTCCGGCAATGTGTGCCTTCGTCCGATGCCTGTCTAGTTTAGCAGGGAAAGAGATGGCTTTTGAAAAGAAGGTGATTTATGGAGTGGGGAAAGGGGATTATCTCTCCCTCCAGCTTCTGATCCTTTGCTCCATCCAGGCCTTTTTGCGCTCTTTCTGGCTGTGACATCTGCTGAATAAATCCCTTCTCCCTTCCCCAGATTAACTTTTAGCACATGGTGAGGATTGGGAGACAGGGTTCGCAGACTGAGTGAAGGGTGCTAAAGGAGCGAGAGAGTCAGGATAGGAATGCAAGAGATTCATAAAATCGAGAGCAGAGTTGTTAGTTTGTTTCAAAATTGTGATATTTTGCAGCTCTGCAGGAAGAGTAATAGTAGGATTGACCCGCATCACCCTATGCACAAGAATTCCCAATAGTTTAGCTTCTCCAAACTGCTCCATTGCTTGTGCAATGTCTAGGATGAGTGTAGACCAGGCATGGGCAAACTTCGGCCCTTCAGGTGTTTTGGACTTCAACTCCCACAATTCCTAACAGTCAGCAGGTTTGCACCTCCCACACCCCACTGGTTTTTTTCTTCTTGCTGTGGCTCTCTATTTCTTAATAATGCTGATTGGTTCAGCTCAAAGTAGAGGCCACAGAGCATCCTACCAAACATGATGCTGGCCCTAGTCTTCGTGATCATATATGACCCAGAAGATCTGCTCCCCAAGACACTGGAAGATTAATCTCGACTGAGATTAAGGACTTCATCACAATGTCCCCCATCCACCCCGGATTCCAAACACTTCTAAAACAATTCATAGATGAAGCAACACAAATCCTATCATATGACGCAAGGAGACTTCCATCTCTCATCCGTGCTGCTTTGTCTGTGATCTGTCTCCAAAGTGTAGAGAAATGGGCGGGAGGGGTGGAACTGGAACCAGTTAGGAAACGTATTTGAGCTCCCAATGCGCGTGGAAACGGGAGAAAGCAGGGAAAAACACATGGGATGGGATCTGTCAAATTTGCCCGTGTTGAATCACTTCAGTGACATGGAGTAATGGGCACTCCTATGGGCAGTCTCCTGCTAAGCACTGATGCTCCATTTTTCTCCCAAAATCTGTCTTATTTATTAATTATTATTAAAAATAATATTAATATTAATATTATTTACTATATTTATATACCACCCCTCTCAGTCCAGAGGCGACTCGGAGCGGTTCACAAATTGGCAACAATTTGATGCCTCAACGATTATAACAAATAAAAACAATCAAGAAATTCTGTTAAAACAATAGCATGTGATATAAAAAATATAAAAACTGTACAAAGCCTTAAAACAGTATTGTGAGAATCTCCATGCCAAATGGTTATTCCATTGCGTTATCTAGTAGTTCCATCATTCCATTTAGTTATGCCGTATTTGGGAAGGTCTGCTCAAAAAGCCAGGTTTTCACCTTTTTCGAAAAGTCAGGAGGGAGGGAGCCGATCTTATATCTCTAGGTAGGGTGTTCCACAGTTAAGGGGCCATCGCTGAGAAGGCCCTGTCTCTCGTCCCCGCCAGATGCATCTTTGAAGAAGGCGGGAGCGAGAGCAGGGCCTCCCCAGAAGATCTTAACATCTCCCTCTTATGAACGATGTGTCCTGTCTCCTTGAGAGTAAGGGGTTTGGGAGGGAAAAGCAAAGGAGCCCATGGAAAGAAATGGTGTCTGTCTTAATAACGATGTCTCCAGCCTCCTCTAAGCGGATGGTTCAGCTGGGAGGAGGTGATCCTGTGTGATAGGGTTAAGTAAATTCTCAGTCTCCTTTAAAGATGGACTGCCACACAAAGAAAACATTTGCACATGCAAAGAAGACAGTTTTACCCACTTTCCCCAGTTCCACCTGATGGAGTCCTAAGTTTAAGCATACCTGTTGAAATTGTGGGAACGGCTCGTGCCCAATCTGGGTCAAGGAGGACATGTTAGGAAGGAGAGAAGATAACAGTTAGGGAGCTGGATCCAGGTCATCCTGATCTACTCTCAGGTCTTCAGCCATTCAGGTGTTAGTATTATGAGAGAGATGAAGGTGTGTTGTGTAGGACCCAGGTGGGATGCTGTCTTCAATGAGAACCTTTGGCTTTCTTTCACAGCTGCCATGGTGACCAGGTAAATTCTCCCTTCTCCCTCATTGGTTGCTAGGAGCTGGAAGAACCAGAGAGTGAGGAAGAGAGAGAGAGAGAGAGAG